GGAGCTTATGCGAGGGGGCTTGTTGACAATTTGGTGTTCTAGGGATTGGGCTTATTCGAGGAGGGTTTCTTTGAAGGAAGGGAGGGGAAGGGGCAATTCGAGGGTTTACGGTATTTGTCTATTATTTGCATAACTTCAATAGATAACGTTCCGTATCACAGCAATGCTTGCACTTTCGATGTGTAAACATGGCCTACTGAAAATATTCGAGACCAAAAAGATCTTATTTCTCAATCAATACAACAGACTCTTGTTATTCACATTGATGTGCGCTCTAAACGAAAGGTCATCCTTTCTTTTTCCCTATCTGTCTGTCATTAGAGTTCTAGCATGACTTTTCTCCTCCCAAACTTTTCCTAAAAATCCTGATCAAAAAACATTTTAATGTGAATAATAGTTCTTGAATATTCAATGGTCACAAAGCAATGTTGAATATTGACTGGTCAATCACGAAGTTACAAATAGGAACCTAGCAAGATAATCAGGGCTCTTGCAACAGGATGCTTTGTGTTACATTGAACATAATCGAAAACTTATGGAAAATCAAACTACAGACGATGAAAATGTGGTTTCCTCAATGATTGGCTAATATCAACAATTGGTTTTCCCACCTTAACAGTTTGCGTTGCTCACTTTGGCTGGACTAGCTGCGCTAGTGGACGATATTTGAAACTGAGAGCAAAAAGCTACGGGAAAATGCAAAAAGACTTAATGGAATTGAACGGTGATAAAAAAGCATTCCCTTTTTTCCTGTTGGCATATCTGTTGCGGGCGACAGCTTTACTACAACCGGAACACAGCAATTTGATTCTAGGGCTCTGGAATCAAAGTTGTCTCTGATTGGTTTAAATCGTGTAATTATTAAACAAGGTCAACTGTGCGCGAATTTCACTCTAGTGAAAATGAAAGTTGAGTACAATAGGGGCGACACTGCCTTTTAATCAAAATTGAGATTTTAAGATGTCAGCTCAAGACTGATAAAAGGATCTGTGGATGATTTATCTAGATAAGAAATCGATGAAAACGAGGACCTGTTGGTCTGCTTCCTAAATTTCTAACCAATGTAAAATCGAGGACTGTACGGCTGTAAAATCGAGGATGCGTTAAAGTGTTAACCATAAATGAAAACGAGAACCTGTTAATCTACTCGATTTGAAACACAAGTAAAAATGAAGATTTTGCGACAAAACCTGAAAGTGTTTACCCTAAATGGAAACTAGAACCTGTCGACGTACTCCCTAAAAATGACATCGAAATGATAACAAGGATTTGGCGACACACTCTAAAAGTGTTTACCATAAACGAAAATTAGGACCTGTCGACGTCCTCTCACGTGGAACCCAATGCGCAAATCTATTACCCTAATCATGATACGCTGGTTCCAAGGACAGCCTAGCAGTGAACAGCAAATGGCCTTGGTTGCAGGATCCGTGTTGCAGGAACAGCAACTTTTTTACGTCCCTGTCTTCAAATAAAATATATTGGGTTTGAATAACACTATGCCTGTGGACATCTTCTAACGGTTATAAAGGTTATTCTAATCATACAACTATTATAAAGGTTATTCTAAAACTCTTCAAGACCTTTCCTATAGACAATACGACGGGACATATTGATTAAGTAAAGCTTAGGTATATTTCTTGATACTTTGCTTCTGTCAAAATCCATTTTAGATCCAGTCTCTGGCCATCCCTAAGATATGATAATTCTAAAATCTTTTCTTGACGCTGACCATGGTGCTTGTATTTTCTAGGCCCTATCAAGGCTTTGATGTTGAGTGGAGGAAAAGAAGGTTGTCACCCTGCCATATATTGATTTTCCTTGCCAATCATTCCAGCAAAACAGGTCCCACAATAAATTTTGATTGCATAAATTTGGTCATTTCTCCTGTCCTTGCACAAAATAATTCATGCATTCGCCTCTATATCTGCTTCTTATCTTCTTATCTATCTGAAACTAGCCAGTTGCTTGATGATCGCATTAAACTTTATTCTCCAATCGTTTGCCACTCTCTCTTATGGCTCTTTAACTACTATTTTATTGTTGCATGAAAAAAATTACTTACAAATATACCTTATTTTGAGAGTAGCCTCTAAAATGTATAATGTAGTTAGTTATTTTTTTTGGCAGTGAAACTGGTGCAACTCAGTCTATTTTCTTGTATAATAATATAATCTATTTAAATTGGCAAAGTTGTAGTCGATCTTAGGTGTTGATGACATTGTCCATAAACTCTTGAAAATTTTAGACACATTCTAGAAATGAATAAAGTGTGAATAAACACAAGATGCTTGAAAATTCTAACAAATGGTGCCATAATGACGTCTAAATATATAAGGAAGTTTCGAAATACACTTTTGATTAAACCGTAAATTTGCCAACAATTGTAGCATTATGTTTATTTAATGGAAATAATTGAGCATCTTACTGAATGTGTTATAGGATCATTTGCGAAAAATATTTCTCCATCAATGGACCTAGATTATCTACACAGCACTGCCTAAACAGCATAATATACAAAGTAATTTCAATTTTATTTGATTTTAGCTAGTGTCACAGGAAATTAAGAGTGCTACAATCTATTGGAGGATATGTTACCTGAGGCAAAATAAAATAAATAATAAGCCATATATTAGCAAATGCTAGGGTGTTTTTCTTTAGTTTTGCCCTAACATGATCTCAAATAAGAACTTCTATTTTAAATGAACGTACAGATCTGCTCATAATAAAAGAATCAAGTTAGAAGCCACTCTGTGGTAGATTAAAAGGTCATCGCCGAAAACATACTGGATTAGGACAATTGGTGATCACATACCAGTTCTGATGTATAATAGCTCTACTTGGGGACTGATACAAAAAGATACGAAAGGTCTAGATGCTTTTCACAGACAGCAACTGAGACAGCTAATAGGAAAAAAGTATCCTAACAAGATCTCCAATCAGAACTTGTACAAAAGATGCGAAGAAGGACCAATTTCAATTGACATCCTCAAGGGTAGATGGCGGCTGTTTGGTCACATATTGCGTTTGTCCGACGATACACCGGCTGTGAAGGCAATGAGATTTTACTTTGAGGGATCGGAGAGGGGATTCAGAGGCAGACCTAGAGAAACTCTCGTGACAACCTTAAATAAAGATATCACCAGAGCAAGAGCAATGGAAAGGTCTTTTCCACTACCGAACATAAAGAACAATGGAGATTTTGAAAAGATACGATCCACAGCAAGGGACCGCAAAGAATGGAGAAGATTATCAGAAGTAGTGTGCAGAGCTGCAGAAGCAGAAACAACATGAAACCTTCATGTCGGGACTGCGTAACTGCAATTATATATATATATATATATATAAACTTGAAATGAAGCGTAGGGTAAAACCAAATCTTATAGACTTTATTCGGACGAGAGGACTTTATTGTCCAATTCGGCATGACCAACAATGCCAAATAATTGTTTCTAGTTGCAGAAGAAGCATTATTTCCGCAAAGAAATTAGATTGTTTTTCTGAAAACTCAACAACATCTTGATTAAGGAAAGACAAACACCTGCGCTAGTATACAGAATTCAGTCTTCTTGTCCTGCTCATATGAATGAGACCATAGCCATGATAAGATCTAGAACGAGGTTTGCAATGTTTATCGCTCATCAATGTTGGACGTCATCATTGCAATTATCATTAAACTTCATCAATAATGAATCATTCCCAGGGATTCGTATTCGTGGTTCGAAAGCCCAAAAAGGCTGGCTCTCAAATATCGCAGACTTGTTCGGATGACGAAACCTTCAGTTCTTTATTTCAAAACAATACCGTCTGAAACCAATCAGTGTTGCAGGGTCATAGCACATGCATAACAGCATTCGCACAGCTGTTCTGTCTGCGACCAATTCTTGAACTTCCTGCCAGAGCTTCAAGTGATAATACGAATGTGCAAAAATTAATGCTCTTTTATATCGCAAGCATCGCAAGGCCCTCATCGGCGATGATCGTCATCTCTTATCCTTTTTTGTTGATGATTGAATAGAAAAGAAAGTTTTGTTTCGAATTTGATCGACTACGGTCAATATCTTTCTCGGCAAACTGGAACTCGACCATTATAATAGGTGATAAATTCAACTTCAGATCGAGAATTTGAGACAATATAATACTCCTTTTGTGTGTGTAGGCCAACATACTCATTTTATACCATGTTTAAGTATTTCAGGTTGTAAGATACTTGAATGCAGGGACGGACTGGCTATTAAGGCTACTAGGAGGCTGCACACACAAGGGCTCCCTCACAAGCGGCCTTACAAAGACCCTTATCTTGCGAAAACTTTTCCATAAATCGTTAATTTACGTTAGTAGCAGCTGATATATCATTCTGAAACTGTAACAAACCACATTCAGGTGTCATTTTGGTTGTATTATTGCACTTTTTGTACTTGAAAAACATCTTTGTTACCTTTATCAAATATTCATGCATACATATGTTTTCACTTTTCTTTACAAATTGCTGAATAGTATATCAAAAATAAAGCAAAAAACAAAAACCGAATTTTCTTTAGAAAATAAACGATGTTCCCCTTTCTTTGCTTCCTGGGTACAATAATCTGACCAAAATGCAAGCAAAGTCATTATAAACTTTTAAAACGTTACCAATATGCAATGTCCTGCTTTTTAATTGCCAATTGAAGTCGCACGAGAGTGGTAGACTGCAAAGTGGAACCAAATCCATCTGACCAGAGCAAGTAAAACGCACGATGTAAACATTATCGCTTTCATAATGGATGTAAAACACTGTATTTGAATCCCCTCTCGGCGTTTGCCGTGTTTCTTCCTATCAGATATTGCTCAATATTTAATCGCAAAAGCCACAGAATTCTTTTGAACCCGATGAGCTACCACTGTTCACTGATTCACTTCGTCATTTATAGAAAATAAGGGAAAGCATTCGCTTTCAAAGTGAAACAGACTGTTAAAAGAATTCAATTTGCAGCATTATATTAACAGAAGCAATGGCATCATTGGAAACTAGCTTTTTTATATCTGACACTTAAAAAGGAAACTAGCATAATGTATATAATATGTCAATTCGTAAAGAGTACTTTCAGTTGATTTACATTTTTGTAAACGCTTTCTTTTTAAATATAAAAATCAACATTTTACTAACTTGGTCAATGGGGCAATCAGTCATTAACAAGATATTACCCATCGTGCAATCAATACACAAAATCTTCAAGAGAAAGGCTAATTTCTAAAAGATAGGGGCTTTTTGTAGCAACTTATTTCTGGCTGTTTGCATTCATGGGGCTTCATGTTGGCATTTCAGATAATAAGCCCGTTATTTCAAGTTAGTGAATTGACTTCAATTGGTGAATTGTCTTTGGTAACTGAAAGTGTAACTGCAACCTTTAAGAGCAGCTGTTGTTTGCTAAGAAATTGATTGCTAGATATTTCAAAAATTTTATTCACACAAGCTGTATAAAATTTGGAGATCATGTGGCACATGACACTTGCTAAACAATTCGCTTAGAAATATTAAATTTTCAGAACGTCACTAAATATTCTTACTGAAGAACGTCAAATAATTGGTGGTATAAAGGAAGCACAAATATTCTACATTAAGTGCGAGGTATCTTATGTATTACTTCAAACACTTTGTAAGCGCTGGTTTTGTATGTAAGCACAAGTTTGCTATAACTAATCATCATACATTTTTGCTATAACTAATCGTCAAAATGAATTTCTTGAAATCAACTGAGTTTCAAGTTCCAAAGGTCTTGATAAGCTTCTCGAACTCTGCAAAATAATAAAAAGATGAAAAAGTTAGTTTTGCAGTTGGCAAACCGTAACAAGCAGTAGCATAATGCAGATTAGGGTACCTTTGTTTGACAACTAAGGACCCCCAACAAAAAGGGGCTCCTAAATCATTTTTATCTTAATGTTTTAAGGTATCACGCAAGTTCATCTCATTTTCAAAAACTTTTACATTTCGTCGACTGAAGTTTCGATAACTCAAGCTCCCCCTAGTGAATGAGCAATTTTCTTTTGTGTTTGACATCCATCTCAGTGCTTTTCCTTATGCTAGGCGCACACGAGAAATTTTAGCTGCGCTAAATAGATAGCGTTGCTGAGATCATGAGCAAAATTTTTCGATTTTTTCTGGTTTATTTATTTATGACAAGTTGGATTTAGAAATTTTTTTTACTTATTGTGAATCATTTCTTATTGTAAGTTCTTAGGATGCACCCAGTAAATCAATCATTCTTATTGAAAGACTACTATGGTTGTAAAATAAAATAAAATCAAAATTTCAATCGAAAATGTAAGAGGCTGTATAAAGGTGCTTATAAATAAATTATATTCAATTGATTGCGCTTTGTTTACGAAATTTGACCGCATAGAAAGGTATGCCGTATGCAAGATAGAGTTTATTAAAAAAAGAGGGGCTGGATGAAAAGTCAACGTCAACTAAGAGCCTGTTCGAGAATAAGCTTAAAGGTAGTCGTCAGATACTAAAGTGGATTGAGCCATCTGTTAATTAATATTATCCAATCAATAGGCATGTGAAGGGTACCACTCTCATTGATTGGTCAGTGGTTGATTGACAGATGTCTGAAGCATCCTTATTCTGTTGTGAAAATCATGTTTAAGCCATACCGTAAACGTTGATGAATCCATCGCAATCCCAATCAAAAACCCTAATTAATTTGGCAATTTCCTCCTTTGTGATTTCTTCACCAAGCTGTTGAAATGCATGCAGAAGTTCGTCGGAGCCAATCAGTCCATTTCTGTCAGTATCGACAATTTGAAATGCCTTCTGCACTTTCTCCCATTGATTTGGTAGGTTGTTTGGTCTCACGATTGTTTCAAGTTCTTCGAAGCTTATGCTACCATCCCCTATTTGTAGTTAAGAATTTCATTGCATTTATCAATGAACTACGATCGAACAGATTTAACTATATCAAAATAAAGCCTTAAGTAAATAACATATAGATAGAAGGCTATATGCGAATCTGATTTGAGATATAAGTAAATGACTGTATTTAACTATTTCTACTTGGAACCACAGAAACAACCAGATTTCTAATTCTTACAAGCGTAACTTGATATAATTAAACTTGTTCAATTTGGCGGTCATGACAAATAAAAGAAAATAAAGAAACAATTGTAACTCGCTTTACTATCGAGAAATCCTTTGGGTCATAAAAAAGCTGATATTTTTTGTTGACAATTGTGAACTTTTCAATTTCGATATTATAGATCATGATATGTCAAACAGAATAATGTGAGTATAAAAAGCCTTTTGTGATGACTCCAGATTATACAATGGTCTTACCACCTCTATTTTCACTTGCATAATACAAGTTGAAGTGCAGTTTTAGTTAAGGATGGCCGACCGAGTCATAGCTAAGGGGAAGATTGAACTGAGGACAGGTGTTTGATAGGAATTGCTATTTCAATACTTGATACTTTCTGGATTTCAATGAAGAAAAGTAGAGTTTCAAGATCTAGCAGCGCTTTGATGTTCCATTTTTCATCTTCAGAAGAGCAGAAGATATTCAGTGGTTAGAATGAAATATTGCACTGTTATTACCGCTTGTGTCGATCATTTCCACAATGTCGTTCAGTTCTTTTTCAGATAACTGTATTCCAAGTTCCCGCATGACGTCTGTGAGCTCATCTCTTGAAATCTCTCCACTTCCATCGCGATCAAACAAATTAAATGCTTGACTAAGCTCTAGAAAGAATAAATGGGGCATTTAAATCTGAAGCAACGGTAACTTATACATTTTCTAGATGTAGTTGATGTATTGTCAACCCGTTTTTTCTCATGCGTTTACCTAGCAACAGTCTATACAAAAATCTCGTTTTATATATTATACAAATTTGAACCCATATTAAACTGACAGAGCTAGCATAAAGAGTTGAGTTTCATTACATTCAACTTTTCGATTTAGCCGAATATTCCCTTATCAGGATACAGTGCAAAAACATAAAAGACCAGAGGTAATTTGAACTTCGGTGTAATATTTTCAGTAGATCAATGGCTTAAGATTTAGCTGGAAGAACAGATGCATTTTTCATATTTTATTTTCAAAAAAGGAACAACATAGTTCATTACAAGCTTGTATGAATTCTACGTGTAAATGAAGTGCCATGGCCAAGAGAAATCACATAAACACAAAATTTACATCATTTTTTGTAGGTTACTTACTTGTTCTATTCATTCTGTCGTTAGGTTTGTCGTTCTTCTTACATTTTATTGAATGCTTTCGTTAGCCGTCACAAGTAAAATGTGATATCTGTCTTGGTTGACGCATGTCATTGTACTTGGCATTTCAAAAACTTGTCAAGACAAGGACAATGAGAGTCACCTGCTACCAGAGCGTAGGCAGCGCTATGTGTTTTCAAAACAATTCTGCTTTAGGAAGTTCAAATAGAAATCAGCCCTTTGATAACATTAATTTTGTAAAACCAATTTATGCCGACTTCATCAAGTATTAAAATCTAATTGTCTGTTTTTAGAAGATGTTGTAAAGAACAAGTGAATTTTAAAAAAAGACTCAAAAGGCTGAATTAGATTTATGTCTGTAATATTTTACGACGTAAAATTCGGCCTTTGCTATATTTGAGTCGTAGTCAAACGAAAATGAAAAAGATGTAAAAACGCGCACAAATTTAGCAGTTATATCAGCAATATTTTTTAAAACAAATGAAAAAGTTCAAGGCTTATTGAATTAATCCAGAATTTTCGTTGATGGTACGTGTAAATGCGACGAACCAAAAACAAGCTACCTAACAGCAAACAGCACATACAGATTCAACGTTAAAAAGCTTCTAATCTAAACCAGAATCTAAGGAGCATATTGTAAGAAATAAATAAATTAAGTCATCACCTTCGCTTGAAATTTCACCAAATACAGATTTACTTTTTTGCATTGCAGAATTTTCCGTCTAAGTAAGAGAAAATATCGTTTTAGATCAGAATAGATATTAAATTAATGATAGAGATAAAGATTTAGAACAATTATTCAACCGAATGGCATTGAGCCTTATTTGGAACTGAAAAAAGAGGTTGATAGATAAAATCAAAATCAGACTATGCTACCCTCGACTTTAACGTGTTGATCATTTTTTTTAAATGCTAGCATTATTTGTATTAGTACTCATTTTCAAACTCTTGCTGGGATTCGTTTTGTGAAATTTGACCAAGAAGCACTCCGAAAAAAGGCGAATTTCCTAAGATTTCACGATTGATTTCAAAATACACTCCACTCACGTTAAATACAATAGGTAAGTTATCTTAAGCCCTGTTTACACTACAACTTTTTACCCGGGTTAAAGCTAATCTGGGTTGAACCCAGGTTGAACCCACTTTCGTTTACACTACATTTACAACAAAGTATAGTGTAAACGCAAAGTTGGGTTGAACCCAGGTTATATTCGTCACGCATGCGCTTCGTTGTGAAGGACGCTTTATGGTGCATGAATCTAGCTGTTGATGGATGTCTTCGTTCGCCCATATTTCGATTAACGACATGACTTCATCGTCGCCCCATAGTTTACCTCTTTCAGCCCTTGTTTCATTCATTTTCCATATATGCTGCTTTAAATTGAAGTACCTTTTTGCACGAGCATTCCAAGACGAATTTTGCTTTGACTTTGTGTTTGGCGTCTTTCATGGCTCAAAAGGCGCATGCGCGAATTAAATCGTTAACCTGGGTTCAACCCAGGTTTGCGTTTACACTGCATTTCGAAGTTCTTAGGCTGGGGTCAACCTAGGTTCAATCCACCTCCAGAGTAGGGTTGGCTTAGCCCAGATTCAACCCAGGTTAGCTGCGTTTACACTACAAAATTTCTAACTCATGCTAACGTTAACCCAGGTTCAACCCAAGTTAAAAGCTGTAGTGTAAACAGGGCTTAACAGCGTGACTCAATAAAACCAAAGGCGTTGAAAGGCCTATTTAAAATATGTTATGGGTTAACAATTGGATTAAGAATCCGTTAAAAGATGACAAAAGCAGATAAATAGAAAACAGGAGACTTAAGCACAGTTTTTCAAAAATTTGCAAGTAAGTTGAATATTAAAGTTGATTATATTCAAAATAGGAAGAAAATTTAATAGAAAATTCACGTTAATTTGATTCAGTGTGACAGTGCAGTCTTATGAAGGGCACTGTAGTAGAGCCAAATGAACCTTGGGGTACAAAAAGGCTTTTTGGCATTTGAATGCTAGCATTGCAACGACTGTTGCCAGACGATGAGCACAGGTAAACACATGAACACGTAAAAACTAAGCAATATAACACGAAAAAATCGACGAAAAAACTTCCTTGAGTATGTCTTCCACTGAAATATAAGAACTTTAAGCTACCGGAGAGGCAAGTAAATTGTCTATGCATTTTCATTAAGGTAATAATTATTACTGCTGTGGAAAACATTGGGCTTTTATAACCTTTTGTCGATGAATTAATGAATGGAATGCTTACCATTTTGAATGCTTTTACGCATCACCTTTCAGAATTTCCTCATACCTTGATATTTCCTACTTTTCAAAACCTACAAACAAAAGAGGCAGTTGAAAAAGCACTTTTTGCTAACCTTTTTATGATAGGATTTAAATGTGCAATTATCTTTTTAGCAAAGCCTTGGAAACAGGGCTTCAAATCAAACCGTCATATCTGACTATATGACCATGTGACAAAGACAGTGTGGTGCTTTATTATATAAGAGGATCCTTCTTCAGCTTGAATAACAAGTCAATACTTTTACGATTGACGGATACAGCAAAACAATTAAAGTATTCTTATCGCCACATCATGTTTGCTAAGAACATGTTGTAGGGCTTAAGTTTGCTAACAGTTTCAAGGTAGCATTGCAAATTTCAATTAGCTTTGAGTAAATTTTCAGGATTGATTTGCTATTTGAGGAAATTTAATCTTTTATTCTTCGGCCTCAAAATGATTTTCAACAATGATCTATGTTTTCAACTGATCTAGCTATGTAACTACAACGATAAGCAGGGCATTTTTCAACATACTCAGCGGTGAAGGAATTGCCCCACCAGGCCCTCCGACTTCCCCCACCACTAACAACAAAAATGCTCTTTTCATCCCAAATTCCTAGGCCATAGCGTTGCCCATTCAAAAAAATGTGCTGGTAGTTATATCAAAAAGGCATTTTGATGAACTGGGCCCGGCGCACGAACACTTGAAACATGATAAAATAGTGGCAAATGGAATTCCTATTGTGTTTTTGAAAGGTGATAAACTACTATGTAACCCTTTTTGTGCGTTCTGCAAAGCTTATTATAGCTGGATTTTTCAACTTTGTCTAATCCCTGAAAGATTCCGTCGTTCTGCCTTATAGACGTAGGAACCAGGGGCACGTCCCCCTCCCCCAAGTTTAAAAAATTCAGGTAAAATGCCTCTCTGAAGCTTACCAACTTGTCCTTGCCAACTTGCCAACTGCATAACAAAAACTGTCCTTTAAAAACTTAGGTGCTATACGAAATGTGCAAAAAGAGTGGGAGTTGTAATACTGCTAATTTTAGGCCTTTCTCTCTAGTCCATTCGTTTGATTTTCCTTACCTAATCACTCTTGTTTATCTGTAACTTTCCTTGCTCGTTCCACATTTTTCTATCACGTGTATTAGGATAATCTTTGTATTATTATGAGTAACTTCATACCTACGTCAATTATCAGCATGTTAAATAGATCGCCATAGCAACTCAGTATTTAAGGATATCACGCTACCCAACCCCGCTCGTCACTAAGTAGATTACTTCCTTTCACCGTTTCATTTACGTATGTCTATTGTTTTTAGTTCAGTATATATAGGAGCCCTGTACCTCATCCTAGGCAGTAAGAATTATGGAAAAAAGCAACAAGGGAAAACAGTTTAGGCATGCACCGTTTTAGGGGCAAGATGCTTGTGAAAGATCTTGTCGCCTTCGTTTTGCTCTTAGTCGTTTTGAGATATATATAGGAGATGTATCAGTTTTGGGAGACCTCTGGATTAGTTCTTGAGAAAGATTATGCCCATGTCACGCGTTAAATATTATGCCGTTGTTAGCATGCAAGTTATGTAGCTGCCGGGACGATTTCATCGAAAGAAAAGAAGGAAAGATTTAACCGATTTATGCCGCACCATTTATTGGCCATCCTCTGCCTTTAAAAGGTCCTGAGAATCGTTAGCAACATTTCACAGAGTGACCTTTTGAAACGATGTTCTTAAATTTTTCTATGTGATCTGCTTTTGAAGCACCAGGGGACGGTAAAAAATTGCCCTAGTGCCTTGAGGATAGGAGACCCCTCGAGCTTTCCAGTTTGAGAAAGCAATAGGTAAGAAATTATGCCTAAAAATTGTACTAGGTTTTAAACAATTGCGAGAAAATGTCTCCAAAAATATTATGAAATTTATTTTTAGCTAATCAAAAGGGCAAGGTTGCCAAATTTTTTCTGCTTGCCTCGCTCGCAAAGGGCCCCCAAAAACCTCTCACAGGCACTGCGGAGCAATCACTTTTCGCAAAAAGCGCCAAATATCAAATAACAAACAACCAGTAAAGTTTCTTTTTGTAAGGTTTTAGCCTCCCCCCACTTTCTTTAAGCCCCCCATTTTCCTCTCAAATTAGACCAGACAATGGTATCTTTATCATTATAGAATGATAACTATACTGAATGATATAGAATGATATCTATAATGTAGACAGGCTTCTAGAAGCAGCCTTTTTAACCTTTCTAGAATTGTGGTTAGGGTGCTCCATAAACAGATTTCTTAAGCTTATAGAAAGGATGACTCTTATAATGCTTCTCCTATAAAACAGGTCTTTCTCCCTTCACTTTTATTATGCTTTCTACGTTCTTGTCTTGCCTTGAAGAAGGACGGACTCCGGCGGTTTGTCCGCAAGTGGAGAAAGCTTTTCTTGATAATCAGGTTTGACAAAATTAACCCGTTTAACTTTGATTTAAATGCGCCCGGCACCTATGGGCGAGCTGTCTTCAACACATGGCAACATCCATCAATCATGCCAGCCAATAATAGCTTTCGCGAAGCAACAATCGTGTCATAAAACAGGTTTAAGTCACATCCATCCTTACCTTCCAATTCATTCAATTGTGGCTTTCATAGTGCATCAGATTTCTCGGTCTCAAAGGAAAAAAGCGGTCATGATAAGCGTTTTGAAAGTAAAAGACAGGAACTAAAGATAGCAGCTGCTACCCCAGGCGAGCAAGCAATATTTGTTATGTTGTTTCATGCCAAATTAACTTCTAGGCCAACAACTTCATCTGAATCTGAGCAAGAACCAGTGGAGGGCAAAACTGAAATGGTAGACGTAGGCCTAAAACCACTTTCAAACATTCCAAATCAAGGACAAGTGTTTCAACCAGCTCATGGTGGTTCCAAAGATGACTCAGATATTTTGGAGATTGTCGACAATGAACTGGCAGTACAACCCAGCACGCCAGCACAACTACCAAAGAACTCATCATATGTAATGCGGGGAGAATCAGCCAGCACTAATGAGTCCCTGTCAAAATCATGATATAAAAAGAAGAAGCTGGACATCAACTGGCTTTATTAATCTGATCAATGCTTAGATCTGAGGAGAGAAGGAAAAGACAAGCGACAAATACCAGTTATGTCTTGCTTACTTTGCAGAAAATATGAAATTCAAGTACGAAAATTTGCAAGCAATGACCAGCTGCCAATAACAGCAGGATTACGTATTGATTGACGAGATAGACTAAAAAAGGTAATTGATCATCTTGAATCACCCATCCACGCAGAAGCAGTGAGATTAAAAGAGTATGAAGATTGTGGCATCGTGGAGCACAATGTCAGACAAACATCCATGGGCAAGAATGAGTAAAAAAGCAAAAAATGAAACACTACAATGTTTGGTACGCTTTGCAGTTGATGTGTACAATAAAGGAATGGTTGAAATATTGCGTGCAAGAAGTTGGCCATCAAGGTCTCCTTCATCAGATGTCAGAAAAGTCAGTCAAATTTTGAAGCAGTGCTTGTGCTTCTGCGTGCAGATTGATGCGTGCTGACAAACAACAAATTGACACCAAATTCATAACCGCAAGGTTTGTTCCAGCAGATGAAGTAAGTGTAAAGACAGTGTACCTTGGTATTGCAAGCAGTTAGCTTGGTGATGCAGATAGTTTTATTAGACACTTTGGTACAGTGTAAGGATGTCGACCTTCGTCGTGATACAGAAAAGTTGGTTGGCGCGACAACAGATGGAGAGGCTGCATTTACGGGTAAAAAGAAAGGACTGTGGAAACTTATAAAAAACAACATTGGCAGGGACATTTTGACTGTATGGTGTGTTTGCCACAATCTCACTTTGCATTAGAATCCGTACAGTCTCAAGTACCTGAGCTCGCCCTCTGGATGACAAATGTCCTTGATGTTACATCTTTTTTTCGCTCGTCTCCTCGAAGAACAAAGCTGCTTCTTAAAGAGAGTGATAAATGCCTCGAAATCCCCAAGTACTTTCAAGTCCGATTTGCATAATATGCCGTGAATGTCCTAAAAGCCGTTCTTCACAACCTAGCAGCAGCAAGAAGCGTCTGGACAAAGATGTGCGATGGAGCAATCCGAACAGGGTTTCGCTCAACTTGCAAGTGGAAATTCATGCATTATGAGTAGGAGTCTGTTGTGTAAGTTTCATGCTCGAAAACTGAAAACCCTTTTTATGACTATTCTTAACCGCTTTTAGGCTAATGATAAATAAAAATTCATACAACACAAAACCGTTCCTGTAACATCTACTCAAATGAAGATAAAATGAAGAAAAATAACGACGAGGAGTTATGTACGAGAAAGCCATGTAACATAATCAAGTAGTTGTATATCCATACCGTCATTGATTGTTCGTTCAGAGCATCGCTTTGATTGAAAAGGAAATTAAATCAAAATGTTAAGAGCCTTATTTCTTTTTCCATTTCCACTTCGCTGCAGTTTTTTGTTAGGAGTCCATTGGGTTGTTCGGTTATCCAGTTCTTTCCAATCCCCGCAATAAAATTCCTTGGCACGTGTCACACAACACAGCAGTAAATCATCTCTCTCTTTTATGAAAGTTTGCATAAGGCTCATGAATACAAATGCTTTCTACAGATTTTTCAGAATGATCTAAAATAAGTTTTAAAATTGAAGATAATGACATACATCTATCTCTTCAAGAATTTCCTTGTCATGAATGCCCTTACTTAACGTCCGTTCAAGTCTATTAAATACAGCCCGCGTCAAATACTTGCCTTTGTAGCACACCGCCTAGATCGATAAACATGACCTCAATCCCCAATTTAATTGAATTACTAGCTGAAGTTGCATTTTTAAATCTTAGGTAAATGGTACCAAAATTAGCCGACTTTCGATTGACAATCTTATTGCTTTCTTGAATTTGAATACAAAACTTTCATAAAGGATTGCTAAATATTTTTGTTGGAAAACAAGCTTTCATTAAATTACACAGCAAAACACAGACCCTCATATTTACAATCGCTTGAGGTCTACGAACTACAGTTTCAAAGGGCCTGTCAGGCCGAGAATTTACGTGCCATACATTTCTACTATATTTACTGCCTTGCAGGCATAAGCAGAGGAAAACAGCTATACTTAAGTTTTCATTAAGTTGAACAAAGATACAAGAATGCTGCAATTAATCAATATTGGTTACCGTAAATATTGTGATTTCGAAAGCGTGACTTTTTCAGAATGTTCACCTTAAATTCTCCGTCATTTGATTGATGTTTATTAAAACCAATCTTGCACCGACATCAGAAAGATTCTCAAACACTATCGTTAAAACTTCATAAGCGATGAAAGTATTTAATCTTTAATGAGACATCACTTGAATTCGAAAAAGACCACAAATTAGTGTTTCAGACAATTTATGAATCTGTGGAAGAATTTATTTGAGCAACCAAAGTCAGAAAAATAAAATATTCATTCTAAACCTAAACAAAGGTTGCTGCCATGGATATTATAGTCGGACAACTATAGGAGAGCCTAACCTGATATAGCCTTGCTTCTTTTCAGTGCATCAAAGCTGTTGTCGTTATTCATCTAAACTCTTATAGTCCTCCAAATTGTCAGAAATCTTCAATAAAATCACCAATGATGATAATGAAAGCATAGTGCTCAAATCGTGATTGGCTAAGAGCTTGCGCTCTAACACTTGGCCTCTCTCGTTGCTCAGCAAATCACAACCCAAATAATGTAAAAAAACTTAAGCCAATACCAAGAACCGGGCATTCTCACCACTTTCCTTTAAGATAACGTGTAAAATCTGCCAAAAAATATATTTCAAAAATTATTTTTCACACGTAAATTCCACATAAATCTGCTGTGATGAGGCGTTGCAAACCTTTGCTTTCAAGGAGATTGACCAAATTTTAGTAAAAAGCGGTAGGTACCCAATCAAACTAAAATTTGATATATTTGTTTGTTTTAGGTAGAAGTTTTAGGTGGTTTGTATCGTTACATAAAAACTTTGTCCTGCACCAGAATACTACAGTTAGAAAACCTTTTGACAAAAATGTTAGTATTCCGCTAAGAAAACTAGCATTTTATAATTGCTTTCACCTAAGCAATTTTTAAAACTAATGAATAATAGTAAGATCTCCTTACTGGAAATTTCTTCTTACTATTAGTTATCACCCAACAAAACTTTTTGTTTCTAGATCTCAATTTTCCAAATAGAGTCGATTGAAGCGGCAGTTTGACGTATCTTGATGTTACTAAGCTTTAGGCTAGAGTAACACTATACCAGACTGTTATTGGAGCGGAGCAGAGCGGAGTAACGTTTACTCCAGAGTGATATTTGAGGTAGCAGTTTCACCATGACGCTCCGCTTGTTCATAAGCCTGCATCCCTCTGCAGTGTGCTTTTGCAGTGTGCTTTTGTAAACTCATGCGAAAAATGCACCAGAATAAATAAGTTGATGATGAACTTTTCGAAGCTATGTGCTATTGTAAGTTCGTTTTCAACAACTACTACATAATAAGACGAAAACAACCCTGAAAATTGAGCGATAAGTGATGGGGGTTCGTTGGACGGATAGCGAGATTGCGTTGCTATTCGATGTGTCTAAGTATGAGTTTAGTCCATGGGCAACTTCAATGAAATTTGGGGAAAGATAAAATCCCAATTAGGAAAATGTTGGGAAAATTTCAATTGGGCACTATCCAACAGCAACAAAAGCTCAGAGATCGCCTTTGTTCACTAACGATAGAATTGTTTCAAGCAGAAAACAATAAGGAAATTCTTTGTTTCAAAGCGGAGTTTATCGGATTCGTGCAATTACACTACAACGCTCCGCTACGGAGTGACTCCGGAGTGATTTTCGTATTACCTCCAGTACGGATTTTCACCCCGCTAATCAGAGCATTGTGTATCGGATTCGTGCGGCGTAGTGTAACTCAAACCCCTATCCAATATGAGAGTTACACCGCTCCGATAGCAATCCGGCATAGTGTAACTGGTACCTTAGTTAGTTTGGAAATATTCTTTAAAGTAGAGCATAGTCCAAATACAGTATCGAATTAGGACATTTCTATTAAAGGAATGTAAGCATCTTGCTGCTTGATTCCAAGGTTGTCTTTAATATTAACAAACATTTTTGCAATAGTATGATTATCATTAACAATTTTGATTTCTTCTTTAAGATAAATAGCTCGGAATGTATTGACGTTATCTTGGAATGTTGGCTACAAAGTTTTTAAGAAATTGCAAATGTTAGTTACATCCTTACTTTCAAAGACCCATATAAGCGAGGATTTTTACATAACCTTCTTGCAACCTGCCTAATCAGAAATTAAAAGTGTGGGTCATAAAGATAATTTCGAGCTTTGAGGAAATTCTGGCAAATAACCGGAAGTCACGTCACCAGAAATTTGAATGTTCCCATTCAGCAAAGCCTTCAAATTTTTCAGACGTCATGATGCAAATGGAAAATGCAAGCAGAACTGATTTTATAATCATCAAACCTCAATTTGATAATATCTAAAAGCAAAAGGTTATGCCAATTGAAACAGTTGCGACACTTAAAAGAAAGAAATCAGATTTTTTCAGTTGGCAATCTATTTGAGTAAATCGAAGTGCAGCTTTGCTTGAAGCAATTTTGGGATTATAACACCATCTACAAGGGCTTTTTGATTAGAAAAACACCTTTAGAATGTTGATTTTTACACTTGAACTTAAAGGAAGATAAAATATCACTTATCATAACTTTTCTATCCACTGATTAGGTTAGACAATTAAAGCAAAATATTTAGTCGGTAGACAGTAGTTTATTTCAAAATATAGGGTACTTAACATCTCTTTTTCTCGTGATAAGAGGTATCAATTCGAGTTTTAAAAGGATTGCGTTTCGACCAACCAATAGAGGTCCGTTATCTGTTAGGTTACGTGCCGGTGTGATTCTGGCTATGTAGAATGCAGAACCTAGAGAGCATATTCATGGGAGCGTATTCTAACATATACTGTTAGCTGTTTTGATCGAATTTTTGCAAGCCTGCTTTTTACCTGACCACGTGCCTCGCCAAAGCAAAAAAATAAATCCTCTTCTTTGCAAGCTCCATTCTATTAGCCTCTTTCCTAGCTATTGCCGTGTGCCAGAAGACAAGAACACAGACCTTGTTATCTGGCTTGTTTGCATTCGCGATATCTGCCTGACAGTCAACTCAACTATTATAAGGCTAAAAATTCTAGAAACAATCGAAAACCTGCCAGGGAGAAATCCTTAGTCAAATACCAGAAACACACTCATTTTTACCAAGGATATCACAGGTGGTTTTGTTGCTATTTGCTTATAGCAAGACTTCTGAAACACAAGAACTGGATACAAGACTTAGCAACTATAGACCTCTGGGTCATGCAGGACAATTTCATCCCAGAATTTGTTGGATGTGCAGCTCTACCTACACGTTATCGAGCCTGTATGACAGGCCGGGAAAATAGTAACTTTCATGATACTTATAACAAATCAGCATTTTTCAATTTTTTAATGAAGAGTGTCTAAATACAAAAAAACATAATAAAAACGCCCCAGTCGGTTTAAAACTGACCAGTGCCTGAGCAATATCGATATATTGTTAATGTAAAAGGTGAATAATTTCGCAAAGCAGATAACAAACAAAACACAGAAAAATTCTAATAACGAAATTCATGTCTTACATATTAAAATAATGAAAAGCATCATATCCAGAACTGAAGAAAGCACCAACGGAAATGGAACGATTTTTTGGGTGCACAGCTCGCTTATATCAACTGTCTGCAGTAATCTTCGTCATAAATCGAACAGTCCCGTTACAGGTACAGCTGCAATGCAGTGACATTGTTGACCCTCCGACTTTAACAAACCTTGTGCCTTAAAGAAATTAAATTAAAAGCTTCAATATACTTGGCGAAAATGCCTCTATTTTGTAAACCAACCAGAAGATTTAAACGTTTTAGCAGACTGATTTGTAAGCCTTTCAAAAATCAGTATTATATTTCATTCATTTGCGATAATTGAATAAGTAAAAATATTCTTTAAACTTCGGTGCAAATAATTGAGAAGTGATTAGAATACAGAGACAATTTAGGTTGCACACATGCGTAATTATTTCACAAGCTTAACGCTTTAAAAACGACAGAGCTGGTTGCTGGTGAGTTATTTTATCATTAATATTTATCAGTACTTTAAGCAAGGAGAATTTATTTATAACTAGTCGAAATACTTGTTTTGATATGGACCTGTTTCGATATGGATATAAACCTTCATCTGTCACTGCCTTGACGATTTTCCTCGACTTTGGAGATTTGGTTTCAATACAGACATTAGCCTGGAAAAAAAATCATTTGAAGCATGGCATCACAATGTTTTCAAAAAAAGATTCTAAAATACATTTTCACCCGTAACTTAACAATGATACAAAAAATTGACAAGATTCACGCGAAAATAATAATGGGCCATAGAAGTTAAGGAAAGCCTATGATTCAGAGCAGACGAGGTTGAAACAAGCTTCATTATGGTGGCCCAATAGACTCGTTTCTGTTTTCACTTGCTTGTGCAAAAAACCAGCGATTTTATATCGTATCTAGACACATTTTGAATACTTCTGTCTGGCGAATATAATTGTCAGACGAAAATTTTAGATGGGCTTCACGCTTTGATTTCATAGAAATGTTTAGTTCTAAAGTTTTAGCTATAAAATTTGAAAAATCTTAGTTTCAAAAAGAAGAAAGTGAACGATAAAGAATGGAACTTCATAATGCAACGTGAATACACAGTAATAATAATCATCAGCAATTTAGAAAAATTCTTGTTGTAAAGTAACTTCGCAGATACAGGCTCGGCCAAGGTTTATTCTGCGCTCTCCCCAGGCTTCACGCGCGATAAAGTGTGATTTGCAGTTAGTATGTTAGTTAGGTTTTAGAGTTAAGCACGAGTGATGATGTTCCTGATAATTATGTAGTAGTTTCTCTTTGGTCAAATATTCTCAACCCACATGGTTTAGAGCTTACAAACATTCTTGTACATCAGTAAATTCAAAATTTCCACGCACAAGGCGTTTTAAACTACATTGAATAGCAAGAAAACTATTACAGAAACATCGGTTTATACTCAAACATTACAGAAAAAAATACCCTTCAAGCCAGTAAAATCATCGAGGTTTTTTTTTCAACATTTCTAAAACCTAACTATTTTGCAATAGAAACGGGACATACATCACCAGTAATTTAAAGCAGTCCCACACCGAAAAAGAGTATCTAAAATGACCTGAACCGCTGCTTACGAGTAAAAATTTTTTATATAAATGTTGAAAGAAGCATTCCTTACCTCAATATAGACGATGAGTAAAAATTGGAGAAAAAAGGTATAAAGCACCCTGCGAGGATCGAGAAGAAGGAGTAGAAAAATTCATAGAGATTATCGGAAATGAGTTATCGGAAAAAGTAGAAGAAAAAACCACATCATACATTTTATTATGCTTTTGTTGCAGCTTTTGTTGTTGAACATTTTGATATAATAAAGCGGACGAATCGTTGTCTTCTGCTGGCATTTCACTGCTTTGCGCTTTGATCGCTTTTTTAAGGTTGCCAGTCTAAAATAAACAGAACAGTAGCTACACAGTCAGGCGAAATAAAAAATTGCATTTTCTAAAGAGGCAGAGAGCAGACCTTTATTGCAAATAATAGACTATTTGTCCTTTTGATAAGTTCCTATTCATGGTGAGGACAAATTAAGATGGGTTTATTTTGTCAGTGCTCTTTAATAAAGACTTTACAACATCAAAAAGTATTGTTAGCGAGCAAAGCAATATCGTATGCCAGTAAAGCAAGCGGGGAATTCGATACGATGGCGATTTCACTTTTAAAATGACATGAAGACTTTATTGTGAAGGTCATGCTGACCTTGAAATGATAAGAAAAACCAGAGCTTATCTGGGTAATGGAGATAGGCAAAGCGCGATTCGTTTAGAACAATAAACAAACTTTAATTCTTATGTTGGCAGGGCGAACCTATGGCTTGCAACAGAATATTAATGTATGACCTTGCTCTAGCCCATTCAAACAAACCCTTTGCTAAATCATCTTCATTCTAAGAAGAAAGCAAGCTGATCGTATTGGAAAAGGTTTTGCTTCATCGAAGAAGTTCTGCAATTTCATGTTGGATTTGATGTGCTTGGTTTGGTATTTGATATATGACAATTGAAGAAATATAAAAGCCGGTATAAATATGGGGGTATTCGACGAATATGGTACAAATTTCTAGAATAAGTCAAGAAAGTCTGTGTTCTAAGCACCTCCTCTTCAATTTGCTTCTTTAGCCTCAGCCTATGCTCCTTCGTGCTATTTGATCGAGATATTTGCTTGTCAAGGCTTTCAAGAACTTCATCGCAGCTCTTGCACCTAAGTAATCAGAACAGATAGCTCAAAGATTGATATCGAATAAAAACAAAATGTATTTGATTTATTTTCCTGCTAGACAAAAAACTAACCTTGTCTGAAAATACTTTCCTTGGTTGCTGTAAGCTCGACAGTGAAAATACGTTTCTGGCTGCATTAAATCCAAAATATCTTAAGTATTACAAAGAAAAGATATCTTCAACAGCTGATAACTTTTCAAGAAATTGAAATTGAACTGTACCAGAAAAAGATATATTCAACTAGTGATAAATGTAATGCATTGCTCTAACGGCTATCACTATATATAATTGCTTCACCAATCTGCTTACACCATTCAGCTTACACCTATCTTCGCTGTAACTAGGTGGCTTTTCGATATTTACTCAGAATAATATGTTTCCTCAAAAGGTATTCTCTTTACAGCTACTAATTAATAAAACAGCTAATAGAAGCAGTTTCAAAAAAAATCATCGACAAATAAAAACACTTACCATTTTTCAAGAACATCTGCAATAGAATCGATTGTTTCTTCTTTGATATCACGACCAATGACGAACTCGATTTCAAGCTAAAAGGTATTCTGACGTTTTAAAGGAACAAATATATGTAAAATCAGGTCAAAATAAATAGCAGTAGTTCCATCATATCACTTTTGAAATAATTTTCTGTTCATTTTCTGTTCATTTTCTGTTCATTTTCTGTTCATTAACTTTTAACAGAAAACTCCCATTTGGAAAAAGCTAACACATATCGTAAATTTGACATGATTTCTGTCACGTCAAATCTAAAAGTATACACTTTGAAATGAAAAAACTTGGAAAAATGGAAAATGATAATTTACAGTGAAAATTTGGCAGTAAAAGGTAAATGCGCAACAAGCTCGGACAAGTGGTTGCATTTAATAGTAAAGAAACGGGTGATGCAAGGTCAGGTTCTTAGAAATGCCTCTTTGTTTTTGAGTGGTTTGACCCTGGTGTCATAGCTTTGTTGTGGTAGAGATCGAAACAGGCTATCTTCGCTATATAGAATTTTAAGTTCCGAAATACCTCACACCACACAAAAAAATATTGCATAAATCAAACCATTGACATATTGATGTGACTTTGTTTTACTTTAAGGCTGAATAGTAGCAGACAAATTGCTAGAACACACCAAAGTAACAATTCAAAAGATCTTCGCCAAAGTATCAGTTCAAAAGTAGTTTACCTGCTGTCTCTTCTGGTCTAGTTTGCCTCTAAGAATTCCAACATATATTGTTTCAATGACCAAATCCTACAAAAAAATTGAGAAGACATTTGTGCAAGACGTTTAATTAGTCCATAAAAGATTATACGATGCTATGAATAATAACAATTTCTATGGTTTAGACAAGACAAAACAGTTTCATTATTTTGAAAAAAATAAAACAGACATTTTGAAAGATTATATATTGTATCGCCGGAAATAGCTACCACCACTAAATAAAAGAGAGATAAATTTGTATTTCTCTAGGGATCTGTAACTTGAGTTCAATCTACTTGGTCACATCAGAATTTAATGCCCGGGCTTCAGGGTTCATTTGATGCACAATCAACAACTCTATCAAAACCTACATGCTCTTTAGCCAGCTTCCCATTCATTTTCCAATAACAATTACAAAGAATTTTGACTATTCCATGAAGTAAAGATTATTACCTAAGCTTTTGCGGACAATCCGGACTTTATTAGCAGGCAGGAGAATTTTCTACTTGTTTCTGAACCTAATTCTTATCTGAATACCCTTCCTCGGACAATTCAAAGCATAGACCAAAATTTGAGAAAAGTAACTTCCTATCGACGTTCAATGAGACTACTAGCAAAGTATCCACTTAACTAATAATGGCTTACTTTAAATGTGTGAACAGCCTACAGACTTTCGCACTGACGGCAAAGTAGAGAAGATTTAAAAGATGGCTCACCTCTAACTGGCGCACACTTTTCATGCCAAGTTCTTGTAAAAGTGTGGAGTAGGGAATGTGCTATGTGATAATGATAATATAAGTCATTGTGAAAACGAAAATAAAAAGATTCCAGAAAAATTTGCCTATATCACTTTGTTATAATAACAGGCCTTAAATAGCTTCATTTGTCTTTATAGCTTAAAATGTATGTCATTTAATTCTCATGTATAAAATTTTAATGGAAATTTATCTTAATGGAAATTCCTACCATGTTTGAAAACAAAAAACAGACTTGTCTGCAATATACCAGTATATACTTAAAAATGGAACACTTAAAACGAACCAATTTTCAAAGCACCTTGCACGTCAGAAAACAAAAGTTATCAATTCATAATTTTTGAAAGTACACTACTGTCGGACATCCTGCAAAAGCAAAAAAAATGTTTTTTCAAATGACATGCGAACTGTACCGACGTTTGATGAAAATTCTCTTCAGACACAGTATACTGTTACCTCATCTCTGCCTTTTTCTAGTCTAATGTTTCACGCAATAATATAGATTTTAATAAAGATTTCATTAGTTTAATAACAAGAAAATAGAATAAAAAAATGCAAGACCTGTACTAACGATTTGCCTGCATACCTTGTTTATTGATGCAAGCTCGATGATTGTGAGATGGCGCAGCTTCATCACCTGTGCCTCACTTAGTTCTGGAAAGTTCTGAACATTTGCTTTAAAAGTGAATGAGACACAAGCTTAACATCAAAATAACAGACACTACGATTTACACAAAATTTAAACTTATGACACCTATGCAAATATAAAAAAAAACTTGAGGGATGATGCAAGAAATCAAAAGTCTATACGTGAGACTTTCTTAGTTGTAATGGCATTTGGTTTAAATGTATTCTTGAACCTTTAAACTTTTGAATCTATGGCTGAACCACATTTCAATTATGATATCTGACAGCCAAGAGAAGAGATAGGAGGGCATGATATATATGCAGTGATACAGTGCCAGGTGAATTGATCCATTCATGTAAGATCAGCTAGTGGAAAGATACAAAAACTGTGTAAAAGCACTTTGTTGTATAAATGGTTTAAGGCCTATGGGACAATACAAAACAAAGAAAATAGTAGCCAAATGATAACAGGCTGCCAGCAGAAACCATATTTATTGACATATGACGGCCTTCCAGTATTTTAGTTTATCAAGTAAGTATATGAATATAATTTGAAACCTAATAGCCATCCTTTAAAGGCATCCAAATCATTTAATTTCATCAGCAACATAATGAGGAAAGGGTGCTTAACAATGGAACATAATACAAAAGTTCTCTGTATTAAACCTTTTGGAGGATGACAATGATTGAATTTAAAAAGTTTATCTTATCCATGATAGTTTTGTCCTGACACTCTGTCACCTACAGTTTCATTTATCATACATTCATTGTAAAAAAATTAATTACCAGTGTAGTTGCTGTACTTCCCATAAGCAAATAAATTTAACAAATTCCATTCTTTCTCGAGTTCGCAAGAAGCAATCTATAACAAAAATTTAATTGTTGAAAGATCACATCTGCCATCATTGACTCCACTGAACATTCAAAAATTCATTCTATTATCAATTGCATCTACCATCTAAAGCTTTCTCTAGTGTTACTTGCAGTGGCACAAACATGTCTTTTTGTTTCTTTTTCCTTCTCAAAAGTGTAATTTTGGAAAGAAAAGCTGATCAAATTAAAAGTTTCTTTGTCTCAAAAACAATTAATCGCAGGTCTTTTACATACAGCATTTTAGCAAATTTGTAGATGACATAAGATATTTCTAGATTATGATGCGCTAGGTTGAAAAGAAAATATTGTAATATAGAGATAAGAAGAAAAGACTATTTTTCAGGCTGTGACCTTGCAACAGGTGAAAATAGTACCTTTTAGGCAGTGCACTTTAATAAACAACCACAATACCTCATATTTGAACTTTACTTAAAGGTATGCATTTATCAAACAGCTTAGTTTTTTAGCTATTACTCTTTTCTACAAAAGTATGAGCTAAAGGGGGAATTAACAAACAAACATCTCCTGAACAAGCACCGCAAACAAGTATCTGTCTTATTGGTAAAAATTGTATGGAAATATATCTTACATATGTCTAATATTGATACAGATATGTCCAGAATAACTCTATTAGCTAACAATATTTAAGTATTTTTTATATTATCTTGATGCAAAAATGTGATCATGTTAGCTTATTTTATTAGTCACAATCATTTGGTCCACCTAACCCTCTCCCTCTCCTGGGAATTTTCTCCAAGCCTTCAAACTATAAGAAACTTTAACTCTTGGGTTTAAAAAATTCTTCATTAGACTATTGATTATAAGAGTTGCAATTAGCAAAGCAGAAATTGTTAGCGATGAAAAAAAGATTAGTTAACTTGAAAATGATTGAGCAAATTCAAACCACTAAAAAATAAGGTCTCAAAATAATTAGATAGATATCAAAATTCCCAATAAACTAACAAACAGGGAAGATAAAAACAGGGTTTGGTATGAAAAAACCAGAAAGCAAGATAGTCCAAATTGGCAAAGGTTGTATTGCTTTATTAAGAAATAGTTGTTGATGCCTAAATGCCTTAGGCAGATGACAGAAGAAGATAAAAAAGCAGAGGAAGGGGATGATTTTCATCCTAAAAAGAAACCTAGAGCAATCTAAGAGTACCTTAAACACTTTGAAGCAAATCATAACTTAAAATAAGGGAATGTTCTCTGAAGTTAGTAACTTCTTACCATAAGTCATTAAAAGTTAAAATTAGATAGCAACAATATATTTGAAAATATTTTCAAAATCTTTTTTGAACATCAATGTTAGCACCTTATGAAAATAAAAAATGAATATGCTTTACCTCCTTAATATTTGGCAATCTCATCAATTCCCCAAATACATAAACACCTGGTGCCTCTGTTACTTGCTTGATTAAATGACCAACAGCTGTACCTTTGATATTTTTTGCCAAGAGCAAAAACTGTTCTAGAGGATTTTTGCTTGCAATTTTAAAAGCTGTGTCTGCCATTCTTCTTACTGCAATTACAGCAATAAGAGTTTCACAGAGCAAATTAAATAAAGGTCTGGAAAGGATGAGCTAAAAATTTGATAGAAACATCAATACCATAAATCTTAAATCAAAATTTATTAAAACATTACTTGTATTTAATAAATCATATATATCAACACATCATGTTTCTTGTGTAAGGTGAGGTAAACCAAAGATTTAAAGCCTAACCACCCGATAAGCTGGCAGAACTTTCTCTGTCTTTAATTTACACTACATACATAAACTATTCTAATTTTGACCATAAAATGTGCGAAATTGCAAACTAGATCTCAAAATTTACAAAATCAGTTTTGTTTGTTTTATATTGTCTATGAAATGGCCCTTCAAAGACTCAAAGCTTTTGATATTTATGTATGAGGACACTGTTTAGTGGGTATGAGAGGACCAGGGTGTTTCCTCGTACTTAGGCCAGAAGATCTTTGGCGTACACCCAGGTTTTTTTTCGGCATTGAGAGTGCAAACCAATAAAAAGATTTTTGACATACTTGAAATTTTTGTTAGTTGGTATGCTAAACATAAAGCCAGGTACATAGTTAACGTAAAATAAAAACTCATACACCACAGTTTCTTTAATAATCAGTTTTTTTGTCTGGTGCAACAATGTTTAAATTGTTTTACTAACTGCTTTTATATTTTTGGTGTACCTAAACAAATGCTTGGTGGACCTTTGGTGTACAGTTGACATGTGGAATGCACCCTGGTGAGAGGAAGCATATCTGAGTCATGCAACTCACTAAATGATCAAAGGATTTCTGAAGGAAAGCCAATAAATTCACAATATGCATCTAAGAAGGGCAATTCTTTCTTAGAAGCTTTGAGTTAATATAGAACTGTATTATTTTAGAACTGTATTGTTTTATCTCTGACCATGACAACAAACCAAAACTCAGATTTTGGGATAGTTGGAGGGTCAAGGTACCAACCTTCTGATGGAAGATGGTACATGATGATGATGATTAACTCAAAGCCTGTGACAACCGGCTATAAGCCAGTCATTTTGGTTATCAGAAGATAAAAGCTGACAGAGAGAAAATTCTATAAATATGTACGCATATGTCTGGTGAAAAGCCAGTCATTTTGGTTATCAGAAGATAAAAGCTGACAGAGAGAAAATTCTATAAATATGTACGCATATGTCTGGTGAATGGCTATGGTCTTGGTCAATTGCATAGAGCTATATATCTCAAAGCAAGAAAAACTCCCACAAAAGGCAGCGCAAATCATTATCTTCTGTGTAATGTTAAAAAGTTGAATTAAAATTGCTTAACCACATATTGATGTGTACATCTGAATCAAGTCAAGCATGCATGAACAATCATATGGTTTTTATCTTGTGTTTCTGAATGCAAAATTTGCCCAGCACAGGACAGATATTGCCAGGGCGCCTCATAAGTGCCAACATGGTCTGTGTGACAAAATAGTATACTTCTTGTTTTGTTAACATTATCTATGTTTTTGCATTCTTACTTCAATATTGACAAGAAAAGTGGCATTTGAACTGAATTTTTACACAATTTTTTTTCTAGGCCAGGAGGTTTCCTGTAGTTTTAGTCAATGCAGTGCAAAATCTGATTCCTCAATTGGCTTGCCTGAGCAGATATCAAATCTTGAAGTCAAGAAGGTTCATCTGCCACATCAATCACGGACAAATATATAATTCGCTTTTCAGTTTTGGACACAAAATCTTTTCAGGACATGTCACACTTTCTAGACTTGACATGACAATTAAATGTAATTTTTTTGATCAATTACTGTTGCGAAATTGAGAATGCTGTGCCACACTATAACTTGGGAAAAACATAGGAAAAATGCTGTCAGCAATCTATGTATTTCTAATATCTTTATTTTTGTTCTATATATTCTTCTCTCATTTCTGTAAAATTGATGCGATGTGGTGGTGGTAGATATTACGCTTTTAATCTTGATGTTTATAAAATCTATAATAACAAAAATTGCGCAACATTGAAATTGAATGAGGCAAAAGTTTGAATTTAAAGGTACATTGTTGATCTACAATTGCATAGAGCTATATATGTCAGAGCAAAACTCACGCAAAAGGCAGCACAAATCTTTCGCATCTGTGTGATGTTAAAAGTTGAATCAAAATTTCTTAACCGCGTATTGGTGTGTGAATCTGAATCGAGGCAAGGAGGCATGAACAATCGTTGTCGGGAGGCAGGAACCGAAGAATTTATTCATTTTCATTTTTATCTTCTTTATACACAAATAAACCCTTCAGCTATAAAATACCTAAAAAAATTGCAAATTGAAATAAGCTAGTCATAAGAAACCTTTTGAAAAATTCAATTGGCTGTTCTTCCCAGGCACGGCGCAGCCATTAGGCTAGCATGGGCTATAGCCCCCCCCCCACTTTTTGGCAATAATAGGTTTTAAGGTCTTTCAAATATGGAATTTTTGATTCGTCTTTTTATAGCCAATATGTCAACAGTATTAACTTTAACATTACGTTAACATCATTTACACATGGTCCCTTTGTCAACGTTCACCTTCTTGACGTAAAGCAAATTGGGTGTTAATTATCTCTGTTAATTTTTTTGGGTTTCCGCCCCTAATTTCAGAAGAGGTGCGCCTCACCAAGTCAGTCAGCTGTTCGAAGTTTACGGAGAGAATGATGTGATCAATGGTAACATGGATAGTAAAAAAGAACATAAGAAAGAATCATCATCACCGAAGATAACAATTTTTTTTAAAAAGGACACCTCAGATAAATAAAGTAAGTTACGCTTATGTTATAATTACTTTTCTCTCACGTTCTTTTTTATTAGAACACATTTTATAAGAACAACGAGGCTTGCTATTCTAAAAATAAGAACATCATCAGAAGGTACCAACCTCATTAAAAATTAGCAGGAAAAAGCAAAGTGTTTTTAAATTTCTTTTTCTATTGTTAACAAAGAGGAGAAAACTTTTTGGGTAAACAACCTGTGCTGCGAATTTCATGTAAATTAGTTATCGGGTCTTAGAAGCTATTTGTAGTATGTATTTTTAGAGAAATCAATATTACCATAAAAACAATAATAAGAACATGAGTTCCTCAAATTATCAAAAAAATAGAACATTGAGCATCGACAAAAATTATAAAAAAGAATGTACACCATCAAATCAATCACTTGCTATTTTGAACTTTAAAACTTAACTTTAATCTCAAAGACCAAATTTTGTTTAATTCAGGGATTAGTACGGAAAGCAATAAAATGATAAATTTGATTCAAAAAACTCAAATGACTCACCCAGAGGAATGTACTTCATCTATAAAATTATCCTTTGTTACTCAACGGAGCACCCCAACATGCCAAAATCTAACCTCTACAACAACTACACATTCTCCTGCCGCATCAGTCACATTTCAAGAAAATGCTGCAATATCCATCACCACACCTTTCCAACCGATTCACTACGACTTTCCAAAAACAAAGTTCGGAAAACAGTTTCGCTCATGCAAAGGGTGTTTGGTTTAGACACTTTCCATGGCTTCATTTTGATGTTTCTCGAGACTGTCTGATGTGTTACGTTTGCTCGCGGCAGAATGCAAATCTTTTTCTGGAGAGCAGCAGAAATAAAGAGGATTCTTTTAATACATCAGGATTCTCGAACTGGAAACATGCTTTGGAATATTTAAAACAACATGAAAATTCAAAATAACACAAGACTGCTCTAACTTTTGAATATGTTGTTCCAGAAAGTGGTGATGTACTTGCCATGGTGCATGAAAATGCGAAAACAGCAATGGAACAAAATCGTCAAGTGTTAAAGACACCACATCGAACAGCAAGGTTTCATCAGATGCAATGAAAATTTCGAGAGAAATCGTCGATTTGGTTAAATGCTCTCCAAAAAGGGAGAAAATTCTCGGCGAAATAAAAGAAAACATTGAGATGGAATGTGATGTGGAAGACATGACTGCTGCTTCAATGACAAAACTGAGCACTACCAGGTGGACTGTGCGAGCAACAAGTTTCCAACGGATCCTTGAAAACTACGATCAAATTTTTCAGTTGTGGCGTTTTTGCTTAGAATCTGGCACTTTAGATTCAAATGCAAAAGCTCGGATAATTGGCTGTCAGAACAAAATGAAAAGTTTTGAGTTCTTTTTTGCATTAAATCTTGGTCAAAGGTTGTTTGTCCATACTGACAACATGTCAAAGACTTTACAGGAGAACAAACTATCAGCTATCTCTAGAAAGCGATTGGCACTTCTGACCAAAAGAACTCTTGAAAGTATTCGCAATACTGAAAGCTTCAATTCATTTTACGATACTGTTCTACTGAAAGCCAAGCAGCACAGTATGGTTACAAGAACCAAAGTTACCCCGAAAACGACATTTTCCTGCAAGATATGAGGAGGGAAGTCAATCTATCTTTCCTGAATCTCCATGGGATTTATTTAGACATATCTATTTTAAAGCAGTTGACTTGATGGCTTATTCTATTAACCTCAGGGTTTAGTCAGCCTTGCTTCGAAGCTTATGAAAAATTAGAGTCGTTGCTTTTGAAGGTTTTGAAATCTGAAGGTCACGCAGAGGAGTTAAGGTTCATGGAGCAAACTTACGGTGAAGATATCGATGCTCAGTTTCCTCTTTTTAAATTGCTGTTTGGAGAGAATGAACCTGTATGCTTGGACGACATCTTGAAGAGAGTTACAAATTTCAAGTCTGCTGAACTTTGTCTCATAGGCGAAGTGGTAACTATTTGCAAGCTTCTGCCCGTTAACCCAGCAACGAGTGCATCTGCAGAGAGATCCTTCTCAATGGCTAGACGGCTAAATGGCTTCGTTGTAATATGAAACAAGCAAGATTCAATAATCTTGCCACATTGACTGTTGTATTTTTTCAACAATTTGAGAAGACTTTGGGGGCCATACCCTGACTTCATGCACCACTTCCGGTCGTTAAGACTTTGGTTTTTGTTGTTAGTAGGTCGAGTTTTATCAACATTACCATTCAGACCTTTTGGCCTCCGACTGTTGAAATCTTGGACGTCAGAAGCCGGACCACAGCGGCATGATGCAGGATAGGATAACGGAGGAAAACTGCCTTGGCGAATCGATAGCGTACTGCAATCACCTGCCAAGATAGATTATGAATTTCAGTTTGTCATGTATGCGGCAGGTTGCATAGTTAATATTGCTGACTACCCGGATTCAGACAAATAACTCTGCTCTGCTGCAAGTTTATTTGCCATTCTCTGTTTCGATTACTGTCGATAATCATCCAATCAAATCAAAATGCTTGAAGCATCGTTCATGCAAGATTCGCTTTCATCAATAATCTCAACAGCTCGTAACGTCTTGCCTGAAATCCATTGAACTGAGTGTTCTTTGTAGAATCGGCCTTTTAGCTATTAGCATTTAAAAGTTCATGTCAACTATCAAGCCAAAAAGATATGTTACAAAGTTTAAGTTGTAGGTAGAAGAAATGACGCCCTAATCTTTAAGATAAAATGAGACTTGACAAGAATGTTCTGTTTCAAACCCAAACTTAAGCTTTATCTGACGGATCTACGATAAAAGTAATAACTTGCCATTTGAAAACAGTTGCTATTTCATTTTCGAAAAAATCACTGTTACGAAGTAGCTTCCAGCTGACACACTTACATCACAAGAAAGCCTTACAAGAATGCAAGATAATAAAACTGCTGTTTCTTTCAAGTGAATGGACACTAAGTTACTTTTGAAACGAAGTCTTTTGAACTCAAATGTTGTATCTTGAAAGATTAATCAAAGACCCCATTTCTGTATTTTTTGTTCTTAGGTAACATTGTTTCATATTTATTTAGAGGATGTTTTTATTATTTTAAAAACTTTACTGAGTGGATAATGGTTATGTTTTTCAAAACTCAAAATGTAAGCAACAGTGATTTGAGAGAATTACAAAAGAGAAATGCATTCGATGATGAATGACCTTCTTACTTTTTTTTGAGTAAGCTGTTTGATCTTCCGAATGCACTCCCGATCTTCTTAAAATTGCATCATTTTTTGACAAATTCAAAGATTTAAGGCGTTTGGTGTTAATAAAAAGCATTTTGGTTTCTTCTCAAAATTTATGGCATACAGAACTATGAACCAAAATAGGGAGAGGCCTTTTGGAGGGTTTATCAAGGTTTTTACCACAAGTTTTTCCCAATGCAGATGTTCAACGATCAAGGTTTTTGTTATGACGGTGAATAGCCCGTTGATAACCAGCTCGTTGGTAGAGCGATTGGCTAGGCCAAAGGGCCTAGGCCTTGAATTAGTAACGCACAAAAGATACTACTTCTTTGGTGTTATCTCTAATGCTTCAACAGAAACTTACTTATAACGTGATCAACACATGCTAATAACCTGATAACATGAACAAAAGCTAATTAACAAGACAATAAGAGCGTCACACTACAAGTTTAAAGACAAACACATTACCAAAAAAAGGCGTTAACTAACAAAACAGGATTTAACAGAACATGTAACCTAAACATGCAAAGGAAACATAACGAAATTGGTTAAATATAGAATCCAAACCGTTACACAGTCCGTCCAAACCGTTAAATTACAGAGTGTCTTTCTAAGTTTTTTACCACATAATCTTTCTAAGATGTGTATTTTCTTGAGATTTTAGAATTCTTCTGAAGTAATCATCTGGTTTTAAGCCCTGTGCTTCAACTACCTCTTAACTGCCCGTGATTAGTCATAGAAATTAGTCGTGATTAGGCAATGAATATAGTCATAGAAAAATATTTGGAATGCATTCCTTGATTTTGCATCTCTATGAACAGAAAAAAACGTTACGGCTCACTTGTGAAATTTAGCTGTCACACATAATTAAAATGTGGGACATAAAAGATCGACAGACAAAAAACGATAATCATTATTTGAAGGTCCAAAATCTCAAGTCATTGTCAGATGAAAGGAATTCATCTTTTCGTTTATTCTCGTTGATACATTAGAATTGGTAGAGTTAAATGCGGAAAGCATTCAGTCTCAATTTAGCGTTTTAATTGTGTCAAATAGCGGCAGTTCTCAAACAGTTTTCTAGGTATATTGCATTGGTCAGAGAAAGATATAGTTCTAACAACTAAAGCAGACTTACAGCAGATGTCCTATAATAACAAGCAATACTTTTTAAGAAGGCGGATAGCAAATTTCCTTTTTCAGTTTTAGCAATTGTTTCCCAAACCTCAAAGTTTTCCGCCCCAAAATTGATTTTAAGGGCACAGTTAGTTAAATACGAAATAATCAAAGGTTTTTGGAAACCATGCAGACTCCTCAACTGGAAAAAATAAAATTCAATCACAACGAAAAAATGAGAAAAGATTATTAAAATCAAAAGATCTCAAACCAACATTAGCTTGCTCAATTTCTTAATTTTTATTTCATTTCAAAAATGCTTTATTTCAATTGATTATGAAAATATTTTTACACGCTTTTAACAAACTGAAATTCAGATTGATCAAGAGAAAATCAAAAGGTTATGAAACAAAATATTATCAAAAAAGAAGTTACTTTGTGGTTGATATTGGCGTATTTCTTAGACAGAGATTTTGCATATCCATCCAGCAACCTGCCTTAAAAGTTTTCTAATCAAAAATCTACGAAACTGAGTTAAAATTAATAAAGAATATATTTGATCTGACCAACAAGCAAATCTTTATGGCAGTTGAAACTTTTCGTAGATTGTCGAACAATTGTGCATATTATGTTACCAGCATAAATTGGGTACAAGTACACAATTCGATTTGCAAAGACAGATTAGCTGTATATCAAGCTTTGAGTGCGTATCCAAAATCTATTTTTGACTGGGGTTTTGTACCTAGTCTGCTATCGGGTATTGCACAATAACGTCGTAACCACGCAAGTTATAAAACTCAAACTTTGTTTGCTGTTTGCAGAACACACCCAGCCTGCGAAACGGAGAAACGTCCTAAAAAGTAATCTGCTGTGCTTTGAACTGTATAAAAGCTTTGTTTTTATCAGTTGCGTTGAGAATCGTCTGCAACGTATTTTAGGTGAACTGTAATGAAAAACGCATAATGTACATAAGCTGTTCTGAGCATTGTATGGCATTGTATGGCTGTTGAAGTATCGATTTTTTATATTCTTTTGATAAAAATCCCTGTCCTTGAGAACTTTTAAATCATGTTTAGCGACTAGGAATTTGATTATCTTTAACAGAGTGAAACTGTGCACACTTCAGACATATGATACACAAAAGCATTGTCTGAAAATCCCAACGTAGATACAGTTTTGCTAACAGTGAGATAAATTATAGGCAGCAAAAATTGTTGAATCGAAACCCTATACCGATAATTTGTTTACAGATAAAGGGAAATGAAAAATTTCTTAGAAGGTGTTATACGCTCGAAAATGCCTCAATTTCTGCTTATTTAGAATTTACCGTGGCTCATTTCTAGGCATTGTTATATTCCTTCTTCCGATTCTTCTTAAAAAACATGCAAACGTGTTTTCATTTTCACGTTCTTTCGATTTCATTTGTATCTGCTAACCCTAAACTTCTGTATGCGGTTTTGAAAAAGCAAACATTTTTAACATATTGGCTAAAAGCTTTTTAACCTGATACTCCTTAGAGCATAAAACGTCAGAATAAAGGTCCGAAAGAACACGAGGAAAAATATATACCCAGTTGTGAATCGAAATAGGCCAATCAGAAAAAAGCAAGCACAAGACCAGTATTGTTGTCCAATCAGTGCCGCGTGCCTAAAGAAAAAGTTTCATATTGTGAAGACAGAAGTAGTTCGCTCTCTCTCTTGGACTCCGGTATTAATTTGCCAATATGTTATAAATTGTTTGCTTTTTTCAAAGCCATTTTCAAATTCTGTACAGAAAACTATTTTAGTTTCATCGGAGACCAGCCGTGATATTGTTCCAGATAACAGAAGCAACTTTTAATCAGTTTTTTTACTGCTGAACAATCAGAAAATTATCTTTACACAAAAACGTATTCACAATATTTCATATTCCAGCTTTCAGTGGCACGTACACTTGTATTTCTCTAAAAGGTTTGGCAAATGCTATAAATATTGCCAAATTTAACCTAAAAGTTCATTTTTGAGGTTGCGCTTAAGTCATACGGGTTTTACTGTGCATCATACAAAATCAAAATTCTCTTTGAACCTAAAAGACGTCATACACTTGATTACAATTTTATTCATTGCACACAACATACTTTAATCACACGAGAATGCAATTGTTTGGTTAAATTCCTATCGATGCACTTTTATGTAAATATTATTCTTCTTTTTCTGGTGCTGTGTTAATTTCCCGTCCATTTCAAGGTCATTTCTCTTCATTAGAAGGTGCTTGATTTCGTTCCGAAGTATGTTGCGGTATGTGCTTTAATTCAAATGCACCAATCGGCTAATGGGACATCATTATTTTGACGTACTCTGCAAAATTAATATTAACATATATCAAACAGAACAGTACGTACAAAGCTATTTTAGAATATATATGCATTCCTAATTGCAACCAAATGAACAAACTTCTGTCCTTTCCAACCTTAATCGTTTAACATTAATTGCCTTAAAACATACATGCTGAAGTGAAAGGGATAATTTACCAGTTACAAAGCCATGCAGTGAGTAGTGTAGTTAAGTGGTAGAAATGCAACCAATATCTGCAGTTTACCTTCATAGTTTACTTGTCCATCGCCGTCTAGATCTGCCTCTCTTATCATTTCGTCTACCTCCTCGTCGTTTAGTTTATCGCCCAGGTTTGTCATCACTCTTCTAATTTCAGCAGCATTGATGAACCCGTTTCCTTCACGATCGAAAACTCTAAAGGCTTCGACAACTTCATTTTCCTTTTCTTCAAGGTCCAAACCTTTCCTTATCATTTCCATAAACTCATTGAAGTTTACCAGACCATCTCCTGCGAAAAAGCAGTGAATTTAAAAATTCATCTAGAAAGCCTTGCAAAGAGTTGATTTTGTCTTTTTCTTTTTAAATATATGCATCAAAGCAAGTGAAATTGTAGGAACATAAAAATGGCTTTTTAGAATTAGCAAAAAATAGAAACTCGTTTTTACCATTAAAATCAGCAGTAACAAACATTTCATGCAGCTCTTCGTCAGCCATGTGTTGTCCCAAACCACTCATAACAACGCCAAGTTCCTTTTCAGTCACATTTCCGTCACCATCTTTATCAAACAACTTGAAAACATCTTTAAACTCTACGAAAAGTTTGTAAAAAAACTGGATTGCCAATGCACAGAAGAAAAATAGGTTCTCAAAATTGCGTTCGAGTCTTTAAATAATAATAAATTTATTGCTCTGTCTAAGTAAGTTCCGAGGCACATGAGTTAATGGACAAAATGACTTTATGTTTGCAAAATTGTTCAAAACGATCAAAATTTGCAAAATGAAATTGAGCAGAAGCTACTTTTAGGTAATAGCTGCAGCAAACCTTTGATATCATCTTCTTTGAAAAGTTCTTTCTGGGTGACCTAAAGAAAACACACCTATCATTATCACATCCTTCAGTTATTCAAAACACATAGAATACATGGAAATACATAGAATTCTCTTTGTGCAGAAAGTGGCGTCAGCTGGCTGAAAGCAAATCCGTTTTACCTTCTTCTTGAGACCAAACTTCAATCCCCCTTTCAGAGCACTTGCTTTCTTTTTAAACATTATTTCCACTTTTTCTCTCGCCTTTTTTCAACTTTCAACAACAAGTAGAGTGGAAAGAGAGCTGCAAGTTCCCAAAGTCATGGTGTTGGAATTGATAGATTCACCGCAATTTTCAATACATTGCTAATGTGTTTTGATATAGATTGTGATACGATTTTAGCAACATGTGCGCGCGCGTCACTGTGTATAAAAAGCTGTAATGCCTTTTGAATAGTCAGCGAGAATCTATTTTAATGCGTTGCAAGATTGATAATTGGTTCTGAATTTGCTTATTTGCTACCAAAGTACTCAATCAACGTTTTGTTTCATTCTTGCAGCAAAGTCAGTAGAAGTAAATTATAAAAATATATATTTGGCTGTACTATTAAGTAGTATGGTTAACGGGTAAATTCTCTAGAATATAGTGGAATTAACACGAGAACTGCCGTGGTTTTTCTTCGTTTTCTCGGCAATATGTCTAATTTTGCCTTGCAGGCCTAACGCAACTAGTATAACTTTGCTTTGTAACTATGCATTTATTCCCTTAAACGATTTATTGGGTTGGCCAATTAAATGAAATTGAATTGAAGCACGTGAAGGATCAAAATCTGCACTTGGCCGCTACTAAATGGGAAAAGAGGATGTATAGGGTTCTCAAAAGATCAAGTTTAAATGTCGTCTTCGCCAGCCTGAATCTGAAGTTATCTTGAAATGGCAACTAATCGTTAACTTTCAGTATTCTTTTGTGACGGATGTCAAGCACAGTTTTCTGAGAAAATTGTCTAACTTTTCAAAAAAATATCCAGAACATTATAGTTGTGTTGCTTTCATTTAAAGCGAGTTATAGATAAGATGAGTACGGGAACTTTTGTCTGCAAGTCTCCAGAACGCTTTGAAAAGAATAAGGCAGTCAAAAATTTGAAATAATCACGGTTTTGATAGCCAAGTATACAAACAATAATTCTAACATCAAGCAGTTTTGATTGAAATATTCCAGTGACTTTATAACAGTAGAAGGGCAATTTTTAATTTCAGAAAAAAAGATTGATTGCCTAAAATTGTGAACTGATACCATGCTGACCAGCCTTTTGAAAAAAGCATTCTTTTTTACCTACAGTCCGTCAACGTACCACCATTTCTGTTTCACAACTTTGCTGTTCTTTATTGTTGTTGCAAAATCTGTCTTTGGCAAAAATCTAACAAGATATAGCAAAATCTATTGCATATTGATTAAACGTCCTTTCGAAAAGCTTCAGAATTCGAAAAGTCAGTTAGCATTTCCTTAATCAAGTTTTTTTAAATTAAAGCAACCCATGCTAGATAAAACTTGATTTGATCGAAATAAAATTGCAAGCGAGCTCTAAGCAGCCATGTGAGTTTGCCTAATGGCCTTAAACACTGAATAAAAAAGCTTTTTCAATAATTTTTTTGAAGGTAGGCGAAGATTAAGTTTTTATAAAGACTGTACAGTTTACTCTTAAAAATTCAAGACAAAAATTTCTGCACACCTTTTTCCATTTTCTACCATTTTTCAAAACTCCTTGGTGCTTCAACATGTTTACGGTGTAGGCTTCTTTTTACCAATTAAAGTTGATGCTGCATCAATATTTATGGACAAAGGCATTCATTATTTTCTATACTGTCACCAACACTTATCATTTCAAGGTATCTCTATGCCGACCCGTAATCGCCTAGGAAATTAGTGGAGTTTGAATCATCTCAGTCACCAGTTTCTACCATGAATACCACTCCGAGAAGCAGCAATTATTTTGTTCATTGGAAGTTTCTCCATTCATTTAACTCTTTTGCTCAATTATTGATGTTGTTGCTCTTCCTCACATTAACAATAACCTCTCTTGGGCCCTGAACGCAATGATTTCTGACATAAAACTCATTATCTTTGTCAAAGTAGAAAATCGAGAAATCTTTTTCAATTTTGACAAAGAGAATCCAATTTCCGCTTGGATATTCGAGCGCTCTGCAGTTGCTATGTAAAATGGCTGTTTGCTGTTTGGTTATGTTTAAAACAAACAACGATTTGACTTTGGGCTTCTGTGGCGCCAGAAAAATGCGTTAATTGCCAATCATTTCCATTTTCTAGAGATCGTCCTGCTCTGGGGAAATGATTTTGAGTCGCCACGAGTCACCAACGAGCTACCGTATGGGTTACATTCTGAATTTGCAGAACTCAGTATGGATGTATACGAGGTACCAACGAGTTACCACATTATTTATGAAATATAACATATATATTTATTAAAAAAGTCATGGTAACTCGTGGTATTCCCATATAAAACCACAATTAGAAATGGTAGCTGGTTAGGGTAGCTTGTTGGTAACTCGTTGGAATCCCGTTGGTTACTCGTGATGACTTGAATATTCTCAAATAAACAAAAATAGACATTGATGCCACTCATGATCAATTCTGTAAAGCAGCGAGGACAATTTGGAATGTTTTTCGGTACATCTGTGTGTATATGATGAGTAAACTCAGATGTTCTAAATCTTACTGCCATCATTTCCTTTCCCTTTCGACGGAGGTATTGTATCTTTTTGTACTCAGCAACTGACTCTTTTGGTGAGAATTTGGCTGCATTTACCCCACTGTAGGATATCAGGTAGCATCTGCGAATTTCTCTCTCTCCTAAGCTTTTACACGCTATCAACTAATTTTTCGTCTACAAAGATCGACGGCAAATTTAATGTAAGTACTTTAATAGCAAAGTCTGAAGCAAAACGCAATGTGTAAACTGTTAATCCCATACTAACCCATAATTCATAGTTAATTGACCAAGAAGGACCCCAAGAAGGACCCCCAAATCAATATTTCCCATTATAACTATGCACCCTCCACGTACGTAAAGAACTTTGAATCTGATCAATATAAGTAAACATGTCGCGTCTCCCCCGATTTACTACCTCATGTGCAGATTTTTGAAACTCTTTAAATTTCATGAAGATTCAGCGTATAATACTCTAGAAGACCGACTCCCTAGTTTTTTAGCATTGGGCGTCAATTTCTATACGCCTAATAGCTCTTTCCGATACACAACAAACCGCTATGATAGATTTTCATTCTTATTAGAAATAAGACAATCCTGGCCAAGAATTATTTGATTGGCTGGCAAATTGTAGTCTATTTAAAAAGATACGCTCCCTAAACCTTTTTTGCCAGGATTGTACATTTGCAAATGTGAAATTAATGATCTTGACAGCCTTGATTTTTTCTACTATTTACTATCAATCAGTTTTATTCAAAAGTTAGCAAATCACATGTTGATTTTTTTAGATTCGTATAGCAATTAAATAAAACTGAGAATCATTAATAAATAAAGTGATCTTGTTAGAAGCAAAGTTTTTTATTGATAGCTTTGGAAGAAGCTATTATCTGCAGAATGGCTTTTCACGATCAGGAAAATTGTCTTTTTGAAATCATATGTTTATATTTCTTGGAATGCATATTGAAATTTACCAATATCGACTTTATAGAAGAGCGTGGAAAATGCGTGCCTGATATGTTCAACACAACTATACGATGGAAAATACCAATAACAATTGCTAATTAAACAGAAGCTGGAGACAGGGAAGAGGGGGATATAGGGGCTCTAGATTTTGAAGAAAATACTAATAAGAAACAAGCAAAAAATGCCCCCACTTTCAAGAAAAGCAAATAAAGCTATTGATCCCCATATCACTTCAGCCAAGAGACATGCTGTATTTTGTCTTTTCTTAGCAAATCCTTGCCTTCACTACAATTTGTCAAAGTAGTCCAACAAGTCGTACAAACGCCGAGAAGGAACTGAAAATTGCAATTAAATTTAATAACAAGCGGTCTCTTAATGTTCACAAGGACGAGGTTATCCATCAATTGATTCTAAAAATTTCGTCTGAAAATCTAGTCTTCTTTTAAAAAGACAATATAGACACCCATGGCTATCTTTTCTATCTAATTATATGAAGAGCTTGTTGGCACCTTACACTTGGCTGAGCAAAAAAGGTGAAATTTTCCCAAAATTTCCTACAAAATTCCGAAGCACAGAAAGCAATCCCTTATTAAGTTTAGATGATACACTGTGCTTTAAAATTTCGGACAACTGTGCAAGCACTTGCCTACCCCTCTTTGGCTACCGCGCCCTTAATGCTATCCAGCAAAATTCCATGGCATTTGAAACATTTTAGCTTTTATTTACTTATTTAATCCATAATAGGAAGCTAATCTCTTGGCAAAGTCAGGTAAACTTGTATTTCTGCTAATTTAAGGACCCACATAAGATTTTGCAATAGTTACTTTATAAGAAAGAGAATATCGTACAGGAAGGCTATATCAATTTCCCGTATTTCTTTGCTTTAATTTCTTTGCTTAGCTTTGCTGCTGCTGTTTTTGTTGCTTTTTATGTTTTAGCTGTATTAAGTACGTTTAAAAGTACTTTACAGTTTTGATAAATTTTTCACAATTATTTATCTATATATCGATTTGTATTATATTTAGAATTGGGCACTGGGCATGATAACACTAATGATTTTTTATTAAGTATCCCAGTCAACAAACTGATTAATATGAATTTACTCTGCCCAAAAACATGTAGTAAGTTGTTACTACATGTTTTATTACATTTGAAAAGCGCTCAACAAAATTAATGATAATTTGAGTTGTTATAGAAATATGGAATATCTAGAGGTAACCCTGTGAGAGATTATCAAGCTTATATTCTCTCCCCAAAGATGTTCTCTCTCTTTGCACTCCAAAGCTACCAATCTGCCCTCAAATGTTTCTATATTAGGGGTCAGATAACTTCAAGGCTGTTCTTTAGGAAAAAATACAAAAGATATTGAAATCACTGCATGCATGTTACCTTTGGTTTTAGGTTGGACTTTTTTGGAGCTACTGGCGGCTAGAATTGAAAATAGATCAAATGAAATTAAAGTGCCTCTTATACAGAAATAGGCTGAGCAAGCAGTTTTAAAGACATGGTAATTTTAAAGATAGTACTTGGTAGATGATAGTGTTTGTATCATTTTCAATTCAATAGTAAACCATGAAACATTAAAAAAATAAACTGTAGAAGTGGAACAATGTGATGTATTTTATTATATATTCATACTCTATACTTATTGGCTGTGAGGTCTTTTTAAGAGTGTTGCTCCAAGCGACTTGCTTGTTAATCTACCTGCAACTCTTTACGATTCTGATTAATTCGCTCTCAACATTTTTATATCTTAGCATCCTGTTTCATGGAAAAGGCTACATTATCCTCAAAAAAGCAAATATTTTAAACAATTACTTGAATACCTCAAGATCAATGACTTCCATCGACAATGAAGCTGATTTTATGTCTTCGGCTTCAGCTCAATTTCTATCCTTCAATTCCATTTCTGAATAAGTATCAGGTCATCAGCAGATTTCAGATCAGCAATAAAAGCGTTAACTTTTTGTTTGCAATTTTCTGTGTCAAACATGATTTTCAGTTAGATTTATTTTGCATATTTGCGGTGAAAATGGGACCTGTTGCTTTAGATATCTGAATTCCCTAATCAGCCATCAAAGGTAGTTAAAAGCATTAGCTATTAATTTTTTAGTAGCCACAAATAGACAATTAACTATTCAATGACGTTAGATACGATTTAGCTGCTTCGTGATGTAACACCAGATCTATACAAGCCACGAAGATAGCATTATGACCATACGATGAATGTTTCAATATCTAAGGGAGAAGCGTGTAAATGACCTGTATTTGAAAGTAAACTGGCGTTGTATTCTCTAACTTTTCTAAGATTTCCAGTGACGTTAACATTTTCCACCTATGACAATGCTTTTATCACTGTGGTGATGATTTTATTCATCGTTATTCTAGAAAAAAATTGTTTTTATAGGGTTTATAACTCCCCATTCTTTGCAGAGTCGTTAATTTAATTATTTTAAAACACTTCTTGAAATATGACAGAAAATATAAAATTAACTGATGACGCTTCATTTTTAGCAACTTTCTGTAATAAAATTGCTAATGATTAACATAAAAAAGCACAAGTTTCTGCTGAAATAGTATGCATTGTGAAGTGCTCTACGTAGAATGTTTTATAAAGAGAATCTTTATCGAGCAATAGGTTGGCTGTAAATATTCTAATAGAACAAAATGTAGGGGAATCTTTTTAAGGTATGTAACATACCATTACCAGCTGCTAATTGCCATTGAATGAGCTAGTTTTTTCTACAACTTCTTCTTTTGAACTACTTCTTACTTCTTCTATTCAATCTTCTTAACGTATTTATTTATAATCAAGTCCTAGTGGAAACTAGAACTACGGAGAGCGCCATTTTTCTGTTCTTAAAGAGACCTTTTTTATGATTCAATTCCTTTGCTGCTTTGTATTAGATCGCAGCGTTTTTTTGACAAGATATCTTTATTTTGGTTTTGAAATTACCCTGCTGTTTGTTTCTCTTGACATTCTTTTAATATAAATGAAGGAAAAAGTTTGTGATACGCAACTCAAAAGTCTCAAAAGTCTCAAAACTTTTCTGAAAACGTTTATCTCGTAATGGAACTTTTGCATAGTTCTAAAAGCCTCAATAAGAAACAAATATTCTTAAGTTGTTCCCATTCATCAATTCTGGAAACTATTTTATAAATGTTCAATATTCTATTGTCATTGCTGAGAAAAAGCAAGGTAGCATCTTGAAATTTACGTAACTGAAAACAAGTTGAAGCACTTGCGGCATGAGGGATGGCAGCATCAACTGGAATCCACATTATTTTGCAGTTTTGAAGGTTACGTTAAGTTGTATCGCCATAAAACATCAAAGATAGGATGGCAACGTTTCAAGAAAGTTAGAATTCCATCAAAAAAGGCATCGTTGTTCAGCGTGAGTTGTGATTGCCGTTACATGGCCAATCAACATGCGAGAGGAGGACTTCAAAATGAAAACTGTGTTGAATTGAAGGTAAGGGACAGAGGTATCGTCAATGTGACCCTTTTATATGCATAAAATGAAAAATAATAGAAGTTAAAATTTTTTGGATACATTTTAAATAATACCGCATTAGGTCACAACTGGGAATGGCAAGAATCCTTTTACATTATTAATTCAACCTTTTGAAACATTGAGTTATTAAAGATTTTAAGAAGAGCACTCGAGAATAAAGATAAAAATATGGTATTTATGCTTGAAGAGAGGCCAAAGAGATCCTTTGAAGTGTGAAAAAGTTTCAAAAAATGATAAAAAACTTTTTACGATGTCTTTTAACATTTTTATGAACGGTTAAGCACAGTTAAAATATATTTGGCTACCTTCCCAAATTTTGTAAGAACATTCAAGCGAGAAAGCTGTTGCAGCTCTATATGGGCAATTTAGAGGAAAGCGCTTTAAAACCAAATCAGGGAAGCTATTGCTAGATCAGAAACAGAAAAGAAAGTGGACAAAATTTATTGGACAAGCTAACTGGGAAAAAAGTGATGAACGTCTTTAACTCATACGAATTGAGATCGAGGAATAAAAAAAGTGATTAAGAAAGGCTGTATATTGAGTTTTCAAAGAATTACCACTCAATCTAATGTTTTAGGTAAATCTTCATATATTTTCTAGCTTTCGTTATCATAATCATGACATAGCAATAGTTGTGAAGATTTTTGAAAAGCACAAGGGTTATACTATGATATCATTAAGCAATTGTATATGGCTTTACGTCAATACGAAATTATTGTTATAATGCAGAAAAATAATAATCAAATAATAATGATAATGTTATAACAAAAATATATTCGTTTCATTCAATGCACCATTAAAAAAGTAAAATTCTGTATCTCTTTTTACCAGACAGTGTGCAATTGTTGTCTAAATTTTCGAATAACAGATAACAAAGTGAAGTTAAAATAAAATTTAGATTAAACATTATATTGAGAACGCTTGTGGGCTACCTCGAATTACAATGAGACCTCTCAATTATGACTACCCTAAGTAGCACTTTTCTCAATCACGTTGGTAGCGCTTGGGGTCGAATAGGGAACGGGGTCAAATAGGAAAATCGTTAATACCTCCAACAATTGAATTGATATCTTAAAACAAACCCAGAAACGGATTCAGCGCGCTTCAATCTACCTTTAAGATGCTTTTTAATTCAACTACGGTAATTTAAGCAGTATAAATTGCAATGGTTTTATTCTATGTTAGCTTGAGGCGTAGCTCCTCCGTAGCTACGGGAGTAAATAGACAAAGCTCGTAAAAAGCATCGTTTTAATTCAACATAAAAAGCAAAAGGTAGAAATTGCAAAGAAAAATGCACACTCTCTTCATATCAATTCAAATTTCAAACATCCTGCACCGATGTTACAAGATTTCTCGAAATAAATCAGCTGAGTGATCAAGGCGCTCGAGGTCAAATAGGGAAATCGCCATTTGGGGTCAAATGGGGATATCTTCAAAAACAGCAAGGAAAAAACATGAAAAAGAGAACTAACCTCATTTCTGCCCGTAAAATCATCCAATCTGTTTTATAAGCCATTTTGCTTGTTAGAAAACAAGGTATATAACTAAAAAATTTTGCATTAAAATTCTAAAACAAGGGTATCAAAATAAACAAATTTTGGCCCTTGTTTACAGAAAGCTGTCCTTCGCAGTTTCAGGGTCAAGTAGGGAGGCAGTTGAATTTTGCCTTTTCAAACCGTTTTACTTTTCTGCCAAAAATCATTATTCCAAAAACTTTTTGCTTCATGAGAGTGTCCTCAACTAAAGATTATTGCAAATTGATCACCCCTGGATTTTGAAAATGATGAAAAGATTAAATGAAAAGATTGATTTATTGACAATGGTCTTTTACAGTTCATTTTCATTTTAATATTAATCTTTGCCCATAGTTTCCTACAGCTAAAGAACTAGTTAACAAGAGGCCATGCAAAAATATATAAAAATACAAATAAAATCACTGCTCGAAAATTAGACCAAATTTAGTAGATGTTACAACAGTGAAATAAGTATAAATCAGACAAACGGTAGCCCCCAAAAACAAGCATCAGTGCATGGACTCTAGAACGGCCAAGGGGTAAGGATGTTTTTACAAGAGATGTTCTTACAAGAGATGTTTTTACAAGTTTTAAGAAATTTTGTCACGAATAAGGCACTGCAACCAGGTTTTCATATGGATCTCTTTTGTAATTGGAAAGGGCTATACAAAGTTGTTTCCTCTTTACCTCTTAAACCTTTCAACACTGGCTACGCCACTGCTTCTTTTCTTCTTAACCTTAAAGTTAAAAACCAAGTTATAAAAATGGATGTTTCCATCATTTACCAGTGACCTGAACTTGAGTCTACTGTATACTGTCAATATATAAATATGTTGTATTTTCACCGAATGCAAAATGAAGATAAAAAATATAGAAGATTTTTGATGGAAAGTAAAAATGACTTCGAATTAGGTCTTTTTGTCTGTCTGTCTGTTTTTGTCGGAACTTTCAGCTGAAAATCGCAGATTCTATAAATATTGAAATCAAAGTAGGAAAAAGCTGCAATTCTGAAAACTGTCCTACATTGATGGGACTTATTGAAAATGTCAATGTAAGTAAACAAATTTTCTGACAAGATTAACATCGTCCATGTAAGTAAAGAAACACCGCCCAGCAAACATCACAGTCTTCAAATTTATCCTTAGAATATTTATCATTTCGGGCCAAAAAGCGGATTTTAAAGATTTTTATTGAATTTTTTTCCTATTTATTCCAGCTATGAAAATTTATGTGATGCATTGACTTGAGATGAATTGATTTAGTGGTGTACCTTGATTTCTAACAAGCTAAATGGTGTTAACAACAGATTGGATGATTTTACGTGCAGAAATGAGGTTAGTTCTCTGTTTCGTGTTTTTTCCTTGCTGTTTTTGAAGATATCCCTATTTGACCCCAAACGGTGATTTCCCTATTTGACCTCGAGCGCGTCGATCTCTCGGCTGATTTATTTCGAAAAATCTTGTAACGAAGGTGCAGGATGTTTGAAATTTGAATTGATATGAAGAAAGTGAGTACTTTTCTTTGCAATTTCTACCAAAAGATTGCGATTTGTACTGCTAAATTACCGTAGTCGAATTGGAAATACATTTCAAAGATAGATTGAAGCATGCCGAATCTGAATCTGCGGTTTTTTTTAAAATATCAATCCAATTTTTGGAGCTATTAACGATTTCCCTATATTACCCCGATTTCCCAATTTGACCCTGTTCCCTATTTGACCCCGAGCGCTACCAACGCTGCTCACTTTTCTTTCTAAAAACCAGTTCGGACTCAGCCTAACTTAACCATCCGCAAAATTCTTACAGCAAGGCCACTACTACAAAACATATCTTGAGCAAGGCTGATACTACACCTGGCAGCACAACTCTATCTTAAACTTTCTAGCCATCTTCCTACCTCCATAGAAGCTGTTAATGTGTCTATAATGTACGTTGGTATACTTGGCTATATTTCACCATCAGCCAAAACTGGAAGACAAATAGCAATTGATCGTCTCCTGAAGACAAATAACAATTACCTTTACATCTAAAAGCTTACTGTTGGTTTCGAATCTAATCTTGAAGCAAATTTGACAAGATACCACAGCAACTATGCTCCTCTTTCTACCGAATTAAAACGGCAGCTCTCTTTCTTCAAAATGTACGACTCTCTCCCTATCAATCAACTGCAAAACGGTGTTTTATCCCTAAACTTTCAAACATTGCCATTCAATCTACGTAATACATAATTGTTGCAAAAATAAACGATGGACAAACCTAAAATTATATGCTTTTTAACTGCTTGCTGTTTTCTCTCTGTTTCTCTTTTTGCGCTTACAACTGAAATAGTCATCTTGTTAATGCTAATCAGTTGCAAGATACTTTTGCAATAAATGGGTCTGCTATTCTAGTTAAATTGAACTGAAATGAAAAGGTTTCTTTAAGTTATGTCTTGAATTACTTCTCAAAACCAATAAACACTGTCTTTACAAGTTAGAGCCAACCATAGGCTTTGAAACAAATCTCAACTGCAATGCTAGCAGAAAGTTTGAGAAATGTGCTACGCTCATATCAGATTAAAACGTCAGATTAAAATTTGTTGGCTCCACGACACTCGATTTATTGACCACAAACAGAAACGCTACTATAGATCAGAGGAAAAGGCATAGGATATCAAAATTGAAATTACTTGTAAATTTCAGTCAATCTTGATGCAAGTTTTGCTATTCTCAAGTTACATACTTGGAAAATTTAATAGTCCAAAACAAATAAAGCCTCAGGTCACCAGTCTACAAAAACGCTCAAAAATCATATCATTTCATTTTCGTTTCCTTTTATAAATAATCTTTTTAGATGCCTGCAATATGAGTGCTTGAATAAATCGGCTTTAAATCAGTGGGACTTTTAGACTTTACAAAAATTGAGAAAATTAGATTGAAATGATACCTCTATCAAATACCGTTGCAATGGGATGATCTTTATGGCTTGGAATGAGACCGCCCGGTAAAGAATGAAAATTATATAAAGAGCGTTAAAATTAATAATTCACAAGAGCCGTCAATGACCTAACATTAATAGCTGAAATTGAGTGTTCTTCAGATAACGATAGCAGTATGTAATGAAATGAAAGTTCTTCCTATTGTTCAGCAGTTGCTTTGACATTTAAGCAAATTGGAAATACGGAAAAGAATATTGAGCAGAGGTTTTACTTTCTTCACGAATTTGACTTGTGAAGATTCAACCAGAAATATTACAGTTATAACAGAAGTTGAGTTGAGTCTGTACTTCAAGTCCTGAATGACATAGGCACCTTTATACGAAAATGTTTTACAAAGTCAAAGACAAAGTTCCGTTAGTTCACAAAGAATTGTTTATCCGTAAGTTGCGTAGCGCAATCTTACATTGATAACATCGTCCTTGTCGTGCAGCTAAGGTACTGGTAGAAAATATAGAAAATTACCTCGATGAATCGCTTCCATCTTGGCCAGAAGCTACTGTCATACTTGATACAATGCGCGTTGATCAGTCAGATAAATTTTGCCCTGGCCTTACAATGGCAACTAAAGATGGGCCAGTCTCAACATCTTTATTTTTAAGAATCTATTTTAAAAACTTCTCTGTTTTATGCTTTGTTGTCTAAAAAACAACTTCCAAATATTACTTGCTAATATATTCATCGAGTATCTTGCCGTACACCTTTATTGGGTGAAATCGTACAACTAATTGTCACTAATATAAAAACATCTGTCAAATTTGAAAAAATGAATGTAATTAGATATCTAGCATAAACATACACGCGAATTCTTCGGAGGCAACTCGCTTACAGCTGAGAAGCTCGAGAGAATCTTCCTACATTGATAAGGAATAATCGCATTTAGAAAGTCAAATGCCATTCAGTATAATAATAAGATTGTCCAAATGTGCAAGTCAAACGAAGCAAGGATACCTGATCTTCATTCTCTTCATTTGTAAGGTCTTCCATACTTCCTAGCCTTCGCGCTTGCTGCTTTGCATGTACTGCTGCAATAGGCCGAAATTCACAACCTGGTCTGTTTCTTTATTCTCAGAGCAAACAAAATGAATTATCTGGTCTGTTTATCCGACAACTGAAAACATCTGCTGAATCATTTCAATTCATGAAGTAATGCTTAGCTTTGTTAATAAGTTCAAGTGAAATTACAAAGCAAGCATTGTTGTCGGAGCACTGCATTGCAATGCAGAATTAATAAATGTACATGTACTGCAAGGTTTACAACAAATTAATGAAAAATGCATTGCTGTAGAGCATCATCGGCAAAGTTTAAAGGTTAATATTTGTTAATATTCCAAAATTTAGAGTTTCTTATTCAATATTTTGAAAAATTCTTTCACCATTGATTTGAATCATAAAGCCAATTTGCTGAGTTCATAATGAGCCTATCTACATCAACCTACATTACTCGCGTCTTACTAAAAATTTCATACAGCGTGTCGTTTAGTGGGTGGTTTCTCGTTAGCTTAACCTGCCGTTGCACAGACATTCAATTCTTCTTAATGTCTTTATTGAACATAAAGGATGAAATTTTAATTGACAGATATCTGTGAAGAAAAGTCCCGGAAAGCCATTCTTAACCTGATCGAGAATATCTCTGCGGGGAATACATATAGTCTATGCCCACTTTTCTACAGGAGACTGATATATAAGTCTCCTGTAGAAAGAATATTTTAATTAGATTTTAATTATTTTACGAACATTTTTTAGCATTTTTTGTAGAGCTTTCCAACATTGCCATCCGTACTACGTACTACATATTTTGTTGCAAAAATAAGCCATGGACAAATCCGGAATTACATCCTTTTTAACTTTGGTTGTTTTTTTTCTCAGTTTTTCCTTTTACCTTACGATTGTTTTAGTTTTTTCTTGTAAAACCAGGCTAGCCAATTGCAAATTACCTTGTAATAGTGAGATTTGTAATTGTAGTTTAAATTGAATTGAAAATGAAATGTTTTCATTATTATTATTATTATTATTAATAAGTAGTTTGAAGCTATTTTACTTATGAAATAAACTCTAGAGTGTCACTTCTCTGAATGTAGTCAGTTAAATCATTTAAATCAAATATTTCTTTCTGACAAAATTAAGGAACAGAGATCTGTGAATGAATTTTCATATAAAAATATCAAACTGTTTTAATGAGTAGGGGTCACATTATTGGTTGCTTCAAGAAATTTCAAAGCAACATCCCATAATACATATAACATTGGCCCATTCGCACTACATCTAGAAACCTGACAATGCTAATCTCTTATTGTTCTATCTTCAAAGGCAGCAAGGATTTGTCAGGAAGTAGTTCAATTGCTAGAGTGCGAACAGCAAAATCTGAAATCTGCAGATTGTAACGTTTCGACTAATTGGTCAAAGGTTCCGTCATAGAGCGCTGGAGCATCACAATCTCTTGAAAATCTATGATAACCAGCGGGTGACTCGACGGAGATGCCAGAATTATGTTAACACCAATAAAAAAGTCCAGGGTGCTATTTGAAATCATATCACGATTAAAAAAGGTACAATTTCTTAATGGCAACCTGATAACGTGTTTGATAACAATATAACATCTCAGAAAACTGCCTAATGCGAACAAGAAGTCTGACAAACTTTGTTAATCATGAAAAAGTTTTTTAATTGGAGTGAGAATATCAGGTTTGACAAACATTATCATATTTGCAGTGCGAATAGGGCTATTTTCATTGCAATTGCATTTAGCTCCTTTCAGTTTCACATATTGAAGCTCCCCTTGATCAGTTGACAGAAATTTGCATAATCTTTATTGTTCCTTCTCTTCGCAGAATAAATGGTCCTTTCTATTCTCTTTGATCAAATTAAGGGTAATAAATCATTAAGTTATTTTTAAGCGGTATAAAAAATAACCGCTTTCGTTTTGAAACTAAGCAGAAACAAAATAGATTCATCTCAAAGAAGCTTGACCAAAAAGTATCTTGCACCTATGAAAATAACATCTTCTGAATACAAAATATAGCACTGGCGTCTAATTGTTAACAAATCGTATGTCAGTTTTTACCACTCAAAGGCATACAGCAACTGCAGTCGTTGTCATTAGTCAATATATCCAGTTCACCATGACAAAATTTGCCGTTTTTCATTGCGCTCGTATGGTTTGATAGCTAATTAAGGCTTTTCAGATATCTGCCGAAATGATAATTAACAAAATTGTTCCATGCCTTTTCATCTATTTCAGCATCATTTTAACAAATTCTGGAAAAGAAAAGAGCAGGAAATTTTAGCGCTTCAAAAATTCAGAATATTTTGTTTAGCTTTAACATTACGAAAAGTAGTCCTCGCAATTGCAATTGAAGACATCCTTCAGAGAATATGCTAAGTAAGTTCTTATCCTTTAACAATATCCAATTGCAGTGAATAATGATTCCATATTTTTAACGAGATATGTTTTTAAGCACTGTTTTTCGTTTGATACTCCTTGGAGCAGAAAATTTCCGAATAAGAATGGATATTGTAATGGAAATTGTAGTCCGAAGATATAAAACCCACTTATAGATGAAAATAGGCCAATGAAAAAATGTTAGCACATGACAGAAAACTTACCACTAGAGTCCAAAGCTAAAAACAAACTTATTTTGTCAACTCAATAACGTTGTTTTCATTTTAATGAACATGTATTCTAAACTGTCTAGGAAATTATGAGCGGGCTATGCCCACTATAGCTTTTGGTTTATCAGTAAATTTTGCGCGACTGCTGGATTGCTGGTAGGTTTCTACTCCATCTCAGAACTTTGTGGGCAGTTCTGTCGGGGAAGGTGGTTGTAGAGATTGCTTCCTTTTTTGGAAGGAATAACGTAAGTCCTCGAAAAAGCCACCCCCTTCTCCTCGAAAATGCCCCCCTCGAATAAGCCCCCACCCTAGAACTAAAAATTTTCAAAAAGCCCCCTCCCCTCTCGAATAAGTCCCCACTGCTACCGTAAATCCTGGATTTGTCGATTTTTGCCATCTGTTGCTTTTGGTGTTTTATTGAATTGCCACAAAAATTCATACTTTTGGTAGTGATTGATTAAATGTCCATAACAAATTTCCGGCTTAAATATACAAGGTCTTTTATTAATGTCTTCTTACTTAATGTCTACTATAATTTTACAAGCCCCTCCACTTGTACAAGCCCCTCCACTTGTACAAGCCCCCCCCCCCTGAATAACCCATGTAAAATTCGTTTGACGAGGATTATAAAAATGGACCTGGCTTTTGATCGCAGTCAATCACAATCACAAATGATGGTGTTGAGAACACGGAGAACCATTTTCTGCTCTGCCATACTTTTGATGTAAATTGCTTGATCTGCTTGACAGTGTAAATGCATATGCATAATGACAGTGTAAATGCATTGCTATACCATAAACAGTTACCATTTGATTTCAATTCAAAAATTTTTAATGGCAACACTGGAGTTTATCCAGGCCTCCAAACGTTTTGAACAGCTCACGAACAAAAACTGTCAAGTCTCCTCTCTATTTCTTTTTTTTATTTATCGAATTGTCTTTTAATGTAAATTATAATTTTTGTTTATATGTAGTAGGGGGTTAGTCATTATATAATGCTCCTCCTGACCATCCTTGCAATGTAGTATAGCAGTCTTCGTTAGGTACAGTTTTAGGTGATTTGTTTGTAACTTTTTCTATCGAGTAAAACCAAAACAGACGATCAAACATGACCTTCACAAAATCAACAAAAATGCTGACCAAAACCGGTTCTAAAGGACTATCCATATCAACACCAACCTGGCAATACCTGTCATGTGCTTGCGTCGTTTTATTGGCCTACCTTCATTCACAACTGGGAATATATCTGCAAAATTCATACTTTTGAGCCTTATTCTGAGATCTATACTCAGGTATGTCAACCAAAATGCATTAGTATGTATAGCAGTGCCAGCTCTAGTCTGCATTGCTTCAGTTTCTGAAGCTCAAAAACAATACTTTAGCAAAAAATCGCATACTTGAATAAGGTAGTATGCCTTCAGAATTTCAAACCATAGCTGAAAAAATGTAGAATATGCTCATATCTAGAGACTAGCTAAATTCAAGACCACTTAATTCATTTAGGCCAGGTTTAAAAGGTAAGCCAAATAAGCTGCATCTAGATAAGCCGAGATCATCTCCCGCGTGTCGCTTTAGCAAAGAGATAAAAATAATTTCAAATAGATAAGAATTGACTCAGAATCTTCAGAACTTAGCCACGTGTTGTCTAAAACTCCATCTGAAACTTAGCATATGGTCTAGAGCCGTACCACGTGACTGTGATTGCATTAAGCTAGTCTTACTTTACATTTTGTAGCTGCATCAGTCCATTAAAAGATCTGGATAAAACCTGCTTCAAGCTGTGTTTCAAATTTTCTTAGGTGTGTCTGTAGGCTAGAGAGAACTATTTACGCATGTGCTGTAACGAAATAATTGAAGGTTGATGAAAAGAAACATTGTTCAATGTTAGCAACTAATAATATATAACAATGGCTTTGCACCTTCATAATTGATGTGTCCGTCCCCATCAATGTCGGCTTCTTTGATCATTTCGTCCACTTCTTCGTCTGTTAGTTTTTCGCCCAAGTTTGTCATGATATGACGTAGTTCAGCTGCACTTATGTGTCCATTACCATCTTTGTCAAAAACTCGAAATGCTTCTTTGATTTCCTCTTCGCCCTCCGAGTCTATCATGTTCCTTGCCATCATATTGAGAAATTCAGGGAAATCAATTGTGCCATTTCCTGAATTAACAACAACATTTAGTATGCTACACCATTTAAAGGCTACTTTCTGCAAAAAATGTATGACCGACTCTAGGTATCTATTAGAATTTTCGTACATTTGATTTGGGAATTTGAGACTTTCCAGAAGTTTGTACAGTTTGTACCTAGGAAAATTTTCAAAGGGAAAAAGCAATTTGGAAAATTTATCAATCATACCATCAATGTCGACTTCATTAATCATATCTTGAAGCTCAGCCTCGGTTGGGTTCTGTCCCAGACTTCGCATAACATGTCCTAGTTCCTTTGTTGTTATTGCCCCATTACCATCACTGTCAAACAAGTAGAAGGCTTCTCGGAATTCTAAGGGAAATTTGCCATAAAAGTCAAAAAGGTCGTACGATTCGTTTAAGATAACATAAAGAAAAGCGACAGAAAGAAAAGGATGGAAATAGTCGAAAAATTCATTTTTGCAATATGTTTGTGAAAATAAGAAAATAATGAAATTTAAAGAAAAATTTGATTGTTTGATATTTCTAACTTTGAACTTGAAAGAGTTAGAGTTCCCAAGTAAACGTAAAGTTTTTGAAAATGGCTAAAAAGTTCAAATTTCTAGAAAATTGGTTAAAAACAAGAATGCCGAAGAGGAATACCTTCTATCTGTTCTTCATTCAGGGTTTCCGCCTGTAAAATGCGTCATAAATATTGAGTAAACAATGATAAATTGATAATATGATAAATTTATAGTAAAGGAATCATTATTGCAGCCTAGCATCAGAAATAAGATTGTGCGTGAATGGCCATTGCAGCATCAAATTACATCCATAAAGGTAAAACCACTGCCAGTTACCATCGGTAAAGTGGATGGTGCGGCGCATCAATAGCCATTACTTGGCCTTTTGTTGCCCTTTGTCCAGACACTTCGGTCGGTTATTTACCAACTACAAATTTCCCAAACTCGACAAATCGAGCTTGGAAGAGAATGGAGGCATTCCCTCTCCCCGGCTTCTGTGCTACTGGACTTTATCAAAATTTTCTTCAGTAAGCTTTTTGCATTTAAGAAATTTACATTAACTTCATTTTTGGCAGCTTTGCCTTGCCTCTGTAACATAAAATTTACTGGTTAACATGTGATTGGCAGTTTTCTAGAATTGCAAGCTTAATTTCTACTTACTGGTCCACGTCTAGCATACAATGAATGTGACATCATGCCAAGAACCAAACGTTACTCTCGATTTAGCTTGGCATCAGAACCATAAATAAAAGGAATTCCCGATCTTCATGAATAATAGATGCACTCCTTATTTAAACAGTAAAACTGCAGTAATAAGAAATGTTTTGCCTGGATAGTTCACTTTTAAGCGATACAACTGCCTCTGTTGTTGGATGGTCTAACAAAATGAATATTACAATGCTAGTGATGCGAAATAGAAACCTAAATTCCAGGTAATCCTAGGGGATAAACTACAGTTATCCCTCAAAGATGAATCTTCTAACAGCCATACGCCCAAAAACTTTAAGAATATCCTTCCATATCCAACCAGCGGATCAATTACCTAAAGGAGAACGGACACTCAAAAATAGCCTGGCTTATTCGATGCAAAATGTGTCGCTGATTTCAAATCTGCTAAAATTTTTCTTCTTAGATTTACTGTTTTTCTGATATTTGCACTTTCATCCGTCAATTGGGTCACAGCCTGGACTCGGGAATTTCCTGAAGCGGAAACAAGATTATTGCCAGAAAATGTTGAAATTCTCGGTGGACGTCACAAGTGACATAGTCCAGTGGCTTGAGGGGGAGCATTACCATCTAGAAGGAGACTTTTCTGGAACCACTTTTTCAGAGGTAGTTTTTGTTGTAGATTTCGAATCTGAGTGTTGATCAGGCCGTTTAGGGGCTTTTCCAAGATAAAGGGGGTTTAAGTCTTTTTAGGGTGGTATCTTAGGGTGGTAAGTCTTGTTTTTCATCATTTGTGCCAATTCCAAATATTGAGGAGGAGGGGGGGAATGAGCTTACACAAAAGTCTATTGTTTACTGTGCTGTTATCGAGTCAGTTATTACGTGCATGAATTATGCAAAAAGCCTTTCTGTATTTGTTTCTTGTAGTACTAATATATTTTAAAAGGTCCTAATGATATGCAATATCCAGACGGAATAATCCTCTGTTTCACAGGGAAGGGTAGCTTGTCAACTTCATTCGTTTGACAGTGTTTCCATGTGCTGCCACATGACCTACTTTGTTGTTTTGGGATTTTGCTGGACTCTTTCTTACAGTTCTGTTTATATTTCACATTGACTAACATTGATTGGAAGATTTTATTGTGGAACCCTTAAAGTAAGGTTCTGTCTTCAGAATCGATTCTTCTCTTTAGACTTTCATCAATGTTTTTACTTCAAGAATATAATCTAAAGCCTATAAAATATCTTAGTTGATGCTAATTACAAACAATACACGACGTTTCCCTTTCATATCTATCTCGGGATGTGAAAGAATCATGTAAATATGGCAAAAAGAAGAGAGAAATGTTTGTTATCCGCTATGGGCATTTAGAATTTGTAAATAAGAACTTAACCCCCCTCCCCCCTGCACTTCGTTCATAGATCTTGCTACCAGGGCTTTAGTAAATCCATTTAAGCGAAAGAAAATTAAGATGAAAAGGCCAAAAAGATAGCACAGAAGCATCCCCTTTTGTAAAAAGAAAGAAGGCTGTGTGTGCTGGAAACCTCTTCCTGAAACTTTCTATAAAGTGCCCGTCTGCAAAAGCAATCAAGGGAAGCAGCAGCCAATTTGTGTGGTGTAGACATCCTCAGCTTGTAGAACACTTAAGCAAGTGCATCCCACAAACTGCTATTGGTCCCTCTGCAATGGAAAGATGAAGAACGACTCTTTGAAGTAGTTGAGTGGCAACAAAAGTAGCTCTTGGTTGTTGCAGAGTTTGAAAACCCCCTCCAAATTTGCTGCACCGGGTTTCCAAGAGGAGAAACGTCACCAATCGAAGCTCTTCAAGCCAACCACGAGGCAGCAGACAAAAGGAAATGCTTTCTGCTACACCAAACGGTGACAAGAAATAACAGTGGCATTACTAAATATATTCTTCTGTCAAGATCTTTGAAGATAGATTTCCCAAATCCTTGTCCCCAATGAAGTTCTAAACCTTGTAGTCTATATAGACAGTGGCAGTGACAAGAATCCAAAGATCTTAGCATTAGTTTCATGCGATTTTTCTTCCCCAGAAAAGGCAACTTTTCTAGGCTTGTATTGTTATAGTGGTATTGTTATTGCATCAGTGATTGTGCTCAAGTCCAATTTCCAGACAAAATGGGTGAGCCGCCCGTAATTCGCCTTTTTTACCACTAGAACGAAACTTTTCTTCAAGAGTGTTGTCACAACCACCCCCGTGCCCTCCCGTGCTCCCCCTCCCTAGCGACGGCCCTGGTGGCTAGAATTTAGTTACAAGACAAGCATCAACTTATATCATGCAGCAGGGTACCCTGGGCACCGATCTCACTTTCATTTGAACTAGAGTGAGTGTTGTACCCAGGTTAGAAGCAGGATGACTCACGCCGGTTTATCCGTTGATTGGAATTTGGAAGCTTACATGGAAGATATTTGTGACCTTTGTGTCAGCAATGATGATAAAACTGCAATTAGTTTAGTTGAAGTCTCTGATGATGAAAATTACGATTAGATGTGAGAGGCTGGGTATATTAATTTGAAAAATTATAAAACAAATTCACGCCCGGTGAAAATGGAATATAATCCGCACAAGTACGACTTTCAACCCGCCTTTACTATTTGATATCACGATACAGTGAACTCGTTTGAAACATTGAAAAACAATTAACTTGCAATCCCGTTTAGAACATCATAGGCATTTCCGCGAATTAGGCCGATTAGGCCAGACAGACAAAGCAGTCTAGACAACGACGCCTCAATCTGAAATGAAATTCTAGTTTTGCAATACCTGAACTCATTCAAATTGTAGCAATAGCAATATTTTTGATAGAAATTCTATATCAGTTTGTACTCCCAGTTTATTCTTTGTTCATAGCATCGTCACTGTTGAGCCATGGGATGACTGTCTGCCCAAGCGGCAGCGCTGGTTAGTAGCAAAAACTCAGACGGCCGAAATGTTCCATTTGTTTCGAAATTAGTGTAATAAAACTCAGATTCAGAACCATTGAAAAAGTCAATTATATGTCAGAAATGCAAAATTAGCTCCTTTCACTTGCACAAGCAGGGCCGCTGGAGGTTTAAGCAGGGGGGGGGGGGCAAAGGGAATAAAAAGGGCACAAACATATATTTTTTCGTAACATTGGTTATTGCCAAAATAGGACAGTTTTCATGGTAATTCAGAAATTTTCAAAAAATAACACGGCTATATGCTTCATTCAGTGGGCACGCACTCTTGGGCATACTTAATTGTATAATTCCTCATGGACGTTGAAGGTTTTTTTTTGGTGTAAACCTTTCGTCAATGCATGATTAATATTATCTTTAAAATTCAATTTACTTTTTATGTTTTGATTTTTAATGTAAGTGGAGATCGTGGTAAGCACGCATCCTTCCCCCGTGCTTATGGCAGGTGCTTTATATTCGTCAAATATTCCAATTAATTACAACATACCAAAAAGAATAATTCCATATTAATGTTATCATTCATATAAAAGTAACAAAAACTTACAAGTTAAACCAAAAATATAGTGTACAAATTTGACAGAAATTATCGAAGTTTTAGGCTTTATCTATTTCAAAGCAAATTTTCAGTCTCTATCTATTTCAAAGCCAGTTTCCATTCTCTATCTCTTCCAAAATTTAGGAAGACAAAAAATAAACAGCTAAATTGTTATCTTTAGACCAATTGAATTTTCCCGAGATTATATACACTGCAAAGTAGTACACTGGTCGACCTACTGTATTCTCTTTAATGAGCACTCCTTTTTTGGGAAAAAAATCTCCAATGAGTGCTCATTATAGATGGTATTGAAAATTCAGATATTCAAGATGCTACGTCAGTGTTAATGCAGATCGACGAGGGTTCCGACTTGGAAGAATCTTGCAAATTTTTAGCTTTGACAAGTATGATGCAAATGCAATATTATATTTTGTAAAAACAATGATCGTTTGAATTTCAAAGCTCAGTTTTTTATTAAGCTACTGTCTTTATTGGTGGATATCTATCTATCTTCAATGAGCACCCCTCTCTGAGGCCAGACAAATAAAATGAGTGACTCCAGCGTTCATTAGAGAGAATGCGGTGTGTAACCGGCTGAGGAACAACTGGCGACACACTGATGAAGTTTTTTTGCCAAAGAGACAGTCTTCTTCGCAGTAGATGTTGTTAGAAAATGAGAATTAAATTGTTTTACTTGGCGTCTAAAGGAAAAATATCTGGCTGTGAAAATAGTACACACGATATTTTTTTCAAAAAAGGGCACTTCTCACACTTTCTCCAAACAGGGGGGCCTGTGCGCCCGTGCACCCCCCTTTTCCCCTCCGGCTACGGCGGCCCTGCAAATCCGTGGCATTTTCCTAAATGTTTCTATAGAGAAACACAATACTTGCTGAGGACATGTCACTTGTGACGACAAAGGCGATCGCCCGCTCGTGACGATTTTCGCCTCGAGTCTCAAGTTGTCGGAACACTTCTCGTTTCTCAACTTCAAACGCATATATTTCAAAAACGGTAACAGTGATTTAAAAATTTTCGATCCCAGAATTTGACACGGGTTATTTTTGATCGTTGATCAGTCTAATTATTGACACGGGTAATTTTGGATCGTGTCAGGTTGACTACTTAAATAACATATAGCACCTGAAAATAGATTGGTAGCACTATTTTTGGTCCACTTCTAATTTCGTTAAAACGAAAAATGTTTCCTAATGTAAAAAAAGGTAAAAAGAGTAGTTCAGCAAGAAACATGCACATGGTGAAATGATATAAAATCTAAAAGAACTGCTCCAGGCAATTATTTATTTTTGATATTAAGCTAAACAATTATCCATCATTTTTAACTCTAGATAACATGTATCTGAAGGAAACAAGTTCTCTGACAATCTAACTTGTAAAGCACATAGTAATTTCATGCCATTTAACATTATGTCTTCAATCTATCACAAGCTATCATCTACTAGCGGTGTATTACAATTTTGGTCGCCTTAGGCTCGATGGAAAAAAAGTTTACATGCCAACTTGCAAACTTTTTTATCAAAATCATTAAATTTTGATATATCTTTTATTAGATTTGAATCATCTGTTTTTATATTCTATCTGATTGTTTATTGTGGTTCGTGATTGCTAGCTCTATCATGCTCCCTCAGAGTTCACAAAATCAAGCTGCGCAGCTGTTCCATTTTGCAAATGGCCGATGAGTGAGAGTATTGTCTTATTTCTTATTTCATACATTAAATTAAACAACCTTTATGAAAAAGCAATTTCTCAAATAATCTGCGTTAGACGCGTCAAACACAGCATTTTCTTTCGAGTCACAGAATACAGAGGATAAAAATACCTTAAAGTAGCTGTGTAATATTGGATGAGTTTAGTTATTTTCTGAACAAAATGTAAATTGGCTAACTTAATGACTATAGTTACTTGTCCTCGGATTTTTATTATTGATTTAAACATTTTAAAATTTAAAAAATTTATGACGACTTTCCAAATACCAAAATGTCATCCAAGCAAAATTAGTTTTTCTTTCGAAATTTTCAAGTTCATAGTTAGCACCGCTGGAAGTACCATAACTGTTAACATGCTTCATAATTTTACATTAAAAAAGGTTTGGTGTTTTCAACTGTTTGACATGAATATCCTTTCCAAATATTGACTCTTTTTTCCGCATTATTGATTTTATTTTTACTTTGTAAATTCATTCCTCTGATAGGAGGCTGCTGGAACATAATTGATCCACCAACCAGCTGCTTTCGACTTTCTGACTAGACTTTCTGCAAATATTTTATGTTGAATTTTTAATACGGAGAAATTTAGATGGCCTTGGACGCTTACTTTGTGCAAAAACCAATTCTATTTCATAAATTATAAAGAGAAGGTTGCAAAGAAATACTAAATTGATTGAAATCAGAAAAGTACTCTGCAAAATTTATTTTACTAAAGTAATATATCTGGCAATTAATTAAATGTTTAGCATTTGAATTAGCTGACATAGGTACAGATGAGCCATCATCCGGTGTTGTCCATTACATGATAAAACTGCAATATCCAATGGTTTTGCAACAATCAGTGATTTTTCAATGTCATTTATGGCCTCCACCAAAGATTTCAAATGAAAGCTGCATGATGAGATTTTCCGTGACAATTCAGAAACCTCGTGAAAATATCCGTGACAACCTCGTAGCCACTGGTACTCATCTCTTTGCGTTGATCATCACTTCAGCATCACCTTGACAAATTCTATTCGAAAATAAAGATGATTAGTGTGAAATCATTTCAAACATTAAAGATTCTCTATTTGAATTACATTTGAGCCCTTTTCACACTGCATAAATTCTTGTTAGTGTCCGTCTTATCAATCTTACCAAGTGTCATCGAATGAAGTGCTTATTTTTTCTTATTTTTTGTGGCAGATTAGCAAGAAACAAATCTTAATCAGTTTAGTTGAAATGGTATCAAATTAGAATACGAGTGACATGAACTATAGAAGCATTTTATTTTCTCGCAAAAAACTTCAGCTCATAACAATCTTGGTCCATACACTAAAAGCGTGGATAGGTATTAAGACTCAAACGTTAGTATTTCACCATTTTTTGTCTACTAAAATGAATGCGAAGGCACTCTTGAAGTAGCCGAAGTTCAGAACTAAAGGCACTCTTAAAGTGACAGAGACAAAGTTTATCGCAGACAAAAGAATGCAAGGAGAAATTTATAGATACATAGTTGAATTAAAAAAAGAAATGAATACCTATAGTCACGTAAGTTACAGAGCCACGTGATCGTTCTATTTTTTTCTACTACCTTTATCGTTAAAACATTCCAGCCATAACAATTTAGCAATTTTAATGTGTAGAAATGAAATTAGGAAATAGAAAATTGAAGAAAATAGAAAAGAAAAAAAGAAAAAGGTAGACGGAGAAGAAGGAGAAAAAAAGAAAAGTTTGCACAAAAAGAGTAAGAAAATATTGAATAAAGGGTAATGACCTTTCTCTTTACAGAAATTAGAAAAATACGACTGTTAGAAAACTAATTACAAGCAAGCCTAAGCATGGTGTTTCTTAGGCTAAATGCCGTAAATATTGATAACATTTACGGCATAGATAACAGCTAAAAGATTGATAACAGCGATAATTTGTTGCTTCTCAAGGATGTTGTAAGGATATTTCACAAAAGCGTCGCTTGTGTCTTCAAAATGTTCTGCATAAAAATTTATAGAAAACAGTAATCATTCTAGAAAACAGGGTGTGACAAGGAAATGGGTTTGTTCCTAAGGGTGTGGTTGACCTTCTATCTCCTTTTGTCGGTAGTCAGATTTTGGCTGGATCCGCCACTGCTTTTTACTTGCCTAAAAATTTTCTGCGAACCTGTCTATTACTGGTTCTCTCCTGCAAATACTATGCCACAAGCATCCTATGTCCAAGGATCAATATGTGTTCCCGATCATTAAAGTAAAAAGGCTTTCCATTTTGATTTCTTCTAGATGTACCATGCTCATGTCATAAAAATTTTTTTTGGTCGGCCTTTTCAATATTACAGTTTGTATGCACTGTTAATCTTCCTGCTTGCCTCATTTGTCTGCAGCAAATCTTACGTGTTTGTCCGTTTTTCGAGAACTGTAAATTGTTTTTACCTGCCATGTTTATATTTTCCATCTTCATGAAATCTGTTCCTGGTTTTTTCAATGTAGCGAAAATAACTGTTTACTGGTCCTTAATAAAGCTCTCGATGTCGTAAAGGCAGAGTATACGCGCTTTGTCCATTTAAATATGTATAACTTAAAATAACTGCCTGATTGCAAATTGTTTGGAAGTTTTCTTTAATAATCCAATTTAGGAAACATTAAAAGCTCTCTGCTCTCTAATCATTTTCTTTTAACTAGGGTCACTAAAACAACGGCTACACGAAATTAATATTTTGAATATTTTGACAATTAAAGACAGCTTAAAGTACATGTAAATATTTCATGTTTCCCATGACGGAAATGTACATGGAGTCATAAAATTTTTCAACTCCAGCAATAATTAATGGCTTTGGAAAAATATACTTTAAAACTAGAGAAAATGCATTTACTTCAATAACGGGCAAGATTTCACAGCATGAAGAATCTCCAACCACTGTGGGCATTTTCGAAACACACCCAATGTCAGAATTGCAAGTTAAAAGGTTACTGTTGTTTTATAAAAGCCTCCTATGAATTATTTGGTACACTAACGCATTTATATTGCATTTCCTATCTAGGTTTACCTTCTGATCAATTATGGAAAATGAACTCAGATAGCTGATCAAAGAGACTTTGTATCCAGTGGCGAAGCTAGCCAAAAATAGTTGATCCTGCTGCATGGACAGGGCCACGCCCTTATTAAATAGGAAACGCCCATGAACATAAATCCTTTTTTGCAGATGAATTTTTACTTAAATTCAGCAAAAAGCAAATTTCAAACTGATGTCTATCTTTTGAAAAACAAACCCATACTTAAAGGCTTGCTTTAGGGTGCTTAGTTTTCAAACAAATCTAAGCCTCTACAGCTGGAGTAAAAGTTCAAACTGGTGATAGCTAATTTTGGCATTAAAGGGGCAGGGGTGATATCTCAAGTTGCATATCATATACTTGTAGTAGTTGAAATAGCAGGGCCTCCGACGAAGGGGGGGGGGCGGGGGGACCTTGCCCCCCCCCCACTTTTTTGCCAAACAATAGAGATTTTTCAAAATCTTTTGTTATGGGTTTTAAATTTTCTCTTGGCCCCCCACTTTTCAACCTTTGTCAGAGCCCATGGATAGTGTAATTAGACTACTCAAGATTGTCGTCTCATGAATCTGACAAATCTAGATACTTTATTTAAATATATTCAATAAACAACAGAGTTCAAAGTCTGTACAGGCAAGTTCACATATTGTGCAAAACAGTTATTCTGCAGCTGATAAATAGAGGTACACTTGAACAATGTGTCGCGTTATCAATAAAAACAACTTCATTAGTCAAACCATTAGACGAGTAAACAATTCAGGTAGAAAAATATACTTTCATACAAGCAGTTCAGCGTTCAGCTCATCGGTACTCAACATAGCAATCAGTCACACAACACCAGTCGCTCGTTAATCTCTTACAAATAGAAAGCCCTGATGGTTAATCGACAAAATAATTCAATGCGTACGATCAAAAGTGATTTGTTGACTGGTCTCGTGGTGCATCAGGTCGGAAACCCTATTGCCAACAAGATCACACCACGGATGACATTGCGGGCGGAAGGATTGAATCTCATTCTGAATGTCATTCTGAGGAATATCGAGCGATTTCTACCATTTAAAGCGAGAGTTTGTTACTGGGTGAAATAATTCTCGACAAACAGTGTGCTAAAGTTTTTTACACCGAAAGAATTTCGGAAATTACTTCATTTGTTCTGGAGATATCGAAGGCTTTTTCGAATCTCATTCTGGCCTCATTCTGGTCATCGATCACAGGGATACCGTTGGTGAATATGCGTTTTTAAAAAGAAACATTTCCAGCCTGTTGTCGCAAAAATTTACAATTTTTCATTACATTTGGCATATTTCGTTGTAACTGTGATGATTTTATGAAAATTCCTGGTTTTGAGCATCAATTCGGTGATATGGAGTGGTGTTGTTTACGTCTAGAGGGCCTAAAGGATTGAATCTCATTCTGAGGAAAATCGAGTGAGTTCTACCAGATAAAGAGAGCTTTCGTTGTCAAATGAAATCATTTCGGATAATTCACGTATTGTACTTTTTTACACAGATAAAGATTTTGAGAATTGCCTCTTGTTTTTGGAAGAGGTCGTTGATTGTTTCGTGCCCGGCAAAATACCCTTTTTTCGACCATAGGGACCCCATACGTAGACAGGAAACAACGTGAAAATTTCGCCCGCAATTCTCAGTTTTTTTGTTTAAAAAGATGCTGAAAGAATCATTTAGACAAGACGAAATTGTCAAATCAAACATCAGAAATATGTTTAAGACAGTTTTAGTCTTTCGTGGTTCGGATTGAATCTCATTCTGTATGTCATTCTGATGTCGAATCTCATTCTGAATCTCATTATCATTCTCTGTCTGAACAGCTCCCGAGATGGAGCAGGACTGCTCTATGTTCTAGACTATTGTCAAGCAGGACTAAGACCCCGTTTACACGAGAGCGGATCCGAACCGGATCGGATCCAAAAGAGTACGGATAGGCCTTCCGCTATCCGAACACTTTTGGGATCGCTTTCAGAGGTGATCCTGTATGGTTCCGATCTGGACCGGATCCTGTGTAAACGAATTGATCTGGTCCAAATCGGATCCGTCAACGTTAACTGTCGAGAGTGAGACAGAATATTTTTCAGTTCAAGGTAATTTGAATATGTAATCTGTGGCTTTTTTGCGCCAGAAAACCGAACATCAAGTTAATAGACTACTGCGTTGGAGAATTATTGCGAAACCTTGACAATATGTCGTCGTACTTTGTCCTCGTATTTTCCCAATCCTGCCCATCTGCAAGCTTTCCAGTTTCCAGTCCAATACTACATTAAAAAGTAGCGCAGTTTCCTCTTCAGTCTACGGAAATTTACCCTTTTTAGCGTTACCTCCATCCATGTTCAGGTTGAACTGTGAAACGCCATATGCGCGCCACTATTCGAAAAGCGCATGCGCGTAACCAATTGAATTCATCTGGATCCGTTCCTGTGTAAACGCAAATGGTTCTTGATCGGATCCCGTGTAAACGCATTGCCATTTCAGGGATCGGATCCAAAAGTATCCGGACACTTGTGGATCCGATCTGGTCCAGGTCTCGTGTAAACGGGGTCTAAAATTACAAAAGCCTGTTGTGAAGCAGGACCAAACATAGGGTATCACAGGGTTGTCGTAGTAAAGAACAGGACCTTCAAATTAGCACGGGATGGCTGTATCAGCTGGCGGAACTGGGGACTGTCTATCAAATAGAATTTGATACTTCTCTATTGTGAAGCAGGACCAGCAGGACCTTTGGCTTCGCCACTGTTTGTATCATCATAAAGGCAATGTATGCAAGAGTCCTGTTGTCTTTCTTTTCAGCGAAACAAGCACAATATAGATGAATTCTACCAGTTCTCTTTAAATTCATTTTTCTTTCAAACAGTCAAAGTTGTGTTTTGCCACCATCAGATATTTTTTTGGGGCACTTTTACCATGATAGTTTGACTGATTCAAACTTTTCAAATATTATCAGCACCTAAGGTACCCAAAAAGCTACTGGGAAGAACGAAGATGCTAAGCAAATCCGTCAGCTTGAATAATGTAAGACCAACCCACTGAAAGTTCAAAGAGAAGAGCGCTTGAAAATTGGGCTACGATGTAGAAGCTTCCTTGAATGTAAAAGGTAAGAAAAGAAGCCTGTAAGGTTGAAACGTATAAATCAAGTTGACTGAAGAAAGGGTCACAGCATGGTTATTATGATTTTCTCCAAAACAGACGGCCATGAAAAAGTCATTTAAAAAATTTGCAAAATGGACTATTCAGGAGAATAGAAAGAGGAACAAATGATGCCAAAATACATTCCCACTAAGTTATAGGAAATGAAGTGTTTCTTTCAATTAATGACTCATGCTAGGAAAGTAAAAGGGGAAACCAGTGAATTGAAAATAGGTACGCAAGATTAGGCCCAAGCAAAACAGGCTACGAAATGATACCAAAAATTGTCAAAGGTCTTTGAAAAAAATTTGATTAGAAATGCAATAAAGTCGTACCTTGACTGTCAATGGCAACTTCAGTACTAAAGTACTCTAGCTCTCTAACCTAAATGAAGAATTTAGTCGTGGGAGAATCAAAGTTTGCACCTGATTCTAATAGTATATCCAAATAGCTGATAGTGTGCTTCTAGGAAGAGCAACGGCTGCAAAAAACCTGATTTCTCATCTAACCGAGTTGATAGGGTCTCAACTTTCTGGCGCTCACAGCGGAGGCAAAATCGAGACCACTTGACTTTAACTACGGATGCTCAGATTTTGGCGCTACGCCCGCGCGCCCAAAAAATGTCAAATGGAAATCGGCCTTAACCGAGTTGATCTCGACGGTTTCATGTACTTTCGAGCATGGAGATTTAGAATCAAAGATGGGACCAAAAAAATTCTGTCTCAGTATCTCGTGATTGATGACGTCATCGATCACGAAAAAAACAGTCGTAGTTACCATATATATTTAAAATAAATAATTGGCAGGACTTGACCTGCGTTTGGCTAAACGTCGTTGATCTTATTTTGTTCGATCGCTCAGTTATGGCCTATAAGCTTAAGAACATAATCAGCCTTGAAAGTCTTTGGTACAAATTTGAGCTAAGATCAACGCACTTAAGCAATGCAACCAACAAGAATTTGCCAAGATCTTCAGATCCCAAGACTAAATGCAGAACACGTGAATAAGCGCTTTAAATACTTGGCTCTAAAAATATGGAACGAAAAGTCTGTTGATATACGAGAGGCCCTTACAAGAACAAAAGCAAGAAAACAAAAAAATTTGATTTTTCGAAGCGTTCACAGGAGAACGCCGAAAACGTTTCGTTTCGATTAAGAAAGTGGACGGCTCTTAAAAGTTAGCAGTAATGTGGAATGAAATTTTATCGAGCGAATTTGCAATTTTGCAAACATTTTTTGCTCCCGTTCAATTGGATGGACGTTTATGCGCATTTTTACACGAAATTTTGGCTACTTTTATAAAAAGCGCTTCTTGCACTGTTGTCAGTTTCGGGTTCCCTGACAAATCTGTTACACTGTTAATGCTGAATAGAATAATTTACTGTTGGAAAAGATCAAAATTGTTACGGCTTTTGGAGGTCTTTGGGACATCGTAGACGAGAAAAGAGAACGATGAATTTGTGGATTTAGCCCTCAAAAAGTTATTACTTGGTGGGAACATTTCAAGCGCGACACCTTTATTTCAAATTGATAGGGAGTAATTAAAATCCAGTGTAAAGGTTTAAATGGCAGATCGCTGACAGTTAAAGCAAAACTTGAGGTGTACAATTATTTTTTCATACCGTTTATGACGTACGGAAACGAAACCTGAACACTGTAAGATCGTCAAATAAAGTCTCTCAGATCCGTCCAACAGCGTCACTTGAGAACCGTTCTTATAATAAACCGGTACCATAAGATCACAATAGATGACGTACTGGACCACACTGGATCTTAACCTACAAACATTGAGATCACTCTCATCAAGAACGGATTTCAATTGATTGGCCATGTTGCACGTATGCCAGATGAATGGCCTGTTAAGGCTTTAATGCAGAGCAAGAGGAAGACTCGAGATTGGTGGTGCACACAACACACGACGAAAGACTGTGTGACAGCAACAAGCCTGGAAGAGACTGGTATTCGAGATCTGTGACATGATAGACAGAAACAGGCAGAAATGACGATACGCCACGAGGGAAAAGCAAGAAGAGACATCCAACCTCCAGAATGTTTCAATTATCTTATTTTTTCATTCATCGTTCGTATCGGGTTTTAAGTCGTGTTTTATATTCGTAATAACATATTTGCATTAGATGGCAAGGAACCATGGATGTTTCTCGAATATTTACAACTTCAGAGATATATATGAGATTCAATAGATCGGGGAGAGGGGGTGGTTCCGTTTCACCATCAAAAGTCTCTCGTTTGCGTGTTGTGGTGGCAATTGTTTTGTTTTTGTGTTTGAATTACAAGTGTCGCCTGTGTGCCTTGGGCTTTAATAAAGCTCAGAAAGTGAGAATTTTATGAAACTTTAAAGGTATTTATGATGAATCTTATTTTTTTCCAATTCTCGGTGGGACTTTTTCGTAAAAAAACCTCCCGATCAGGCGTATCTTCAAATATGGTCTTCAAAAAGTATATCTCGCATGGTAGTTTTTCGTCTCTGGCGTACTTCTCTTCCGATTGCGCTTAATTCAGATTCACCCTGTTGTTTCTCTTGTATAGATGCTTCCCATTTGCATTACATATTTATTTGTGGGATTACTCCCTCCTCAATCCATACATCAGCTTGTATGAAATATCAATTGCTATAACTAGATACAAACCTGTACGACGAGAAACAAAAAAAGGATGTAACATAAATAGAAGAAAATGGAGAAAGCAGGCTTCCCCATAACAAATAGGGCAGCTACTACGAGGGACTGTTGATCTTCTGTGGAAGATAAAATGAAGAAATGGTTTTGCAATCATATTGAAAAACCACGGCATTGGAGTTCAAATGAAACAATTTACAAGGCATAGACATCATATAAAGACTTGGAACAATCTGGTGAAACTAGCCAATTGTTGTTTTGCTTGACACATTGTGTTGACAACTACCTATTTGACACTTTCCTTTGAACTAATTGAACAAATTGAGTTGACTTTCGTTCGAGAAAGAGCCTAATCTAGGTAAGCCTGCGTATTATTTCTTCTCTCAATCTTTTGACAAAAAAACAAATTATGAATTGTGCTCCTTAGTATTTTCTATGCCTGAAGAAAACAAACAGAAAGCGAAGTTGCCATACCCACTAAAGCACCCCATATAGCTTACAGATAGCCACCCTCGCTAAACTTTGCTCGCCGTCAAAAGTTGAGTACACAATAGTTGAGTAAAGTGATTAGTGAAATGTCTAGTCAATTTGCCAGGAATGAATCAGTTACAGCATATGGAAAAAACGAAGAAAACGTTTCAGACATTTTCTTCAGACCAACTGACACGAACAAGACAGCCGGAATCTTCTAGTCCACATATCTTTTTTCTAGAACACTTTGCTCTACTCACTGCAAATAGGCAAAGGTTGAAACAGCATAACTTACCTTCATAATTGATATGTCCGTCCCCATCAATGTCGGCTTCTTTGATCATTTCATCTACTTCTTCGTCTGTTAGTTTTTCGCCCAAGTTTGTCATGATATGACGTAGTTCAGCTGCGCTTATGTGTCCATTACCATCTTTGTCAAAAACTCGAAATGCTTCTTTGATTTCTTCTTCGCCCTCTGTGTCAATATTGTTCCTTGCCATCATATTCAGAAATTCAGGGAAGTCAATTGTGCCATTTCCTGTAAAAATTTAAAAGTCTTAGCGTTTCACTAAAAAGGGGACTTAATACTTCACGGTGTCAACCCCTTTTTCTACGTGTGGTCTATGGCTTTTCGAATGTGGATGCATTTTCACAATAACATGCAATCAATGAACATGCTAAATACAGCTTGAACCAACTCAATAGCTTGCTCTGCTAACGAAATAAGAATTTGTTATATATTTACTTGTAGCAATTTTCCCCTTTTCCTATCAGGTTTCGCAATCACTGTCATCTCTTTGCATTTTGATTCATTGCGGATAAAGACTTTTGGCTGATTTTTGCACGGTTTTGTTCTTTTCTTGGACCCCCGTTTTAGGCCCCCTCAAAAGGAAATTTTAAGTCAATACTTATAATGTTGAAAAAGACAAATTATGCCAAAACACCAGTTTTAACAGAAGAACAATTTAGGCATTATCATATAGGGGTCATAATCACTTTATCCTTTGCTTTGTAAAATACTGTGTATATTTTGTAATTATATCGTTATAAAAAGTAATGTAACAGTCATATTTTTTTAAAGCAACGAACGTGCAACTTTATCAGAATTATTTGACAAGAAAATGCATTTCACAGCCAAAGTAAACAAAGTAAACAAAGAAAACATTGAGTAGCCAGCTCAATCTACTCAAGAAACAAGAAATTATTTCAAAAAAGCGATCAAAAACTAAAGAAAGAAACTGTGTCATACTGATCCTACAGAAATTTATTAAACAAGAAACTGATTTATTTGACAAAGCCATAACCTTCATTTTCAGCATAAATCCAGGATCAACATTCTATTAAAAAGTGAATATCGCATATTGTTATCGGGTAGATGTTTCTGCATGACTTCTGTAGCATGAACAAGCACCCTTATAATGTTCGCAAGAATATAGATTTTAAGCTATATTGTTTAGTTTTGTGTCGGCGTTAATCTTACCGCATTGAAAAATGTCTGCTAATCTTTGAGCCTGCCAAAAAACTTAGCCGTCTTACCGTCAACATCGACTTCGTTGATCATGTCCTGCAAATCAGCTTCTGTTGGCGATTGACCAAGACTTCTCATAACATGTCCCAATTCTTTAGTTGTTATTGAGCCGTTACCATCACTGTCAAATAGATAGAAAGCCTCACGATATTCTAGAAGAAATTAAAAAAGGCAACTTATCAATATCTTCAGAGCATTTGCTATTTTCAAATGTCATTCTCCAAATCAATTCGAGTGGAGGCTCTCAATTCTACTGCCACTCAACATTGCAACTTCTGTAAGTACTGTCCCAGCTCTCTTATTCTATTAGTCAATGCGCAATTCGTAGTAATGTTATAACAAAGATTTATACGCTTATGAGTATTTGTAGGTATGTTATAACTCCTCTTCATAAACCAGCTACTGGTCAGGGCATTTGAAGAAACTCCTTGGTTGCAAGTGTTATGCTGCAAAAGTATGAAGGTATCTACATTCCTTTAACAGTAATGAGTTGGATCCAGCAGATAATTCTCAAATGTCAAGTTAATAATTGGGGCATTGGGTTAATGTTGTTCTAAATTTAAGCCTCAGTAGCGCAATTTTGGTACAGGCAAGATCTTTAGGTTTGATGTGCGAACTTTACATCGATGATTGAAGTGCATCAAACGTAAACGATAATGATTTCGGCCATCTTAAAAAAAGGGCCTTAGTTGTGGTCAAGGAGTTTTGCCTTCAAATACATTGTTAACCATGTATGTTAATTGTCATGCATGTATGTCAAAAAATTTGTTAACCATCCTGGAGTATATGGTTTTTCGTAAAGCAAAATGAGCCTCCCATTGGATTCATTCGACTATATCTATTGCAATCTTGATTTGCAGAATAAAGGAAGAGGCAGCATCGGTTATAAGGTGGATCTCAATTTTGGTAAAGTAATTGTTAAATTTTTTGACAACCTTGTAGTTGCTTTTGAACCTAACTACGGGATGATGGAAAGATACTGTGGTAAAATTAAGGAGAGCATTGAAATTTATTGTTCCAGAATTGATTTCATTTATCACTAAAAAATAGGTAGAGTTGATCTTACAAACATGTTGGTCAGTTCATACTGGTATCTGAAGGGACCTGGTAGAAACATGAAGGTTAATGCTTGGCTACTCTAAATGAATCGTGGCTCTTGGCTGGCCCTTGGGCAGCTAATGCCTGAAAGCACCCCTTTATTGGACTTTGTTAAAATACCATAGTTGTGAATATGAGTCACGGAACTAAAAACCCTGAAATATGCCAATGTTATTTACTGCCTCATTAGGAAGAGAAAGGGTAGGAAGAAAACTCTTTACCGTTTGTGTTCCCTTTTTGTCGGGTAAACAGCAATTGGTAAGCTGCAATAAGCAAAGAGGGGCATCCTTAACTACTGTTACAGTAAATCTTCTTTCACTGCAGATGGCAACCTTAGCTTCCCCGAATTCAATTACTAGCATCATGGGAAGGTACATGTAGACTATGATTTTTGCTCCTTCATCCGTCAAAGGTTTAGTGCTAAGAGGATTGGAGTAATTTTCAAAATAAAGCTCTAAATTGGATACGGGTCTTTGCATTCTTTGTCGGCCTAATTTCAGAAGGAAACGATTGAAAATAATTTTGGAGATTTTTAGGGGTCATAAGATAATAAACTTCTGATTGGCTTTTTACGATCCTCAACTGGTTATATATTCCTAAACTAGCACATTCTTTCATTGTTTTGACGTTCTATAACTTGCAGAGTGTCAGATGAAAAGCTTTTGTTTATCTTGACACTCGTGTCTTTTTCTAAACAATTTTTAGAAATAAAATATATGTTGCATTTCAAAAACTGCAGAATTATCAGATACATCGATCTGCACAAAGAAAAACAGGGACGCAGACGGAGAGAAGAAGAGAAAGAAATAGTCCCAAATGCTGTCCAAACGCAAAAAGAGCGAGCAGTTTTCTGTAGGCCAAAATGTTTTTGTAAAATCCTAAATAAGTTATATAAAAGGAAAAGATAGATACCCTACGAATATCATTAGACCATGGTGTAACACAGTTTAGGGCACCTTACGGCCTCCAACTAAAAGGGGCCCCCAAATTATTATTTTATATCAATGTTTTTAAAACGTCACTAAAATTCATCAAAGTTTTTAAAAACTTTAAGTTTTTCTTTAACTTAGCTTCCCCCTAGTAAATGAGAAAAATTATCATTTGTACATTTTGCTATGGTATTTGACATGCTCTACATTGTTGGGTGGGACTTTTTTGCAGACGGTAAATAGACGGGCAATAGCCTTTCCTTTTAAAGATTAAAGAAGTATATCAATCTTCAACAAATTTTTAATGCCAAAATAGAAGCTTTTAAATTTCAGTTTTTTGAGACGTCAATCCTGAACGCTTTATAAATGTATAATTTGTTTCACACGGCTTTTCAATGGATCAAGTTGTTGATGAAAAATTTCGTCTTTTATCGCATACTGCTGTTACCATTTAATGATTATTCTCCAAAATCTATGTTTTCTACGATGAATCACATGCAAGATACCCGTAATTTTGAATATAACCTTGGATTTTACAAAAGTGAAATCCTATCTTGATGACCAAGTTCCACATTTAGCATTTTAATGACAAGAATGCTACATTTAGCAATAACACTATGTACAAAGCTAAACGTTCTTTTTTATCATTGCATGGCGGTATAACGTACAAAATTGAGATCTTAATCTATTAGATTAAATCTTTAACGTTCTATTTGTGAAAATGAAACTTGAAAGTTACCTTCAATATCTTCCTCATTCAAAATGTCTGCCTAAAAGTAGAAGAAGCACTAAACAATTTAATATGGTGGTTATTATAAGGATCGAAATTTAGAGGTTACAGCTGGATTTACATTACTAAATTAACATTGTTTTACTATTTGTCCAAGCCACTTATTTTTCATGTCTCTTGAATGTAATTGATGAAAAATAAGATGGCGTTTGATGGATATTGAACACCAACAGATTTTTGACAACTCTCCTTGGCGTGACAGTTGACATAAACCTTTCACCTAAGTTAACCTTGCAGTTATTTATTGCTTTGGAAAAAGTACTAGCAAGCCTTTAAGGGCAGCAACAGTTATGGCTGCTAGAAATTGTAAGCGAATTGGAAGATATAAATCTTTTCTGTTGGGCTAGATAAGTGATGAACATCTGTGAGAGTAAACAAAGAATGCGGTTCATCTTAACTGATCAAGTTCGCATATGCCAAGGACTAATTTGAATGACTTCCAGTTAATTAAATTCAAATTTGAAAAAAACGGAGAATGAAAAAGTTACATGAAATAACACTTAGAAGAGTACAGAATGCCAATTATGAAGCTTTTCTGCTTAACACTTAACACTAATACTTGCCATTTGCGCAGAGTGGCCAGTCTGTCTTCTTTAAGAAATTTCCAACAGAAATTTTTTGTCCATTAACATACAAAGTTGCAAAAGACTACTGTTGGAATTCATTGTAAAAACGCAGCCCTTAATAGTTGATAAGCTGGTTTCAGAGGTGTATTGTTAGAGGATGTCTGCCACTAAGCTTTAAATGTATTGAAGCTTTGTCGCTATCAAATACCTTCAATGCATCATAAGGCTTTTATTTTTGTTGCAAACATCTGCTGCTCAGCTGAGGATAAACTTCACGTGATCATCGGCTGAACGCAATAGCTAGAGCGAGCTTAAATGTTATATTGAACAGTTCCTTTAGCAACGCATCATTTTTAGTAGTAAAAAAATTGTAATTGCAGTATGCAGCTTTAAAATTTCTACTTTGTCAGAGTAATGTCTTTCTTGGAAAGCTTAAAATTCTTGAAAGCACAATTCCACCCTGCAATTTAAGATTGCCAAGAATTTTCTTTTTAGTCTGGTACTAGATCAAAGCCTTTAAAAAGATAAATCGAGAGGGCTTAACGAATCAGCACGATGACGAATAGGTATAACGGAATACTCTGGAGCTACTATAACATGTTTAAAATCTTCATACGAAATGTCCACAAATCTAAATTTCTCTCACTAAAGCTTTAGTATTCCCTTCCAAAATAAAAACGAACAATCACAATCGATAAGATAAATAATCCGATAAAAACAGGAACAAAGAGCTACGTTGCTGAGAATTATTGTTTGAATCTTATTATTAAATTTTGCAAGTTTTCGATAGATCATTCAAAATTTTCTGAATTTCATTGCTACTGTCTTAATCAATAAAAATTCTCAGTTTGATACATGCTTGTTTTAATGGTGCTATAGAATTTCATTTTCAATTTTTTTAGAAATTAAAAAAATTGCACCAAATAAAATTTCAAAATACAATGTAAGCTTTTTGCGTAAATAGAGCAATAACGAACATAGCGTATTGCCAGGCAACCAAACTTTTCGAATACTATTTGTACTTTCCTTATTCTGGTTCTTGTGACTTATTAATTCAAACAAACAGAAGCACTATTGTAATTTGCAGGTACAATTGTGAGCCACAAAATGACCTAAATGTAAACAATAAAGATTAGATTCAGGTAAAGCTGAAATTCTCTCAATTATTTAAAGCAGCTTTCAAATTTCACGTAAATATTGCTAGTCTTCTGGCAACTTTAGCGATGCTTCTTTATATGCAAACATAGAACATATTACAAATTTTATAATCACGGAATTGTAGTTGTCTATTATATCATTTACTAAGATTGTGCTGGCTTCTACAAACAGATATTATTCTAAACAAGTGCCTTTGCTGAAAAGAAAAGCAAGTAGTTACTTAGAAAATCTGCGGAGGAAGCATGATATCTATTTGATGTATTTAAAACTTTCATCAATATGAACTGTCTTTGCACCAAGAGGCCACGAAATCAAGATTCTGACTTAGAAGATAATGAATTGGAAGGTACTATATTTTCACTTATTCTTTGCTCATATTTTACCTACTTTGCTCGCTTCCTTGGCATACTTGATATTTCTATACTATGATATAAAATGCATTTCAGTTCCTGCGTTTCTGAGAAACAATGCGTCCTGTTTGCCTGTTGTTTCTGAACAAAATTTTTGCATCGAATATTTTGCGGAATATTTGCATCGGCTCATTGCATCACGTGAAATAATGTCCCAAGTAGAATAGTTGGCCTTTGTTTTTCATTCAAACCCATTGTTAATAGATTTACGTTACTTTTTGAAGGCAAAATTACTGGAAATCTATATAGTTTTAGGTGCAACTCTGAATGAAATTGAGAGATTACCTTGAATAAAGTTTCGGTGCTTGACGTTACCAGCTGTTTCTGTATTGGAGCTTCGTGAGAAAGCCAGCAGCAGCGGCGGCTATTGAACACTTTGAAACAAAACGTTTAGCTTGAGGTTAGGCGTTCCCTATATGAAAGTCGTCAAGTATCGAGAAAAGGACTATTACTCTAATGAAAATGAAAGACATATTGGAAAAATGTGTCAAGGTCAGTTGCAAATGCATTGTGACCATCCAATACTCAATTTAATGCTGAATGACCTTGTGAATAACACTTTATTGGATCCTTCTCTATTTACAACGAGAAAATATTGCTAAAAGTACTTCACACGTTGCTCTTTGATGCAATTTGATCATTCATAATCTATGCAGCCAGGTAGCATTGTATTAAATCTAAGTCAGCTAAATTTGTTTTCTTGAGCAAAGTCTTAAAATAAAATGCTGGGTTTGGAATGAAAGTGACATCGCAGCAACTGATATCTTAGTTAACATTTTATCATATTTTACCCATTTCAATAAGCAGATAATTTTAATAAGCAGATAAAAGCAATTTTTCGTTCTAAAAGTATATTCGACTCAGCTTCAAAATGGTAGGCGTTGTGTTCTAAAACATGTTACTGCGCGACTTGTCTGTAAAATTTCAGCTGTTCATTTGCATATGCTAATAAGCAGTGCTCATAACGCCTTATAAAAGAAATGCATAGATGATAAAATATCATTTTGCTTATCTTCTCTTGCAAAATCTTTTTTACGTATGACTGAATGAAAAGTATAGCAGGTGGTTGTTGCAATTATGTCGTCAAAGTATGAGGTAAGAAGAGGCCTCCCAACAATACTGAAGTCATTGAAAACTCTACTTCCGTCCTTCCACAAGGTTTCAATTGCAAAACGGATGGAAATGACAGGTAAGTAATAAAGCACCTCTCTCTTTAGCTATGCTCATATTTAAGAAATGTGAGAAATATTCAAAAAAGAGTCTGTTTAGGGTTCATCAGAAATATTGAAAATGACAGAAGATTTGAAAGGACTTGAAAATTCAAAGATTAGAAACTCGATACATATTGAGCATAGGTCTTCTAGATTAAGATGAATTGTGGTTTGTTGATTAATTCAATTGCTGTATGTATTAACTTCATCTTTCAAATTGAACATAAGATTAATCCAAATCCAAAAGTGACTGTTTGGGGCATAGCTGTAGCAATTAAAATTTAGCTATTAAGGGCCGAAGCAAAGATAATCTTTATTTGCACAATAATTCAAACGTTCAAAGGTTTTCAGTACAATCTGTTATGGATAGGCATATATTTAGGCATATATATGTAGGTTATAGGTAAAGCATTTCGACATTGGCTTCTTCGTGTTTGTTTGTAAATACCTGTGCTATGCGGATTGAAAAGTTACACTGTTCTTTGAAAAAAGATTAATATTGTTGGGTCTCAGGGCCAAATGTTTATTATAAATTTTAGATGATACAACTGAGGGTTTCAAGAAAAAATTTGGATTGTGCGTAGATAATCTAGATCTGTGAGTTTCAAAGGCACAAGAGAAGGAGGCCCCTTCTCTAGACATTTCATAGACTAACTATCTGGAACACCCGCTTTAAGGATGGTTGAACTGAAATAGGAAAAGATTTTTTAAAATCCTTTCACGGTGAAAGCTAGAGCCTTAAAAATGTTCACTTGGCTCGTCTGTTGTTTTCTGCTCCTTTTACCAACTGCTAGATATTTCGCTTAAAACATCCTAATGTGAATAGGGCCACAATTTTATGGAAATCTTTTTTTTATGTATACAGTCCGCACTAGTGGTTTTCAGTCTGTAATGCTAATTCCGTGCTCTTAAAATCAAAAGACTGACGAAAAGCATAGAGAGATTAGATGGGATAAGACAGATGCTTTCAGCTTGTTCGTTGCTCAGTCAACACCTCGAGAGATTGCTAGCAAGAAACGTAACATTACATTGCACTGCTGTGATAGAGTGATGGCGGATCACCTTCGGTGTCTGTCGCTTCAGTTATATTTTATCGTGCTTGTGGTTTTTCCAAGTAGATTACAAGTGCAATTTCTTTCTGAATATTATTGTGGTACCCTTTAATAGCGTTATTTCTTTGCAAGTTATGTTGAGATGGCACAAAATTGCTTAGGGGTTAGTCATTTTTGTAAAGAGGCATGTGCCTCTGTAAAAATTGATACAAGCTCTTCAAGTCCTAAAGTAAAAGTCATTGCCAAGTCAAAACCTAGACACAACTCATAAGTTATATTTCTTAGAAAATAGCATCAACAAAATTTAAAACCGATTCTAAATTCCTCCTTCACCATCGACTGAATTTCTGGATCTTTTGTTCCATTTAATTCTGTGTTCTTGAAGGCTTCGTTCTAAACAGCAGGGACAACAACAAAATTTTGACTGCAATTCGACCTTACTTGTCCAAACTGGAGAACCCTACCTAGAGGACCCTACCGCTCTACCTGAAACTCTTTTGAGTGTATCGATAATTTTATCTTCTTTTTAGCTGAATATCAAATCTTTCCTATTAAATTTTTTTAATATTTTATGTATTTTCCTTACGGTATCTGCCGTTCAGATGTTATATTGCGATTAAGTAAATTTGGCTGAGTCTCGCTGACACCAATAACTTTCTTAGGTTTGACTGGTCTCTTCCTCTTCTTCAAAGCTCGTTCTCCTTCACATCAGTTTCAATGTAGTGTTTTGATAAAAGGGTAAATCTTCTACACTAGATGTTGAAATAACCCGATTCTATTTTGACAGTTAATTTTCAACTTTTTCCATTTCTCGCATTTGCACCAATGTTCTGTTAGTCAACTTTTCTTTTAAGCTTCTTAGTGTGGGGCTATTACGAAATTCATGATCCGTGATGGACGGACAAACGATAGTTACATAAGGTCTCAAAAATTAACGGATGATGTAGAAATTTTCTCCTTTTGTGGCATGAAAAAACCCATAGAGAGGTGTAGACGAGTTGAAGCATTCACAAATGGAATAATCACATTGCCTCGAAACGATACGAATATCCGTCATGGCGGATAGACTGAATAGACACTTCAGACTCAAGAATTTAATTTCACATTATCAAATATTCTATCTAAACCAACAAACTTGAGATCAATTTGAAATATTTTTAACAATGGACTATCAGTAAGAAACATGATCAAACACATTGAATGACTATATTTATGATTATTTGGAATATTTAAGACCGAAAGTACCAATGTATCATCGTAGGGGACGGACGTGACGGACAGACTGGAAAATGTCGTTTGAGATTAAAAATGTTGAAAAGCATATTTTTGTCATTGACATCTAGTAGAGGTAAATATTGATTGATATCAATCGTTTATTTGGTAGGTCAAATCCAATGTGCGCAGTTATTGGAGAAGTTTCGAATTGTCCGTCTGTCACAAAATGTTAAGAAATCTTTCCCTCCCCAGAAATAGCGAAGAAAGTGTTCTTTTCTCTATCTATGATATGGTACCTCTATCACTGTTTATATTGATGATACAAGCAGAAAAAAGAATTTTTTCGTTTTCAGGGAACTTACGATTGTCCTTCTGTCACAAAATTTTTATGAAAATGTTGATCAAAATACTATGGTTACCAGTCTTTAATAATAGCTAATATCTATATATTTAAATCGTCTTTCAGGTAATATGTGTCTTTGGAAATCATGATTTCAATTTATTGAGTAAAAAACAACCAAGAGTGTACCAATATCATAACTGAGGTAGCCCAACGCTGAATTGTAAGGCCAATGCTGTCATCCGGTGACTCAATCAACGTACCACTTTGGAGTTATCTTTGAATAAAAACCTTCATATGTTTCAGTGTCTAGGTTAAACCAATTTCTCAAGAAAGAATCTTTGTCATGCTTTGATTTCTTTGCAGACGTCATAGCACTATTTGGTGCAATCAATATCAGTGGAACTGGTCGCATAGACAAAGACGAATTTGCAGATTTATTCTATCATCTTGACTTGGATATCTCTGAAGAGTACCTTATAAAGCTCTTCAATGCCGCAGATCGTGATGGTAAATGAATTGCCTTATAAACATTTTTAGTCTCCTAAACAGAAGAGCTAACTTTTTACAAGATCGTAGAGTCGGGACTCTTGGAGAATATTTTCTGGTGGAGCCTCAAACACCGCTGAGAATTTTAAATGCCAACAAGTTTTTTAACCATTATCATAATCATATTTACATTTTAATAACTACTTTAGAGACAAGAACATTTTATAAAACATACTGAAGCTTTAATATGTAAGAAAGAAGATACGCTGAATACGCTGTCTACCGGATTCTGTGAATCTTACAATTAATCTTAGGTAAAATATTTTTTGTACATTTAGTTTCTTTTCTCGAAGTATTTGATTCTAGTTATTGCTTTGCTCCGTTTCTGTCCTTTACCCTTCATAATAGGCCCTTTCGTCTTGAACCTGAGTACAAAACATCAGAGTATTGATCCAAAACGCTAAGCTAAAAAAACCCAGTTGTGGATTGGAATAGATCAATCAAATACCTAGAAATACCCAAAATCGCAAGCACATAAAAAAAGTTGCCCAGTCAGTGCCACTTGCCTTTAGAACATATTACCAGTGGAGTCCAAAGATGAACAAGAATTCGCTTAGTCTATAAAAAGCGGATTCTTACATTTATTCACATCGAATCTAAAACTGTTTGGTCCTATAACGAACGGGCATTGCCCATTATCACTTTGTTATTAATGTTTTTTGCACAATCTGGGCAACGTCTGGCCCAAACTTAAGTGTGTCAGAAACAATAACGGTGAAATTTGCGATATTGTGTAACCAAAAATATCTAAGGCGCGGTTCCTATGCACAAATTTCTGTCGAAGCGATTTTAATTGTATTGGCTTAAAAATCATACAACTTTGAAAAATCAGTACTTCAAACAAAACAACGCTTACATTCAAAAACATGTAGTCAAGAGATCTTATCCCTTCACTAAAGATGTTTACTGACAACCAAAAGTTTCATCAAATTACAATTACATTATTCTGCAGGTAGCGGGGCAATAGAAATTGGTGATTTTCTCACGACATTCCACGAAAGCAAGAAAGAACAAGGAGTATACGAAACGAGGTTAAAGGAAACTTTTGAAATGATGGATTTGGATAACGATGGCTACCTATCTAGAGAAGAAATCAAGGAATGCATTCTGGCGACTTGCAGAGACACCCCTGAAGCAATGATTTTCAGTTTAATTGAGGATGCAGACACAAATGAAGATGGCCATATCAGCTACACCGGTACGTTTAAATTCACTAAGAAATTTCAGTTAAGGAATAGATGCCTTTCGAGTCCATCCTCTGTCTAGGCAAGTGCCTTTAACCTCATTATCCAAAATTACAGGGATAATTGCTGCTCTTTTAGGAGATCGAAAGGCATTCATATTGAGACAAATCATCTGTAGGCATTGCTACAAGTATCACATCATGCTATCTGGATCTCCCTTGCAACCATTAGTTGCTCCTTCAACAATTGCTTGAAGGCTTCCTTTATCTACACCTCGATAGTTTCTATCTTGATTTCGACCTTTACGCTCTACAGATCATTAGACAGATCACTACTTCTTTATCACTTTGTCAAACTTAATTAACGCATTCCAAAAGCAGGCAGGCAAAGTGGGAGATGTTTTTCCTGTTGTTGAAGATGACCGATCTATTCATAAATCACAGACTAATGTACGTTAATAATAATGACGCGCGGTAGAATTCAAAATGGGAACCGACAAGAAAGCGGTCCTTTGTCCACGTGAGACTAATGCACATGTGCAAGAGCGCTAGTTGTAGCTAAGGCATTAATATTATATGGACAGAGTTCCTTAGTAAAATCCTTGAAATTTTCCGTTAAATTTTAGAATTCTTAGAAATGTGGAGAACATACGGAAAAAATGTCACAAAAGATCGTGCTGACAGTTTGTATGAAATAATTACAAGCCAAGCAACCGACGGGAGAATCAAACAAAAAGCGCAGTCTAAATACGTGAACGAAGAGACAATGACAACTCAACTGTGAGTCTTCACAAAATGAGATTTATTTTTCACAAGATAAGCGTAGAAATTACACTTTTTATGCTAGATCATTTCAGATGGATTTGCAGGATATTGCACAATGCAATGAGAAAGTGAAGTACAGAGATTTGGACTTTTTTAAACGGCTTTTTAGGGTTTAATTCCAAGTACGATTATTTGCAAGATTATTGTTGTGTAATGCTTAGTTGTCTATGATTCTGAATTGCGATGAGTTTCTGTAGTCGTATCATGCTTCTTTAAAAGGATTTAAATTTAGGAGAAGCGCCTGCATTTGATCATCTCGAGCATGGAGGAGCAAATCAAGCGGTCGCTCTCATGATTCAAATGTAGATTTGAAAATGTAAATTTAGAGGAAATAGCGGTATTCTTCCAATCAATAAGCTGATTCTCGCGGCACATTTTTTAAGTTTCTCGATGTGGATATCATAAAAAAAACAGATTCGTTATCTAGCAAATTTCATTGAACTCATTTTGCGTCTTTCTTGAAAGAAAGCCGTGCTTTTTAGTCTTATTAAAAAAACAATTAAATATGCACGCTGCTATCGAGAAACATATCTACGTTTTAATAAGGACAGATGGGATAGCATTATTATACACTACGTGCCCTGGAAGCGGCTCTAGAAGCGGCCCTGGAAGCGGCTCTAGAAGCGGCCCTGGAAGCGGCTCTAGAAGCGGCTCTAGAAGCAGCCCTGGAAGCGGCTCTAGAAGCGGCCCTGGAAGCGGCTCTAGAAGCGGCCCTGGAAGCGGTTCTAGAAGCAGCCCTGGAAGCGGCTCTAGAAGAGGCCCTGGAAGCGGCTCTAGAAGCGGCCCTGGAAGCGGCTCTAGAAGAGGCCCTGGAAGCGGTTCTAGAAGCAGCCCTGGAAGCGGCTCTAGAAGCGGCCCTGGAAGCGGCTCTAGAAGCGGCCCTGGAAGCGCTAGAAGCGGCCCTGGAAGCGGCTCTAGAAGAGGCCCTGGAAGCGGTTCTAGAAGCAGCCCTGGAAGCGGCTCTAGAAGAGGCCCTGGAAGCGGCTCTAGAAGCGGCCCTGGAAGCGGCTCTAGAAGAGGCCCTGGAAGCGGTTCTAGAAGCAGCCCTGGAAGCGGCTCTAGAAGCGGCCCTGGAAGCGGCTCTAGAAGCGGCCCTGGAAGCGGTTCTAGAAGCGGCCCTGGAAGCGGCTCTAGAAGAGGCCCTGGAAGCGGTTCTAGAAGCGGCCCTGGAAGCGGCTCTAGAAGAGGCCCTGGAAGCGGCTCTGGAAGCGGCTCTAGAAGCGGCTCTAGAAGCACATACGAAATGAAAATTTCTGAAGATTTCACACGTAGTGTTAAATACATTCAGTTTACACGAAATTCGTCAATATCCTCTGGCCGATATCTTCGATTACGGCAGAGCTGAGTTACTTTTTCCCTTCTGCATTAAGCGCCCCTTAAATGAATTCTATACTTGGATATCCTATGCTAAAAAGTCCACATAAATTTGGCTCTGTAACAGCTTTTTAGATTTATTCGATTTTTAACTTTTTCAAGGTTTCCTCAGGCTTGCAGAAGAACCACTTAAGAAGCACATGAGCCTGTTTACTCGCATGCATAAAATACCCTAGTGCTATAAATCGTCTCAAGATGCACACGCAGAATAGTGCAATATAACCTACAGAAATTAAAAGAAGTAAAAAATTAATTCTTGAAAAAAGACTTCATAGAAGACAAAAAGAAACAAACACACAACGTAAGTGGGCATCCTCGGAAAAATAAAAATTGGTATAAAATATCAATTCGGCTTCATAAAAAATAGCAAACACTTTGTAGAAAATAATAAATAGAAATTGTTATGAAACATGAAAAAACTAAGCCTTGCAATACAAAAGAGTTTGGTACAAATTTACCAACCTAGAAAAGTATGAAAATATCAAAGGGCAAGTCCTTCTTCGTTTTTTTCACCATATAATACACTTCTTAGCAGGATTCATACGCGATCCAGCTCTGCAGCGGAATGCTTTTGAGAATTCTTTGCTATTCGACAATGCTCCAATGACTCTGATCAAATAAAAATGAGGATAATGACTTATGGTTAGTGATACGCTCTCCTGGCCTGAACAATTCAAAATGCTTACAGAATAAAACCGTGTAGAAAAACAACCAAGAAAAGAAGCCAACGTCACCAAAATTAGACGTTTTCATACGATGGCCATACGCTGAAATGGTTCTAAAATCAAGTCGTTTCAATGCGCCTTAAGCCTTAGCTTTGTTTGTATTCATATTGCGAAAACCAAACCTTGCAGATTCTAAACCATTTCATCAGTAAAAAAGTACATTAATAACCTTGACAAACAATACCCGGTCAACTAATTAGAACTCATTTATTCACGAACAGGTTGTACAGCTGAAAATTGACAGAACCAACAAGTTTTAGAGCATAGAAAAATTGGAACATCTCAACGCACAAATGAATGTTGAAACACAAAGCACGAGAGAAATGAATAGCGAGAAATGAATGAAAAAGCGACTTTTTTAATCAATTCAATGACTGAATTTTTCCTTAATTAACATAGCGTAGAAGAAGCAAACTGGGGACAGGAGGTAGTTATCAATCCCTGCATTCAAAATTCGCTGTGCAAATGTACGCCACAATGTACGTATAAGAAAATAACCACAACAACAGAGCGGACGCAAGGCAAGCGAGAGCGTAAGAAAAAATCACAAACAAAGCCGCAAGAAACAATTTGATAGGTGCACAAAACAGCTCGCCCAACAAACCGTTTTCGAATTTATCCTTCAAGGCATTTGACATGCATAGATACAGTGAATCTAAAAATAACTAAGGCCAAATTGATCAGAGCACGCGCACAAGAAAGGAATTGGAAACTGCTCACATGAAACCGCTGCGCGCTGCTCTAGGATTTTACCGATTTGCAAAAAAGCGGAAACTGTTCACGTATTTTTCTCTGTGCGCAATTTGATTGGTCAACCGCTCGTTGTCGAGTGGCTGTAAGCCACTTTTACCTGTGTCAAATGCCTTTAATTCTCCCTAACTCGAAAACACACAACATAAAATCCACTGACTTTTCTAGAATTTACCTCAATTTTCTAAAGGCCAGACATTTTGCAGATTTTCTTTGTATTTCAGGCACGGTACGAGCCGCATCAAACGTAAACCGTGACAAAAAAGAAAATCAAGAGAAAACGTACCGAAATTTTGGGTAGCTGTGGTGGTCTGTCACAATGTTCTTCAGAGTTCGTGCCTTTGCTTCAGCGTCACACCAAATCTAAAAATCATATTTAGTTACAATTAACAAATAACATAAACAAGAAATTTACTATTATTTGGTAATATTTGAGCCCGAAAAAGGATTTCTTCAATGTTAATTACGAGACAAAGGGAAAAAGTGGCCTAAATATACGAAGACAAAGTGATTTATACATTCTTATACATAATCTGACGCTTTAAATAGTCTATCAACATTAATGTACAGAAGATTGGGTTTACAACAAGCACAAACGTTATGAGTTGTGGCGAAATGAAGCTTGATCAGCTGATTCTTTATGCAAGATAAAAGATACGAGCACGCCTAAATTAGTGTCAGTTTTATGGAGAAATAATCCAATATTTGAACTTATCATATCTCAAAAATGGCACGATGCCGCATGTTGAATTTTTCATCAATTGATCTTCACGAGCCCAAAAATAAGATGACATTGGAAAGTATACCCGGAAAATAAGCACACTTTCATAATACTATAAAAATGATAATGGCGACATAATTCGGATTATTAGTCAAGCCCGGTCGTCGGTCCATCAAGCAGCTTTGGAATCTATCTACGGAAGCACGAAAAAAACCGCTATTGTGTAGACAAAAGGAGTTCGTTTTCACCTTAGGACTCCATTGGTAGCATTCTTTATAGGCAAGCGGCGCTGATTGGTCAATCTCAACAGTCATGTGCTCGTGTTTCTGTTTGGCCTATTTTGATCCACAACTGGGTATACATATTTCCTAGCGTAGAGTTTTCGTTTAATGTTCTGACGTTTTAAACTTCGATAATTATTTACTAGAGACAAAAAACAAACAAGAATGACATTCTGCAATTTCAAAGTAGGAGAATATGCTCCATATTTTTGCAAAAGATCATGGGAAATTCCCACGATGCCGCATCCTGAAATTTTTTCTATTTTTACAGAAAAAGTCAAAACTACTTGTAAAATATTGCCTTTATTGCCGGAATATAGGCCAAAATTTTAATTTATGTACCAAATTTTTAGTACTTTACTGCTTTTCTCGATAGGCCTAGGCCTAGACCTAGGACACTTTAGCTTGAAATTGTAGCATAGAGAAATTTGCCCTTATCAGTTAAATCGTCTATTTCACTCCCTAAAAAGAAAGTAGAAGAAAGGTTCAAGTAAAAAGTTGGTTTTCTCATGCGCACGCAAAAAACATTGTTGCTCCATGTTGTGTGCCCAAAAATTTCCCTAAAACTTGGCTAATTCTGGTTCACATAACCAGAGTGAAGTATTCCAGTTCATGTAACTGGATTGACATATTCTGGTTCATATAATCGGATTGACGTATTCCGGTTCACATAACCGGATTGACTTATTCTGGTTCATAAAAGAAACAATATTCTGATTGTGCATCTTGATAGCACGCTTTGTTTAAAAACGTGCAATACGGCGGGAAATAAATTCAGAAACAACGAAGTAAGATAGACATGCAGGTTGTAAATACTCCAATAGTTTCCAAACAAATACAGTACCTTTTCTGCAAAATGCAAAGTCACTGCCTGAAGAAAATGAAGGGGAAAATTTTGAATTGAACGGGAGCACCTTGTACGATTTGTAAGGCCCTGCTCTCTAAACCAAGGCATTAAGAGCGTGATGCATTATTTCCTATTCAAGAAGTTTTAGAAACTGAGGACATGCATATCTGACTCCCCAAATTTAAAACTGGGCCTTGAACTCTTGCAACTATTCGGTACCACCCATTCACAGCTACTTCAAATCATTATACAAACGGTGACCCTATTCCAGTAACCTTTCGATAAAATCTGATAAAATATGATTTTCGATAAAATCATAACGATATTATCGGATTTGATTTTATTGCTGGAAAAAAAACGTAAATTTATAGCCTGAATATTAGCCTGACCTTGCTGAAGGAGATGTAGAAGAGCTGGTCATCACTTAAGTGTTGAAGACCTGGCAAAGCTTTTGTTTCCGGATCATTCCGCAAGTGTTTTCTGAATGCTTGGTAAGCAATCTTCACTCCTCCGTTATCAGCTATGTTTTCTCCGCAAGATAACTTTCCATTCATCTACAAAAAAGTAGAACAAGTTCATAATAGTGGATGGTAAGAAAAATTTTCACATTCTGCAAAACAAAATTGACAACTCCACTTTCCAAAGCTTTGCCACGTTCACAGTAGAACTTAAGGAAAATCAAAATGTAACATTAAAACACAAAGTAATAAAACCGCACAAAAATTAATTTGAATGCTAGAGTTGTGACACTCACATGTTTTCCGTAAATGGAGTAGCTTGAATACTGATTTCGAATGCAGTTAGCCTCTTTTTCAAAGGCCTTAATGTCTTTTGAATTCCACCACTGTACAAGTCGACCGTACTTGTCAAACTTGCGCCCTTAAATTTAAATACACAAGATCAACAGCAAAATCAAATGAATTACAAAATTAGACTCTGATTCGCAAATGATATTAATCTGATGATACCGTACACTCTCTCCTCTCAAGTTTTTTTGTGGAGGGAGGAGGGGGTTCAAAATTTAAACCACAAATATAAGAATATCTGGCTACAAACCTAGGTCATCAAAAGCGTGCGTTATTTCATGTCCAATGACAGTGCCGATGCCACCATACTTCATTGCACTAGACCAGAATGAAACAAAATAAATCAAAACGAAAGGCAAGGTATGAAGTTTTTTAGATATATCTAAACCAAGTTACGTATGATCTGAAAGGTTTCGCGATTAATTTTACACTAAATCTTGCCAAAGGGTAGAAAGTATCGTTGTGAATGATTCTGAAAACGTGAAGGGAAACATGTTGCTTTAATGGAATAAAAAGATTCGATAGGACCACTTTATATGTAATCCTTATTAGAGGAATATCTATTTGACGCATGCTAATTGCTAATGAGAGCAAGCAATAATAACTTGTCCATCTTCAGACATACCGTAATGAACACCCTCATACTATCAATAACATTGAAAGACATTCACATTACATACAGATCCCCTACATAAAGTAGTAGACAAATTTATGTACAGGGAAAGCAGCGATGGCAGTTCAAATTTTATATAAAAAATACCGAATTGCAAGATATGAGCGAACCTCGGGTATCCATGATGATAGAAGAGTGGCTGCAAAATCCCAGCCGGGAAAACTAGAAAATAGTAGACTTTGTATTAGTAAATTAAAATAGTATATTTTACATAGGAGAAACGTTTATTTACTCAAATTACTGTTAAAATTCAACATACAATTCAATTTCGAAAAATAATCGCAGAAAGGTCTGTCAGTACTGAATAGTAATATACATATATATAAAAAAATTCTAGAACATAAGAAAAATGGGTTAAAAGGTAACTGTAAGCAGGTGATTAGGAGAATGGACCGCTTTTGATTTGTTCCACTTACCAATTCGATTATATACCTGTGAATAGAATGCATTGACAACAGATGGTGAAGATGCCCATCTAAAAAGCAAATTGTAATCAAAGTACACTTCAAAAATCATAATTACAATTATGTCTCTACACGTCTATCATTTATGTCTAAAAATCATAATACCTTTTACAACTGTTCAATATTGCCTTATCTCTTTCTAATCAAAGCGACAAGGCAACTGCTCCAGTTAGTATACAAACGATGGTTTACAAACCACACGGTGAAATGTAACTGTTTTTTTAAAAAAAAATAACTTGGAATAAAAATAAAGAAACTTTAAAAGTTAAAAATTTGATTATTATCCAGCAGCCAAACTTATAGCAACATAATAACGCTGTTTCGACCAAAAAACGCTGTTCAACACACCAAACAGTGTTTAGGAGAGCAAAACATAATTTTCACTACAGTAAAAATTGAATACTACAGTGAAATATGTACTTTGTCATTTTTTATATGATTTGAAATGCGTACTGCTCTTTTTATGTCAGTTTTGAAGTATTATCCAATTTCTTAAAATCTCTACCACAAAGTGAAGAAAGATGAAGGAAGAGAAAATTATCAACAAATGGAGCTATGGCTGTGGAGGAGAGTGCTGAGCGTTGAATGGACCGACAAACGAACAAGTGAGTAGGTACGAAAGGAGGCGAGAGTAAGCGAGGAGAATGGCCTGATTAGAAAGGGGAAGAGTGGGAATAGTATGGTCCTAGCCACCGTAGAAGGAGAAGCTGAGGGAAGGAAAGCGTAGCAGGTACAGGATGGAATGGATAGAGAATATTAAAACCTGGGAAGGTGGTGAGGAGCAAGCCCATCGGAATGCCAGATAGAGAAGGCCAACGGTATACTAAGGCTCACGGCAACGCTACTGCTACTTCTACATTTACTTGCTACATCTACTTATAAAATGAAATGATTGACGAAATCTGACGATGATATGATAGCTAAAATTTATTATTCAGTTGTTGAAGCATGAGATGCTGAATATCTTGTGTTTTAAGCAGAAGAAACACAACACACAATATTTGACTCGGCTTAATCACAAAGTGTTTGATCTACCAGAGTTTTAGTAGACGGTGTAACAAATTTGTAACTTGTAATATGGTAGACATTGAATCGCTTACACGACAATAGTACAATAAATGCTTTGCATGAATGAATTATGAGCTTTCAAGCATGATATAAAGAAATGTCTTGCCTGCAGTATCACGTGCTTACTAACCTGGCCCTATCTCTTTTTTTCTTCAGCATTCGAATGTTATCTTTCATATTAAACGTCACAACTTGCAAAATATTCCCAACAAAATCATGACTATTGATGTGAAGCTGAAAAGGTAAAAACGTCATTTCATCACAATGCACAATGGCATTGAAAGAAACCACTGTTGTGACATCTTCCAGTATATAAATCTTGTGCAAATGATATTCTTATAGAAAAAAAATAGAAACAGAGAATTGAAAAGCAAAACGTACAACTTACATCTTTGTATTTTTTATTGAGTTTTTTGTCGTCTAGTATATAATCTGGATAGGCAATCAACTCTTTTATAGCTTCAGCCTATGAAGAAAAATCTATTTTTTAGAAAATTTATTTGAATGATATACATAAGAGTATTTGAAAATGATAAAATGCATCAGAAGGTAGTTCTTTATTGAAAAGTTGAACTTTAATCTAAAACATTCGATGCACTTAAGATGCACAAAAAGATTGGAAATAATCTACATACTGATATCGACATTGATAATAATCTACGTAAAAAGTCGATACGAATTGTCAAACCAGCATTTTCCTTGATGTAAGATAGTTTCTTTATTTTGAAAACAAATACTATGATACGAGGAGCAACAAAGCATGGCAGTCAGGACCTTTTCTTTTGCCTTTTCTTTCGTTTTGTCACTCATCCAGCTAACAGTTTGCAGATTTGAAACAAAAGCTTGCTTCAGCTCTCTGACGATTCTCCTTGCCTGAAATCAAAGTAACCATCAATCCTTGATATGAAAACTTTATACAAACTTTACATCAAAGTAGCAAAATTTACATAAAAAGGGTTGACAGTCTCCTAAATAGCATGACGCATAAAACCTGATGGCACTAAAGCATGATCCCGCTTGTCTAATAATCGAAAACTTTTGGAAGTAAAATTTTTTAAGAGGCGTTATTGGCGAAATTTTGTGGATTGTTTTACTTGATTTTTAAAACATTAATGGCCTTACAGAAAAAACCGAAAAACTTTGAAGAGTCACCTCTCTTTTCGCAAATTTACTCCTGAACCTCGCATCCACATACATCCTTCCATACGCAAAAGGCAGTGCCTTTTCAACTAGCTCCGTACAAAACAGCCAAAATGAAGGCTCTGCCTTTTTCCCAGCAAAAATCTTTTCAAATCTGAAACCTTCTTGTCTGAATTTTTCGCCGACAAATGCATACAAGCCTGAAACCAAGTTCCACAGCAGGTAGTTAGCAAGCGTCCTGTGAGACAAAATGAAAATGTCACATTACAGCGTTCTACGATCGACTTTATAGCTTACACAATATATGTTCATCTTACTTCGATTATCTAAAACAAGGTTGTAAAAGGTCATCTTTAAAAGCGGCGTTAATTACAAAACACATCAAAACAAGAAGTAATGAATCAGTTATGCGCTTACTTTTCGAAAGCTACGAAAGTTTTTATGTCATAGTGACGACGACTCTGACGGAGACAGGGATATTGACATTCCTTGACATTTCCATTTCGTGAACACATTAAATTTTTCACATAATATTTACTACGTGTTTGTGGGAAATGAAAACATTGTTTAAAATCTGTTGTTATCTTTTTCATCGCACTTCTATTGTCATTTTTCATTTGACAAACTTTTCATTTTGTATTGAATGCCGCTCTCAATTGAACGTCTCATCCAAAATTTGGAGTCTATAATAAACGCCGCGGCGTTTAGAGAAAATATGGTATGCGCAGTCCTTTAATATGGACACATTATCTATAAAAGATACTTGTCTGCATTATGCAATCTAAGAGTTAATAAAAACAGGAGTGCAGCAATTAGATAATAATAAGCTAAAGAGGTTTTCTCTGTCCTCATTACTATCTCATTACTTCACTGAAATGAAAACGTTAACAAGCCTAAAGAAGAAAAGAAACTCACTCTTTCTTCGTCGTTCTCAACAATATACCAAGGTTTCGGAAGTAATTCTGACCGTATAACACAACATATTTCGCGTCACTCAATTTGTACCCAGCCAGCTCTAAATATGTCGCTATGAACTTCTTCCACTCAATCTGACAATAAGAACATAACATAATGTGTTGCACAGTTCTCTACCTAGGATTACCATACATTGAATATTTATTTACAGTACTGAAGCAAAAGGAAAGGAGTCAATAGTTCAATGGTTAAATCACACAACAATTAACTGAAATCATTAGCATAAAATGAATAAAGTTGTAAAACATAGCCTTTTCTGGAAAAGTTAGTTTTCTGGAACATTACACGAAGCAAACATTGTCATCCATAGTCTTGCAAGCTTCTAAGCAGCATTCGATTTCCTATAGATTGACATTCACATACGAAGTAGAGAAAACTGAAAGGTTTACTTTGCAAATAATGGGCTTATTGAAACTTAAAGTAATGAAATTGAATAATGTTTGTAAGATAAACAGATTTCATTTCTTAGAGTTATAGCTGAGTCACTGAATGTGTCGTATAAAAGCATAAATGACTTACTTCAGGAAGGAGTTTCATTAGGCCTCCTATGCTAACTCGTTTGTACATGCGGTCCGCTTTCCTCAGTTCGGTTGCAGGTATAGATATCTTTGCCAACTTCCTTTCGAAATCCTGAACATCCTTCAGCATTGATATCTGGTAGCTTTTGTTATATCCCAACAGTTTCATGATATTTAACATAAACATGCAATACGACTGGTAAACCTTAAGGATGGAATAATACAGCAGTGGTGTTTAAAATGACAAAAGAAGAACAAAATAAATGAAAAGATTCAAAGAGAAAGAAACTAGAATGAAAATAAGAAGTAGAACTCAGTTGAATTAATTTAAACAATCTCAGCATATGGTCAATGATTCTTTCATAAACAACATCATATGAAACAAATTCAACACGCAAGTTTCAGATTAGTAAAACACAGACAATACCCTGACAATAAATACCAGGACACTTTCTTTTTAACAATGGATTTCCAAGGCCTGGTTATATTAATATTGATAAGAACACGTTCGTCTTTCTCAAAATTCACTTTTCAGATGCAAAAGTGATTTTTTCAAAGAAATAAGAATACCTTGGACTTGGTAGGATCATTGGAAATGTAGTAATCCCGTGGCAGAAGGAGGCCAGCCTGCTGTAGCTGAAAAACAAATAAGGTAAATGCAAAACCTTTAAAATGGAAAACAACTTGTGGAACTTTAAAAGATAAATAGGATTAATTCTTTACAAAAAGTGAAAGGATATTAGGAGCTGTAAAGATAGAGCAGCTCCCGTTATGTATCGCATAGTCTTGGTACTATCAAGTTGTACGGGCCAAACGGGGCTTCTACAAGATACCTAGCAACAGGAAGGAAGGGCTTCCAAACAGAAAAGGCAAGTGTAAAAAAGCTGTATGACAGGTTTATTGAACTCTGATAGTAACAATGAGAAGGTATTTCACGCCTGTTCATATGAAGAAACTGCATAACGCCTACCGAAATGATTTTGTTAATGGAACAGCTTTCCATCTGTGTTCATAAGGAAAAACTTATCAGGCTTGCTTAGAAGAATTTGTGATCAGATTTTGTCATGAGCAGAAAAGCGTGTATATATGGGTTCCTTGTTTTAATAATCGGTAACTGTTAACCCTTTCTATCTTCACAAGTGTGGATTTCTTTTTTCCAAAACAAATCTAAGATTTAAAAGCTTTCAAATGAAAAGACGACTTTGCCTGCTCAATGAATTCCAAGTTGCGACCACTTTACATTCTTTGCACTGTGGGATTCTGAGAAAGTTTTGACCAGGCTCAATAAATTTTAGCGATCTGTTCAGTTTTACCTTACAGCCTTGGAAAAATGCGTTCTACATTACTAGCTTCAAAATGGCAAGAGAATTAGCAGGAAAAATATAAACTTTGGCAGTAACGCAATCCTTTTGAATGGATGGAAGCACGGCCTGAGCGCTCAGAAAATGCTAGGTCCAGGTATCTGGAATTTGCTCTCATTCTTCCAAAAAACATGCATAATGCAATATCTTTGACTTTTCAAGTCGGTTTTAATTAGTTGTATATTCACTGTTCAGTTTATGTCTAAAAGAATGATGAAGATGACAAAGTAAATTTGAAAATGAAAGGGACCAAACCCTTTTCCAAAGAGAATTAAGTCTAGTTTAAAGAAAGTCCTCGTAGAACCCATTACTTGGAAGAAGTCATGGCTTTCGGTGCCCTTTAGCAGGATCCTTAAACTTGTCAAACATAAAAATGTTTTTCACAGTGACAGCCAACACAATACATTCTTAAATGCGAGCACACATATTATTCAATCGAGGGTAAAATTCAGGAACAAAGAAAAACGGCGACGGGAATCCAATGTTATGAGATAAATTTTCAAAATAAATTAAATTAACGAATACTTATATTATGCCCCGGCATACAGGACTTTATCAGGGTAAATGAAACGAACGAGCGAATGAATTTAAAATGTGAGATGGTGATGCCGGATTGGTGGATATTGAAAGGTATGAATGCAGCGCAGGGGAGAAAAAATGGGATGACGGAAGTGGAGAGGGTAGGGTGGTGGGTGATGTGGGGGAATGTGTATGGTGCTGTAGAGATTGATGTAATGGGATAATAATGATGACTATGAATATGTATAGTGAACTTATATAACGACATTCTATTCGCACTTAATCAACCATATATTCAGCCATATAATTTGTACTTACGCACAACAACTAATATTTCTGTTGTACTTACATTCGCTTTGTAGCTTAGCTCTTCTATTCGCTTAGTTTTAGTTAATCTCATTAATTGAGCTGTTTTTATATAGTTGTGTAGATAGTTAAAAGAATTATTCGGGTTTTTGGAACAGAAAACAAGCTGTCCTAACTTTTTGCATCTGCAAACATTGAGGTGAGAAATTATATATATATTTATAAGCGATTTATAAGTCGTTAGTAAAAGAGCCAACAAAGCTTTTACTAAATATGAATATAAAAAAACAAAAATAATAATAATAATTAATTGTGTTAGAACTGAGAATAATGGAATGTTGATAATAGTAATGGCGGTGTTAGTGATTATAATGGTAAAGAAAACATGGTATGGGTTGTGAGGACGGTGTGATAGTTGTGTTGTAAAGTTAAAGGTCGGTGGTATTATTCATTCTTTAACTAAATAATATTTGCACCGACTTCTCTAAAACTTTTATTTGAACATCTAGTAGGTACTATGAAGTGAATGAACATAAAACTGATAAATGCATGGAATGCAAAAGCAAACAAATACTTGCAATTTTTGCAATTCAAAATATGAAAGATTTCAAAAAGCTTTAATTTTCTCTTCTCGTATGTCACCACAGAGGTTTAAAATGCTCACAAAACTCAACAAAATATAACTTGAATACTGACAAAAGATACCTGGAGTGTGTGGCTTGATGGTTCCTTTTCATCCAAAGTGACACTCAGTGAAAATAATGGAGAACGTCCAAATTGTAATGAAATTTCATTGAACTTTTTTTGGAAACTCCAATTCTTGGTCCATTTGCTGGCCTGTGCTAAGGGCCAAGGACCATAATCATCTACCATTTTTTTGAGAGCCTTGATATTATCTGCACTATTATGTTCACTGGCTATGCAAGAGTCGTAGAGCCTTTTCACTTTATCAATTGCACTGCTTCCTGTAAAATAACATTGTCTTCCGTAAGTATCTATTGAATGAGCAAGGATTGAAAAAACTCATATTTTGGGTGCATTGTTGGAGGGAATATAAACTAAAATTCTGGAGTATTTGCATTAGAACCAATTTCTTGGACCATGTGACAGGTGTATGATAAGATAGATAACCAGCGCAGTGAAAAAAAGAGATATCTTGTAGTAGTAGTATTTCAACTGCTATTTCAATTGACTAATCAAGTTATTAAAACTCCAGGTAAGACATGTGGCAACCCATGTGACCAAACCGGTACAGAAAAGCATTCAAGTTGACAAAATCAGTGCAGTTACCATTCCGGGTAAGATGAGGATAGACAAACTATGTAGCTTATAGTAATTATGATATGGCCAGTAAGATGAAGATTGACAAAATCAGTAGTTATATAAACATTTCAACTCTAGCTAGAGTCATAGTCAAAAAGAAAATTTACTTTAAGCAAGAAAGAATTAAAGAATGCGGATTACATTGGCAGATACAGCCAAAAATGTGACTACCACTGAAATTAGATAGATCGACCTCACCCTTTAGACTACATCCATTTCCTGGCCACACCCTGTTTTTTAAAATGATTATTGTTCTCTATTTTTTCTTAGGTAGACCATTTTCAAGCGGCGCTTTTGTGAAACTTTTAGTATCATTGCAATAACCTCAAGAAGCAACAAATCATTGTAGGTTGCTATTATTCTGAGGCTGGATATTCTAAAAACATTTCCAGCATTAGGCCTAGGCAACGCCATAGGATAAGAAAACAAATGATATTTTTGGCAGAATTTTAAAATGTCGCCTGGAACTTGCATCAAATCATGTTTAAAAAGCCATCTAAAATTTGAAACCTTTGAGCGCAAACTTTTGCTAAACAAATAATCATACTTTTGGCAAACTTTGTGATACCTTCTTAAATTTTAGCTACTTAATATTCTTATAAACTATATTCCTATCAATATGTGTGTATTGTACTAAATAATGGGTCACATCGGCTTTGAAGTCAAAGTTTGCCTGCTTGCAGAATATGTAGGGGTCCCCCATCTTTCTTTAACATTTGAGTTGTGTTAAGCAACAGCACTACTCAATCCCTCATCTGAGCGACAGTCAACTTGGTTGTTTGTTGCTTTTCAACAAAAGCTTCATGCATCCCCCAGGTTGGCTGTGATTTCTGATGATTTGATTGGTCTAGGCAGGCTGACTACCACTCAGGTCAGCTCGAATCCGCTCTACACCGACTCAACCCCCTAGCTAGCAAGCCATGATTTCATCATCCCCCCATGCTAGCTTTTTATTTGCAAGTATCTGACTCAGCATACATTTCCATAGTGAAAAGGACTCAAAAGCACTTCTGTCTCTATGACAATTTCAGGCATGTCTCAAAGGAGGAATGTTTGGCTTGCAGCGTGATCAAATATTCACAGTTTTTAACTATGGTTCTATCAAAGTATTAGGAGAAACATAAAATGATCATTGTTTTTATAATTTTTTTAATAACCTGACTACCGCTCAAGCGGTAATGGCTGTAGTTTTGAACTGCCACTGGATTATAAGTCATGTGACAGAACAGTACATAGGAGAAGGATATTTATGAAGACATCAAAGAGTGGTAAACAAACCTAGGGAAAATAACCATAAAACAAAGGAAAGACAAAAGAATGAAAGTAGGGAAACAAAATCAGAAGAAAATCATGTGAGTAGATGACTGATGGGAATTAAGTGAGGGTTTATGCATGTGTTTGAGAAGGCTTCCATAAATCAGCAAGTCAAAGTGAGTAATCTGTTCTCAAAGAATAGAAAAAGTTTCAATTAATGGATTCAAGTTGACATCATCAAATTTGTATCTCGTTATCTACAGATCTTTTTCAAAAATGGACTTCAGAATTGAAGTTGTCATCTTTAAATTAGTCATTACTGAAAAATTCATGTTGTTTGGACTGTTTGATCGCAAGTTACTTTGTTTTGAATATTTAGATATTTCTTTAGATTTGACCAGAATTTGCTTTGACCATTGACCAGAAGACCAGAATTGACCATTGAAATGTATAGGGAAAGCTAAATTTGGAAAATGGGGTAATTCGCAGCCTGACGACCCAAACAATTTGAATTTTTTGGCACAGACTAATTTCAACATGAAGGTTCCAATTCTGTTATCCATTTCTGCCAAATGTGAAGATACAAATCGCCCGAATCCGAGAATATTGTAATGAAGCTATTAGTCTGGTTTTACAAATATGATCATGAATAGAGAAGTAAGTGCTTTCTACAATAAGATGCATGATAATAATTTACCATTTTTTGTAGGCATCTCTTTTAGAATGGTGTGTAATATGTAATTGTTCTGTCTTCTAAGAGTTTCAAATGACATTGTTCTTGTCATGTCTTCAAATGGTTCTTTAAGCTTGATGTTTCCACATACATAATCATAAAAGTCATGACATGGGTCAGCAGAGGGATTCATTGTTGAAAGGATCTCTGCAGCAGCAATCACACATTCTTTTGTCAAACATAAAGGTTTTCTAGCATGGTTGCCCCTAGCAATGTTTACATCATCAGTTTTATCTGCAACAACAAAGGGTAACAAACCAAGATATAACCTATATATATATATAAATGAAATCAATCATAACAACATTCAGATAAATCAGAAAATATTAATTCAGATAAAATAAAGAATTAACAAAAACCCCTCGATTTACCTCCCTTTTCGCAACCAAATTCTTGGTGGAATGGCAAATTAGTCATTGCTCTAAGTTTTTTATCATGTTTTCGTATGGATTCTAGCCACATTCCTTTGTCATGTTTGCCCTTTACCGAGGTAAAGTGTCATTTTGATCCATATTAAAACTCTTGTTCAAAAGCTCAAATAATGGGTTCTATCGACAGGCATAGCTGGGAACACATTAACTCGAGACCATAAATAGATTATGAATAGATCAAATCTATATGGTTGTCTTGTTTTGGACAACAGACCCGGTTCCACTGAAAATTGGGATGTGAAAAGGAAGGTAAATTAAGAGCATTTTAGTTAGACTATCCTAATCCTTTATTTTATCTTGATCATAATGATGCTGCTGAAAACATTCTCTACACAACTATGACTTAAGATACAGCTCAAACTGCTCAGTTGGCATGTAAAATAAATGTAACAGGAAATGATTATTTGAAAAAGAATTATGTCTCTTAATTTCCATTATATTGGCAAACAGCTCATTGCTATTAGCATTGTATCTGTATCACATGTTCTTTTAAGAGATATATATCCATCTTAATGAAATAAATTAGAAAAATCAGGAAACAAAGGAATCAAAGTGCTACCATAATCTTTGTCTTCATCGTCATTTTCTTCCATTTCTTTGCTCAGAGGTTCATCATCTTCATACACAGTGAAGAGTGAGTTTGAATCAAGATGGCCATCTGAAAAACATAATATGGTATAAATATTTCAATTGTAGCATTTGCCATATGTGCCATTTGGCATAAAGCAAAGGAATCAATAATTTAGTAATTTTGGAAAGCATTCTCAGCACATGCACACTGCATAATTTCACACTATCATCCAGTGCTGAGGAGGTCACTGACCCAGGGGCCCTTGGCTATAGGAGTCACTAAATAATAAATCAATTAAAAAAAATTACAAGTAATAATCCAGCCTGTCAATTATCACAAACTGTAAACAAAAGAAACAATTAATTATCGTTACAAATTAAATGTAAATTAAACATTATATAAATGATAAAAAAATTATGAATGGAGTAAGATAGGAGCAGTTCACATCTTTGACTGCTTTAATGATAAAGGTCATCAATATTTTTCTTAAGAATTCATCATCTTTATGGGCTTGGGCTAAAGAAGTTAAAAAGCTTCTGAATGTTACAAAAATGTGATTGCAGCAGGGCAAAATACAGGAAACAGAAGTATATAAGAAATTTATATGAAACAAAACACAAAAACTCAACTCAAAAATCAAAACATTTCATTCACAGCAATAATTAACTACTACATTTTATTTAATACTTGAACCACAAATAACAATTATTTTTTACAAAAAAGAAAAAACTACAAACAGTAGATAATTCAAAGTTTGGTATGTTTGCTGTCGGACATATGAAAAGAACTCACAAGGAGCTATCTAGGTCATATGCCCGATTGGACATTTATAGGTGTAAGTGTTCGATTTCAAAAGAAGAATGTGAATGAAAAATAAAAAGGAGGAATATCAAGATAATATAGGGTTAGTATAATAAGATATGTTAATTGGTTATACTAAAAACACAACAGTGAGATGCATGGTGGTAATAAATGTTTAATGATAATGTTCATAATTGGGTTCAAATAAGTATATCAATTCGACTTTAAGAAATAACTTTTCAGGTTTTTGATGAAAGATGACTTATTCGGTAACTTTTTAATTTGCAATGGCAGGGAATTCCAAATTTTGACTCCTTCATATACAATTGACTTTTGTTTGTAATTTGTCAAGACCAAAGGGAAAGAGAAGTTGTCATTTAAAGACTGTCTTGTTTCATGCTGATGACGTATATTTGTTTTAATGAACAGGTTGTTGAATAGGTCATTACCGTTTTCATGATAAATATCAAACATGAATTTAGCAACTTTAAGTTTATACATGTTATCAAAGTTGAGAAGATTATGTTTTTTGAATAGTGGTTCACTATGAGCTTGGTATTTGGCAAAATTGATCACTCTAACTGCTCTGCGCGCGAAGGCTAGTTCAAATGATAGAAACAGCTAGAAACAGAAGTTTAAATGCTCAAGCTATATAAAATAGGAAACAGAAGTTATAATAGCCACCAGAGCAGGTTAGCCACTATAGCAATTTTAGCAACCAAATAGCCATCATCCTCTTAAAAAAAATGCCGGGGAGCATTCCCGATACTGCTTGGATGAGTCTGCCTTATATAAGGTGTGCTTTACTATTAATCTTTCATACTGACCCGGGGCCCATAAACCCTCTCCAAGTAAACTTGTTCTGTTTCTATCATTGCTTATTCGAACGGAACATGGAAAGTTAACCATTTACAAGTATATATATAAACATGACGAAGTTTTATCTCTTTTAAGAATGAAACGCTGACGGATAAGGCTGAAAAATTGATGATAAAACAAGAATGCTAAAAATAACAGAGAGCAATAGGCGGCAAAAATAAGGACATGTTTACCACTTACTTTCATCGACATTGTTAAAGCCAGGCCTAGCTCGCTTGAGTTCATCTAGGTAATCTTCACTGTTGTCTTCCGGGTCTTCGAGATGAGTTCCAGATGAGATTTGCAAACTCCCTAAAGAAAATAGCTGTAAAACGACAAGAAAGAAAACCTTTCTCATGAAAAACCTCATCATATATTCATTTCAGTTATCGCGTGATTCGTACCTCACCACCAACACCAAGGTTGCTATGATAGTTAGAGTTAATTAGTACGGAAATGAGGAAGTATTTCATCGCTGATGCGTGACAATCTGCCATGCTTAATCTGTCTCGTTTCCATGGAAGTTTGCTTCGGGTTTCAGGATAGGTCTCAGACAATGATTGGTTTCAGGCATTGGTATTCTTGTTCATTTAATAGCTAATTCTTTACTTGTAAGTCTTTCATACAGTAGAACTAGTCAGTTAAGGTTACAGTAAACTTTCTTGACACGATATTTGGTTCTCTCTCCCAAAAAGCGAAAATATTGACGGTATCTCAGATTAAACTTTACAACATTCGATGCACGAGAATATGATAATTCCAACCATATCAAAATAATTGGCAAATATTGTAAAATGATACTGTCCTGGCATATTTATTGCCTAAATGAGTGTGCCACGTTCAAAAGCTATTTTCTACCCTTGCGTTTAAGGTAACAAAATCTGACTTGTATCAGCAAAAAGCACAGTTCCTAAGCTACCTCAGATTTTTGAAATTCTTCCTTCTCTTGAAAGTTTCAAGAAACTATACCCTATCAACACAATTTCTTCACTCCTGTAGTTGTTTTTGGCTGTAAAAGACGGACCAGAGCAGATCAAAAAATTTTGAGACACACTTTGCTTACCCAACATCTATCCTGGCCGTGTGCAAATTCTTGAGCCAATCGATTGGTACTTTGGGTACAAAATAGCTTTTTGTACCTGTATGTAGAGAAATTGTAAGTCCGGGGAAAATTGAATTTTTATGATGGCACTTGAAAGATAGACTCGTAAACCACAGTGTAAGCTGGGTCAAGCCATTTGAAGCTTAAAAGATCAATAAGCCTGTTTAAATGGATTGCAAGGAGATTGCGACCACAACCGCAAAGCAACGATAATCGGCTTAACACGTCAAGAGATTTTCAGATCTCAACAGTGGCGTGTTTAACGGGGGAGCAACTAGGGGCAGTTGCCCCTGCCTCAACGAGTTGAAGCAAGTCTGGTGCCACTTTTTGGAAATTTTGCGCCCCTTTTGAAGAATGAGAATCAGGTGAAAAAGTTTCTGAGACCAAATTTACTTCAAGGATAACCTCAAAGTTATGTTGTTTATTCTAACAATAGATATGAAATCGTTATGAAATTGTTGTATACAGCGTACTTATACTCTTGTCACCAATTTTTAAAACATTTTCAGCGCCCCTACTACCGACTGCACCTCTTTCAAATTTGCTCTGGATCCACCCCTGGATCTCAACTATTTTAAAATTCACATGGTCATTCCTTTTCTTTGCTAAGGCAAAGGAACCTGTGCTCCTGCCTTCTTGTTAGGAACATTGCAATTAGCAACTATCAATTCACTGTAGTATTCTTTGTTGTGCTTTTTTCTATAATCATCATCGAAAGACAACTCACAACTCCAACATTTGATTTTCTGTCGTTTTGCTTTATTGTCACCAAATATTTTGTCGCTTTGATTCTAGTTTTCCTACTTAGCACGCACTACCAAGCAACTAAGTTGCCAATGCAATTACGAAAAGTTCTATACCTGTTATACATGTCAATTTTTGTGTCAATTCTTCTTCCCATTATTAGATTTTATAAAGTTACCAGCAATTACCATTCAAGGCCACTTTAAAGAGCTCTATTCCTCGGCAAAATATTTAGACTGTTATAAGTTTATTTTATGCAAGAACAGTTGTCAAATGGAACATGCTGCCATTGGGGTAAAAAAGCCAGAACAATCTGAATTCTTTTTAGTCGCCATCGAGATTATATCAAAAGATAGAGTCGGGATTATGCTTATTGCAGCATACGGTAGCTTTTCAGGTAAAAGTCAATCAATATATATTGTCAAAAATATTAATACAAATATTCAATTTTCGTATATTAATCCAATAAGGATCGATCACACAGCCTCCTATCAGCATAATTATGTTCTTTATCTACCCATTTTAGCTGACTGATCCCTAATTTCATGTTTATACCTTATAAAGCATATCAAACTTTGGAATGCTTTTCTCCCCTTTATTTCCACATTTAGAAAATTGCGGCACTTCCTTTTCTAGAAGTTTGGGTTTGAGTTTGTAACAAGTTTTGATCAGTGTTGGGAATAAAAAGATTCTGGCCAACTCCGTACAAAAAGTCAAATTAAACTCCTTATATGTGAATATACATATGTAAATTTACTGTAACTATTAGGTGTATGTTTATATATACTGACTTTGTAAATAACCATTCGAAATACATCTTATTATTAAGGTCACAAGATCGGTTTTGCCTTCTCAAAATTGGAAATGAACGTTCCTAGAAAGGTTTGTAATATGTAACGAAAAAAGTAACCATGATTACAAAATCTGTTGAACGAAAAAGGTAGAAGACAAAAATGGGTTCTAGTGACTCGTTAACGAGAAATGCTTTGCTGACCACGCCCTTAAAGACACACGACGTATATGAAAATGACTTGTGCCAGGGTCTGCACAAGCTAAAATTGCAGCCCTTAACATAGCAGGCATCGGTCGTGAGATTCTACTTGTGATTGCTTGTTCATATTTTGTGTTGTTCTCTTTGTCAAACAACAAGAAAAATATTCGTGGGACGAAACGTCTAATGCCACACTTCACCGAACACCGTAACAAAATGAAGTAGCATTGTTTGGCAATTTTATTTTAAACTGTCGTGTGTCTTTTAAAGAAATACGACATCTTGAAAATAATGTTTTCACAGTAGGAAAGAGTTCTCACAAACATTGCGTTGATTACAAGCTCCTGACAAGAATCTCCACGAAAGTGACAGAATTATATTTGATAACAAAAAATAATGGGCAATTTCTAGAGGTTTTTCTAATGAATAAATGAATGAAATGCTCGTCAAGCTAAGCCAAGCTAAGTTAAGAAAAATGGAACAGAGCATTGAAATGTCATTTAAGCAGCTGACATGCAAAAGCATAAGCAATTTCGTAAATGTTATCGCTTTCATTTTCAGAAAAAGTCGTTATGCTCGCGTTTCGTCTTAAAGCAGTTGGACTCTCTCTGCCACTTGACTTAGATACCTGGGAGACAACCTTTCTTGACTGGCTGCGATTGATTGAATGCAGAAGATTTTTCTGAAAGATTGGAGAAGGTTAAGCCAAATTTGATGATTACAAATATATGAACAAACTATTCTAATGGAAACCTTCACTGGTTGAGGTCTTTTACATTTGGCAATTGGGATGACTCTAAATTGATTGGTTAAAAAAGAATTTAACTGGAAAGGTCTCCAATCGTTATTATCTTTTATTTGAATATGCTAGAATAAGTTACGTCGAAAATGTAACCACAGAAAACTAGAATTAAAGAAGCCGATTTTCAATTCAAATCTACCTCAATGTAGCTTTGCAACTTGGTTTTGATAGACCTTCCAATAACTGACATGGCAATGTATTTCTAAAGAGCCGAGTTCTGATTATATTAAAAATGAATGAATCAGTCAACAAGACAAGTTAAAAATTGTCTTCTTTCAATAATTTTTGCAACACCAACGTGCTTTGGATACATACAGGTAAATCACGCAAAAGAATTGGATTCATACAAGGGATTCCTTCAAATATTTCAAGTAAATGAAGAAACATACCAATTCACTTCCAAGTTCCCTTTTCATAAACTGTTTGGTGCGTGGATTTATTGTTTGATGTCGGAGGTAAAATGACGCTTCTGACATGATGATGACAACGGAGTTTTCAATCACGAAATTCAGAATATTCCTTTAGAGAAAAATAATAGTAAAAGCGTTGCTAGGTCTTCACTAACGATATCAACCTAACATCGAAATTCTTACTTTCGCTTGTAACTGGCCATGTCTCACTAATCTTGTCTCACTAAATGGACTTAGAAAAACCCATAATAACTATCAATACCATAAGAAGAGAAGCTCGAACATAGCAGAAAACAAGAAGTTGAAGGCTGAAAAAGCTCTGGCCGCAGAAAGTCATTTAATGCATTAAAAATACGAATACAAATTGTCAAATGACTTTGAAACCACGTTTATGGGATGTCTGTAAAGGAAAAACTAAATCCGTTAGCTGAGTTCAAGAAAAAGTAAACAGACATCAAGGGAAAGTAAGGGGACATCAAGGGAAAGTAAGCGGACATCAAGGGAAAGTAAGCAAACATCAAGGGAAAGTAAGCGGACATCAAGGGAAAGTAAGCGAACATCAAGGGAAAGTAAGCAAACATCAAGAGAAAGTAAGCGGACATCAAGGGAAAGTAAGCGAACATCAAGGGAAAGTAAGCGGACATCAAGGGAAAGTAAGCAAACATCAAGGGAAAGTAAGCAGTTTGGAAGGAAAAAATCTAAAAATATGATATCAAAATATGCCTTTGGTACCGGAAAAATTGACAACACGAAAAAAAGGAAAAGTAAAAAAGCACAAAAAGTGAAAAAACAAGAGTTGTTTTCATTTTCCATTGCAGGATTTAGACAAGTGCATTTCATCATACAGCATTTTCTGTGCATGCTAATATTTATTTGGTACCAGGCTTAAAGTTTCAAAAAACATAGATACCTTTAAATAATTTGAAACACATAAAGAAATATTTGGTAAAATTTCAGCAAAAATTCTGAATTAAAATACACATGTCACCTTAAAACTTTATTCCTATGTGAATCAAATAGATTGCTTTCTTGCAAAGGTGAAACAGTAGCAGATTCTGCAGTCTGTAAAAAATAACAAGGAATGCAAAAAGAAACAGTTTCATTATCATTGAATTTCCTTATACCCCGATGACCAAATCAACTCCATTAATGTAATTTAGGTACAGTCTTGTGCAACAAAGTAAAAGCGAAAAAACTTGCTTAGTTAAGCTGCACCATGCTACATAACAGTAAATAGTAATTTTTATCAAAAACTCACTTGCATCAAAATTTTGTGGCAAACATTTATGGAAGCAATAAAAGTCCCAAAAGAGACTTCTCGTAATTCATCAAACGATGGAAAACTGAATGCTAGCTGAACTGTAGGCACAAAGTTCTGCAAATCTGCTCCCTTGAAGAAAGTAAAACAGAAGATTTATTTCAGACAAAATTGAAGACAAGTCCAATCCTATGCAGTACAACTATAATGCATGTTTTGAAGCATTTCTACATAACGGATATCTACATAGAAATATTTATTATTTATAATTACTGAAAAAATGACGTTTACTGAATTCGAGGAAAGTATGTTTATAGTTTCATCAGAAAAGCGTTGAAAAAAGGACATCGTTACATAAACATAAAGAAGAGTGTCGTTAGATACGCCTATGCAAAGAATATTAAACTATTGAACTTATCAGTCCCGGGAGTGAATAAAATAAGATCAAGTGCTACAATTTCTGTCCTAACAATCTTGAAAATTCAACAAAGAACAAATAGAAAATATAAAATACAAACAGAGAAAAAATTACTTCGTCAATAATAGATTCGACAAGGTTTGGTGAAATATTTCTGATCATTCCAGTGGTACTTGCAACAATTTCAATGATCCTGTAAACATAAAAGTACAAATGTACAATCAATTGTAGAAATCAATGAATAGTATGCTCTAAGTCGGTGGGAAAATGTGGGATGCAGTTAGTCTAGAACTACAACCAAATCATATACGAAAAATGCCTACTCTTATCCAACTAAAAATAAAAAAGATGATAACAAGAGGACAACGAGAAAATTAAATGAATTAACAATTGATGACAACAAGAGGCACCTCAAGAAGGAAACATACATTTCCTGGACTCGTCCTAAGGGTTCATCCAGATTGTAATAGGTTTCCTCTTTCAATTGAAGATTGTGCCTGCTATCAGTTGATAAGGAGGGGCTGGGAGCTCTTGATTTTTCAAGAAGAACCTGCATTGACTCTCTGTCCTGTAATTTCCATGAAATAACATGCATTATGATGCATATCAAGAATAAAAAATTTTTACAGGAAATTTGAACAACTTTATCTTACAAAGTTTCGGAAAATTCAAAAACTTGTCGTTAATGTTAAACTCTTAAATATTTCTGAACATACCACAAAATTTCTTTATCATGTGTTCTTAGAACGAAAGAAATGAATAAAGAAAAAGCCTAATCCAAAAGACCTTGGCAAATCACAAGTCAAAACAAATTTTATTTATTCTGATAAGTTTCGGTAATAAGTTTTTACCTCAACAATGTGTTGTAAAAGTCTTGGGCGTGCAAGAAACGACACACTGCTATGCAGCATCATCATTGCTTCGAACTGCAACAAAAGGTTACAAAGTGCATAAACCACAAATGAACGACCCAGTCATTTAAAACAATACAACATTCAAGAAACAGAGGCAAAAGTTCCAATAAAAAATATATAAAAAGTGAGGCTCGGCAGGAAATACAGTTTTCAGAAAAGGAAAGCTTGGCAGATATAAGCATTATGACAAAACGAATATAACATAATCATAATAGTCCAATGATCAGATCACGTGATTTTCTTCTGTCAAAAACAAATAGCAACCTTTAGAGATTCCATAAGTTCCGGTTCCATGCTTGCTAGTTTGTTCCAAAAATAAGATAACTGTAGAAACAGTTTTGATGTTTCTTTTGATTCTTTCAGCAAAGCTTCTGACTTGATCCTGCAATTTAGTTTGGTGGCCTGCAAAAGACAACGGAACACGAGTTAAAAAGAAGAAAAAATCGCTGCGTTTATCGATGAGGAATCTTTTAAAAATATGACAGAGGTGGAAAATATATTTATTCTTTCGCTAATAATTCAAAGCCTCCCCGCATATTTTTGTTATTGTTTGCTTTCTGTTGAATCTTTATAGCACTGTCATTACCACCAGCTACAGAGGATAAAAAAAATGATTTTCTCTGTTTCATTCAATACTTTATTTCTATTATTTCAATTTTTTTCACATCATCGAAAATCACTTTTTTCTTAATTAAAACTACCGAGAGAACTACCACGTAATCACCACTTCTCATAATCATGCTACTCCACACTCTTAATTTACCTACAACGTCATTCCAGCTCAAGAAACCTAAACACCCTACGAGGCCAGGCGATTAGTGAGGTGCGTAGAATCTACAATAGGGAAAGGTCGATGGCTTAATTACCTCAATAATTCTGGCTTTGTTGGCAGCAATGAAAGATATCGCAGCGTCCAATACTTTATGAGACGTTGTTTTAAGTAGAGTTGTTACCAAAGCTATAGCAATGGTCCAATGCTACAAAAAGTAATTGAAAGGGAAATATGCATATTAGATTCAACATTTCGAGTGTCAAAAAACAAACAATTGTTCATTTTCAATTCACAAGATCTTACAGTTTGCAAAGCCGAGAATTCCATTAAAGATCTTAACAATCCTAATATCAAAGCCCTGATATATCTCTAAGTTGGCTGAGAATCCAAAAGATCCCAAAAAGATTTACACAGCAAACCAGGTAAACACATAGAGCCAATACCGTGAAACACGAGAGAATATGTTGCTGCTAAAGCTCCTGCAGCATTACACACATGCTCCAATATTTAAGCAAGCCAAAATTTCTGGCCTTTGGGCTTTGACTCGATATAAATTCAAGTGTAACTAGACATTTCGCTAGTTGATTTTTACTGTTTTTGTTGTAGTAACGACCTCTCAGCTGGTTGAATGAACGAGACTTTTCACGGTGTGTCAAGCATATTTTTTTGCAGTGCGCTGTATTGCTAGGCAGACACAATGCTCCACTGACAGGCTTGATTTGCGGAAGTTGCTTTGTTTTGTTGGAAAATGTTTTTGCTACACTTTAGTTTAAGAGACTCATTCAGACAATCAGAAACTTTTTGTACCACCAAAAACTACATCCGTAAGAAGGCGCGTATCGATTGGCAGAAATCTCACGATAAGTGGATATTTATTCTTTGTCCATAAAGTATCAAATTGTAGATAAATCTTTTGGGTGTCCTGTACAAATGCTGACTTGATTCTTTTTCAATTTTTATCTTATGAATTATTCGTCACGACTCTTTATCGATTGTGAAAATGGCTAAATCATTTCGTTATCCCTCATTACCATCAAGATATCATTAACATATATACACATACAGAGAGGTCCTTGCACAGCGCCTTAAGTTGGAATCTATTATTATTTTTTGCAGGCATCAATTCACCCCTACAAAAAACATGTGCCATAAGTTTCGCTAATATTAGATCATGCTAAACATTGCAGCTGCTCTATTTCATCATCTCAATTACCTGGAGAAGATTAATGGAAAAAATGATGAGATGAGGCAGTGAGAATTTTTCTTTTTCACAATCAATAGCTTATTTACTTTAGTATTTTATCTACTATGAGAAGATTCATTGCAACTGGGTTTTTCTAAAAAAATTTGCTTCGAGCTTTGTCACTGGCTATATGCTAGCACTTACAACGAAATCTGATGTGATAATCAGGGTAAAAATTTTCAAACAATATTTTTGGTTCTACAAAACTTAAAAATGGCTTTGACAAAAACAAACATTTGAGTATATTGAAGCTTTTCGTCTGACACTCTTTAAAGTATATAACGCCAGAACATAGACCGAAAACTCTACGCTAGGAAATATATGTATATAGCCAGTTGTGGATCGAAATAGGCCAATGTATGTTCTTAGACCAATCTTGTCTATGCTCAGCATTACAAGAATTGGCAAAGAAGCTTTCTGAAGTTTCGGACACTGTTCTGTTTCTGAAGTTTGTAAAATTGGTGACCATTATTTACCTTTGCAAAAAAAGCCATTTCTTTGTGGAAAACTCAAGTATAGGCTGGCATACGAAGATAAGTAACCATCAGTGTTAATTTCACAGCAACCATGAAAATAGTGCACAACAAAAAGCTACAAAGAAACCCACCTCACAATCCGTATCGTTCCCATAAGGCGAAGCAATGTAGCCCCAGTTCCATTCAACAACCAAGAGTCTTAGAAAATCGTTCCGCAAAACAATCGCTACCAACTTAAAAGTAAGCGGAATAAAGTATTTCAGAAATGGGGAATGTATCATTATGTCTGGTCAATATTGAAATAAAATTGTGACGTCCGCTGAAAGGCATATGAAATTAAGACATGAAGTTGACTGAATTTGCAAGGGCAATAAATATGATTTTTGAAAATCTGAGAAACATTAGTTGAATATTTTGAACAATTTTAATGTAGAAAAAGACAAAAAGATGCAACAACGTGGCCTTTAAAAACATCAAAAAAATTATTCTACGCCATTTTTGTCTCCCATGAAAATTTTTTAAAGGACAACGAAAATGTTAATGCAATGTTTTAGGTAAAGTTGATTTTAACACTTGCGAAATGAATACATCAATTCAATCTACAGCCTTGTTTTGAAAAACTTGTGAATTTTGAATGAAAGTCTTGACTTCAGATTCGGATTAAGGAAAATATGTTTTGCCCACAATTAATTCCCATGATCTTGACATTGATATGGTAACGAGATAAGTTTAACATTTACAAAGGACAATTTCTAGCGACTGAAGGTAAAAAGATTTGACCAGAAGAATATCTTTCAAACTTAACTTTATCAGACAATCTGCAATACAAGCACAAACAAAATAAACAATTGTATCTGAACTGTACCCTGATATAAGCACAACCGATTTGCTCCATTATGATAATTTTCAACACCCAATAAAGAAAGGCTCTTCGTGTTTAGGCTGCCCCCGGCGAGCTTGCATTCGAGTATTGCCTTTAGAGATTTAACATTGCGTATGGCGATTCCTTAAAGCTCTTTTCCTCCCAAACGTGGCAAAGATGATTTGTCGCAAAGAAAACTTAAAAACGTACCTCAGAGTCTCTAGCAAAAACAAGCGACAAAGAAAGGATTTCACTGACAAGGTTTTTTTGACTTGGTTCCTAAAAAAAAGGCAAAACATATGAGAGATACGAATAAAGACCTATTATTACACTGAAAGTGCATGAAGTAATTTTCACAGTTAAACAATTAAGCGTTATCATAACCTGTTTGTGGAACCAAGCCATAAAAGAAGGCTGAGATACAAAAGCAGACACGAGTTTCAAAAAGATTTGAAAGAATCTTCGTGAAATAAAATGAATAAAAACAATCGATGGACTAGTGCAAACCACATAACCTCTATCAAGAAAAAGTTTCTAGTTAAGGGACTTTTCATTTGTTGCTACTGAAGAGTGTTGGAAGACAACTGCACAGACGTGGTTTAATTTTTGTCCTTCCGATTGGATTGCACAAAAAAATGGAACCATTCTCCAATCTTACAGGAATCTTTTTACCCCCACCACCCTACCTAACATTGTGATCAGCAACCAAGGTATTACTTTACGGATAAAGTTAGGTGTCAATGCGAACTTTATGAAGATTGGAAGCGACATAAAGGATTGAAATGATCGGTGTATTGCATCCTAAATATAATCAGTTTAGAACGGAGAAAAAAGGGCAGGGAAAAGCAAGCAGCTGCCCTTTCAAATTTATTCCATGACTCGTATAGTTATTTTATTTCAGTTGATGCCTATGACACTCTTCTCTACAAGGTGCTTCTTTCTTATCTCTCTGTTTGGAGAAAGTATTTTAGTCCCCCTTCAAGATTTCTTTCGCCCCATCCCAGAAAGATTAACCGTCTCTAAGAATCAAAATTTTACTTTGGATATTAACCTACAAAGCAACATGGGCTTTTCCTGAATTACAAACCTTTTTAATACTTCCCAACACATTCATCAAGTGACGAAATACGGAATGTTCTTCAAAAATGTGGAGCAAATGTGTACTGTCCTTGAAGCGACGGGAGGCAATTGAGACAAGATTGATCATTAATAGAAGCCTCTAAAATAAAAAAGAAATTTGTCACAATTCAAACAATTATTTTCCTTGCATTTTTAAGTTCGACCAGGAAAATGTTCAGCTTGGTGATGTGGCTTACAAGCTTTTAAACTCACGGTTACAAAATTAAATTTATAAGAAAGCAAATTTACCAAAGAAGGTATGACCATAAAAGAACAACAAGTCATATATAGACACAAAATTATTGGGTATTAAATATTACTATTAAAAAACTTAAAATTTAACGAAATAAATTCTGTAACGGCTATTCAACCCTTTCACTTTAACAACAACCATAGTTGATTGTTCCCTTTCGGTAGGAATGACCAACAATAAATTTCCCAGTCTATCTAGTTTAACGGGCGCAAATTTTTGAAAACTCGGTTTTGTCAAGTCTGACTTTAAATGCTGCTGAAATAAGGCTGCTGCTATGCACCGCTTCACACAATTTAGAAAATCACAGGTTATATAAAAACATGAAAGACGAAATATTTGGAAAGGATTGAAAGTTAAAAATGGCTTGCAAATACCTTGTAATGTGCTGGACGATAACAGGAGGTAACTGTTACAGAAATCTCTTCAATGATTTGACAGATAAGACGCAACATGGCAAGCCACTTATTGTACACGAGTTCCGCGTTATCTGAAGAAGGATAAAAGAAGGGCGGATAAAAATACATTCAGTTTAAGAATACTGGTAAGGATGATTTCTTTTTCATACTTATAAGAAGAATGATAATCAACTTATGGGAAACACAAAACATATCTAAAAATGTAGTAAAACACACAAAAAGAACACCATTCCTTGTTATTAAAACAAACCAGCTAATTCCATGTGAATTACCTTTTCAAGTACTTTGCTATCAATGCACTGACATATCCCACTACTTAAACTGACCTATCTATTTTAACAGTTGCTTTTTCTGTCTACTGAACTTAAAACAAATAAAAGTCCCACTTGGATCCGATCCACCTTTCTAGCGTTGTTTCCACCGGGTCGGATCCAGAATTGTTCATGTTTACACGAGATCGAATCGGAAGATCAAGAAAATGAATATTGCATTTATTGGATTTTAATGCATCAAGTGTATTCTCAAAATTTTTCAAACCCAACATAGAATTCATCCGAGAAGCCGCGCAGTCTCTTCGGCGGTTTAGTTGAAGTTTATTCTTCAAGACAGTTGAGTGAAAAATTTCCAATAGAAAGAATAACAGAAGCAATTTACGTGAAATTCACGAAATCTGAATTTCAGTCCATACCCATTTTGATCCGATTTCAACAATTTACACGATACTTTTTTGAGAACGAATCCAAGCGATTCCAATTTGGTAATGGAAAGCAGATCCAAAAGGGTTCCGACGTATTGGAATCTCTTTAACGCAAGGCCTTTCCGTTACAGTCTAGGTACCGATCCACTTTGATCCGAACGAAACGAAGCCTGAACTACAGACGTTTATTGTAGAAAATAAAGCCGGAAAAACACGATAAGCCTGGCAGGAACCTGGTTTCAAGCTTTCAAACTATGCAACGAATGTTATGCAATAAAAGTTGTTTACTTTTGTATACCACTAGAGTCTTTCCAAAATTGTAAACTAAGGAAGACCTGTAGGCCGTTGCAAAATACAAAGCGCATTTATAAGTGCATGAAATAGCTTTATTTTCTATCATTTATGTCAATTCCATATTACATTCTTTCTTTCGTCCGGTACATTACAGTCTACCTTGCTTATGCATATTGCTGCAAGAATTTGTTTCGAGTCCATCAAGCCGTGGGAAAGCAGTTAATATTTGATATTTGATGTTATTTGACTTGTATTTGATATTTGCCTAAATACGACATCATTCTCTGCCGTCTGTACAACAACTAAAATTTAGAGCAAATCATAGCGTTAAAACATCGTGAAAGAAAAATACCCGGAGATTCTACACATCGACTTGAAAGGATAAGCATTGCTGAAAACAAATGGTCTTGTACAAAACATAGAGACTTGTCGTCTTCATTGCAAACCATTTCAATCAACGTTATTATTTCAGTCTCTAAACGGGTGACATTTGACAACGATCTGAAAATTAAAAAATTCCAGAAAGCACATCATATTAAAATATATTTACCAAGAAAATATCAATCGTGTAATCACACAACAACAACAATTCTCAAGCATTCAGGACCATTAAGCCATTCAAATAAAATAAATATCGAAACAAAAGACATCGAGAGCTATCGGAAAATGCCAACATTTAAAGGAAACCACAAAAAGTTCAAAGCTAAACTTGCTTCCTTGCTAAGAAAATGCAGTCAAGATATCACTTCACAAAAATACGAAATGCCAAGGTTAACCTTAAAACACATGCAATAATCACTGACTGAAATTTGGCTCCCTTAGGAATTTTTGCTGAAGAAACATAACTGTTCTATTAGAAATTTGGATCGAAGCAAAACTGTTTACTAAACTAGATAAAGTTTGCACAGGTAACGAGATAACTCAAGAATATTGATATTGTACTTTTAGGCAAAGAGAAAATAAAATAGTAAATAAAAGAATTGCTCCTTTGATTGAAGCCAAAAGCCTTACCCAGACCATTGTCTTGCGAGAACCAGAACAGCAAATGACAATTCTTCGCCCACTTTTTTGTCAACCTTAAAAGAAACATTTCTGGATAGCTATAGTCAACGAGCAGTAGCAACTGAAAGGAAAATTTATAGTTCATTTAGCACCTGCATACTCTAGCTCAATCAGAAGAAAACCTCACTTATTGGGGCAACAACAATTTTCAGCTGCTCTGTACCAGCCTTACGACTTCACAATTTAATGTTTCTATAGATGTGCCCCAAAAATATTATTCAAAAAAAGCATAAAAAACAAAAAATCGATATTTTGAAAGATTTAATTGAAGCCTCACCTCACTTGTAAATAGGGACAGTGTTTCTAAAAAGTGTTTCATTTTCTCGTCATCACTCTTGGCCTTTTTCGACTAAACAAAGATATCAAAAAGTGCTGTTGAACAGAATGAAACAGGTCCTAGGAATTACGTATACTAGGTGGTAACTGTAAGGACATGACATGAAGAAGCTTACGAGTGGGGAATACAATAATCTTGCGTATTTAGGTTTTTTATGCATTTACAGGATTGCTGATTGACCCTACGCAGTGGGTCTGAAAATACTTTTTTGTCAATTGTTTATATGCTTGTATGCGTGCATGATTGTTTGTTTGTTTGTTTCTACCTAGCAACCTTGGACCTGTAGTCGGCAACCCTAATCACTGAGCCACCCTCGCACCTAAACCAATCATGGCAAATCTGTACGTAAAAGAACAAGCCGACTGGCAATGAAGTAGTAGCATCTCGCATTTAATAGCGTTAGATGACAATGTCAAACTAAAGAGCTTTTCATTCATGTTTGAACGTCAAATATGCCCTAAAACTTTAATACTCACTTGAACTGATGATGTGACCATTGTAAACTCTGTCCATGATCTTATCAACGAACACGTGTTAGCAATGGTCTGCTCCTTCCGTTTAGCATCCGCCAAAGAACTGTTTACTATAGCCTATATCGGCAGCATAGAATTGATTCCATAAATATTTGCGTTTCGCACAGTATAATGTGAGAATATCATTTGAAATTAAGGTGAAATGGTTCTTGGAAAAAATAGCGAATTAATCAACGACGTTTCGAGCAAAGCCCGTTAGCGCAAAATTGAGTTTAATTAAAGATCTGACATCAATTGCAGGAACCAAACGCACTGAAGAGAGAGAAAAACTGGACAGAAAATGTGAAAAAGAATAATTGCTCAAGACAAAAAACTATCAAAAATCTAAATGATAGAAACTTGGCATGTGAGTGCCAAGTAAATGGTTTTTATTAGGTACCAATTTGCAGTGCTAAAGGTACTTACATGCTTTATAGCTTTGTGAAAGTTATAGCTCTGCATATTTTCGATTGCTCCTTGCAATTCGGAGCTGACATCAACTGAACTAAAAGGAGAAAAAAACGATGAAATAATGCTGAAGGGCAAATTTGTTAAAATAAGGACGTTACAATTACCACTGCAACCATACATCTCTTGGTCGCTACCGATTTCTTTCTCGCGGAATGGCGAATAATTTTCACAGAAGACCAACTCGAAGGAAATGAAGAGCTTAGCAATCTGCAAAGAAAGGAATGACAAAGAAACACAAATAAGTATCTTCAGCTAGAGATGTCACGCTTAGATTGTCACAAGGATTTACTTCAGTAGAAGTATTTAGTAGTATGCCGTTTCCAAACTAAGCACTACTGCGAAAATATATCGAGGATACTTGAGTACTAACCTTGTCATGGTGAACGCTTCCATTGCAAAAACTTTCAGCAAAAGAGTAAGCACATTCACATCATCAAAGGATAACTAAAATCACAAAGATAGACCGTTTAAGCCAATCACCATGTAAATTGATGAAACATTTTCATACAAAATAGTTGCCTATAAATCTGTCGAAGAACTAATCATGGTAAAGATAGCACGGAAAAACGGAAAAGCTAGCATACTTTGATAGTTATGTATAAAATATGCTATGTTTTGGCTTTTCTGTGCCATCTTAAATTTTTATTCGACTAACCACAGTCTGCAACCAACAAAGCAAACTCATTTTTGATAAAACTAACTAAAATGACATCAAACAGTTAGCATAGTTCAAACAGAGTATAGTTCAAAAATCATTATTTCTTTGAGATATGTCATAGGAAACGGAATTGGTCATGTTCGTATGAAATCTACATCAAAACTGTGGATATATTAAATATATATAGGCCAATAAAGACTATTTTCACATCGTCCTTAGAACTCTGATTATTTCTTAGAAAAGTTTCAAGCAAAATATTTTGAATAGGTTACCGTTTCGGTTTCAGTCACAGCCAAAGTCACAACAAGGTTGCTCCAAAAGTTCTCACTAGAACAAACAAACCGCTGACAGCATTATTGATGTTAGGGACATTTTTGTCATAAAGGAATCTACAGTGTAATCAGACGTTCTGGCTTACACAAGATTGAAGTCTATAGTGTTAGTCGGTTTCTCTCAAGAATCAAAGTTGCCACTATTGAATTGACGTATACTGCAAAACCTCAGTCAAACTGATAAAAGATTTCATCGAAATTGATTAACAATAAATTTCTTGCTCCTTTTTCTGTCCTTCAAGTCGATGGTCAAAAAGAACTAACGTTTCGCCAAATATTTTGGGGACATCAGTTATGGAGACGCTGCGAGGTAAAGAAAGCTGAAATATAAAGAACGGCTTGTGAATTTTTTCGATATATGGGTTCTAATGCCAAAACTACTGCACTGTTTACGTCTATATCTTCCTGGCTAAGATATCGGACAAAGAACAGCAACAATATTTTACCACTGTTAATTGCGTGATCGAAATGACATGAAATGCTTCGCAAAATGTCCGTGAAAGGGGTCAAACATATCCAACATTTTCAAAAACATGATTTGCTTTGACTGGAAAAAAGGTGAACATGCAGTAATTGTGAGCTATTCATAGCAACAGCTCATTCTCTAACACGAATGAATGATATGCTCCGACAGAAGATATAGCCCAAAATCCTACACATAACGAGATGATTATCAACACCATGAAGGGGTAAAGACATTTGTGGGATGGAATAAGCAGATGTGGTGCAACTGAAAAAAATAGATGTCAAGTTCCGGTGCAGGTTGGCATACACTCCTCTAACAAGTGAATTTTCTTGATATATTTTTCGTATTTCTTAATCATTTTAAACAAGGTCCTATTTTGCGATAAACCTTCAGCAATGACACTTACAAAAAGCATGTTGCGCAAATGTGGCGGATTGGAATCAACTAAGAGGAGCAGACGAATTCAAAGTGGATATAAATAGAATTACAAAGATATATAATTACCTTTTCCTAACAACTGACAAAACCGGGTCCATTCTGCTAATCCATAGTGCATGTACAAAACGCAGGGCGGCGAGCCGCAGAGGTTTCGGTTGTGCGTTCGGCTGCGATCAAACCAGAATTTACTTAGCTTTAGGGCGGTAACATGAAGATATAAAGGTGAAACTAACTGGTTTGCACCCTTACATTCAACAAAAACGATATTCGAAAAAAAGGAACGAAAGAAAAAAGCTGAGACATGCATTTTGGCCGGAAATAATGATCTTAATGCAACTGGGCTTCAAAAGAGAATGGGCCCTTGCTGTTGCTCAATAAAAGGCCAAGATACTTGTCAAAATACTTGTAAAAAGATACTAAAATAAAAAAAAATAAACTTCATTTGAGGGTCATTGTTTTCAGATCAAATTGGGATAGGCGCTTGATAAAGAAATTTTATAGCAATGAAGGTGCATGCAGCTTTATCCACGGACGCTCAAAGAAGGGGGGGTTGCCATTAAGCAGGGTAATAGCAGGGTATCGGTGGTATGTGTTTCAAAATGAAAGACCAAGATACGTACCTTTACAGCAAGATAATTAAGAACAGCAGGCAAACAGCTTGGTTTTCCAAATGTTTTCTTCGACTATAGAAAAATTTTATTTTCAATAATCAGTGAAAAAGGAATTCTGTTATACTGATAAACGAAAAGAGAACCCGTCTCAATCACTGAAACTGAAAGGTAAACAAATGAGTACCTTTAAAGACTCTTCGCCAGTTTGAAGTTGGTGATTTATAAAAAGTTCTAGCAAGCCCGGCTGCTTATCAACAGCACATGTCAGGAATTCTAGAATGGCAACTTTGAGTCGAACAGGCTTGGTATTGCTTTCCAAACAGGAAACAATAGCTCTTCTAAGAGAAAATGCATCGGAACCAAAGCATGCGATAATGGAAACAGAGTTTATCTGCAATAAAAACAGCTTCCTTTAAACCTCATAGAACTCCTGCTACAGCAAACAAAGATTCGACAATTCAATGTAAAACGATTAAAAATAATTCAATGTGTGCTTCTCACGCGCTTAGCACAGCGAGATACGTACAAAACATATGCGCTGGAGAACAACCATGGCGAGAGTAGCAAGTTTAGGGTCATCTTCGTGGTAGATGTATTTCGCAATGTTAGATACAAAAGAAGATTCTACAAGGTAGAAAAATAAAATAGAATTATCTAGTCAAGCGGTATTCTATCAAGCTTATTCAAAGTTGTATGAACATGCATTAAAAATCTTCAAATAAAGCTTTTTGATTTTAAAGTTAAGGGAAAAAGCAATAAAATCAGGACTTACAAGGTTCACAAATAGAGCTTTTTATGTCTCTGAGAAGGTTGTTCTTATGCAATGTGAGACCTGAGACCTTTAGCATTTCAGAATGTGTATTGATCACCAACGCATTTCTTTTCTTATAAAAATGACCAATCATAGAGGATCAATGTAAGCTGTAGGTTCTTACCCGAAGGCTCTCTTGAGCGGATCTAATTCTATTGACAACAAACAAGAAACATACAGGAATATTTGAAAGCTACAAAAGTCATGAGTACCGAAAGGCCGAAAAAACTGACTTTCGCTTGAGTTATGTAAGGCCCATGCGTCGCACACTTTGCTTTCCAGAAGGCTCATTTCTGCTTCCTGGAAATAAAAGGTAACATATCATTAAGTTTCAATTCGCAACATGGATGCGTGGAAGCAAAAACAATCAAAATTCCTTTTACATAGGCCCGAAAGGAAAGGATCTCAGTAGGAACCGAACTACGCTTGTAACAAACAGGCTATGCTTTTGCACATGGCCTTGTGAATACGATCCACTTTTGATTTATCTTTTTGTGATAAGCTAGCCGATCGTTCCATGTTAGTACTATGCTAATCAGCAAATCGGATGGGTCATTTGTCAGATCTTAAAGTTGATTGGTTTCCCGTCATCCTGTGTTAAAGGTGAGTCCGTACCGGAAATGGATCAATCTAAAGGTGGATTTTCTTTTCACGGTATGGACGGAAAATGGGAAACGGTATACGGTACAAGCATGCGCAGAAGGTATTTTGACGTTCAAGAACGGTACTTTTTTCCTTGGAATTCGTACCGTTTGGCCTCTCAACCAATCATGTTCAAGGCATTGCGTCATAACTTCAGCAACAAGCTGTGCTTCGAACTGAGTCACAGTCATGCTGAAATACTTGAAATAGTTCCCTGGGTGGAACTTTCCTTTTTGCCTTTTTTCTTGAAACGTGTTTCACCCATACGCTTTTCTCGTATTTCTTTCTCTTCTAACTTATGAATCTTCTTGCAAAAGAAAAAGCATCATAAAGTTGTTTAGCATAAACATTCCCTCTTTCCCTTTTCTCGGGCATGTTCCATTGCACGAAATGGAAATGGGATGGAAGACAAGTGGAAATTGATGGGCGGAAACTTCCCAAGTCGTTTACCTTTTACCGTTTTCCGCTTTCCGTTCATGCCGAGAATTGGAAATCCATCTTAAAATCTGGTCCTTTTTAGATTTGATCCACTTCCTCTCGCGTAAAAAATAGCGAAGTAACCAAATAGACTAGATAAAAAAATCAGGCACAGAAATCAGTAATCAGCTAGGATGATTTGGTAACTGACAGAGCATGAGCCTTAGCTTAGTGTTATATAAACATTGCATAGTGTCAGCTAGCTTTCAAAATACAAACAAAAATACCGGCCTTCACAATATTTCAAAAATTCAACAACCAAACGACCAATTTAGGTACACAGGTAGCAGGGCATGGTTCAAATATACAATTACCTTATTCTTGATAAGCAGCCTGTCAAGGACAGCCAAACCTAGCTTCACAATTTGAACTGAAGAGACACTGGCGCCATTACCACTGCAAAAAAAGAGAAAAACGTCGTTGTGACTTGAAAACCCCATAAAACTCTGTGGTGAATGGCTGGGAGTCTTCTCAAATGAATAACCTTCTGTACCTTGAATTAAAATATCCGAAATTGTCTATTTTTTACGGCCATGAATATGTGCTCCTGATGTGTGGACCCCAAAAGATATATTTCACAGATAAACGTAAAGATAATAGCAGACAAGACACAGGATCTTTGCCGTACAGAAACATGTGCTGTCTTCCTACTCTGCTATGCAATTATTTTGTTTAAGTAGAAAAATCAGGGCGAAAGGGACGAGGGGATATGTCATTAGCGAAAAAACAAAGTGGATAAAGGAACTTAGGTCCAAATTCGCTTTTAGTTACAAAGTTACATTTACATTTTTAGATTTACATTTTCAATCATTTACGCATAGAAGACCATTCAGCAACGCTGGTTTACAAGGGACCATGCATCTAAATAAAAGAAAAACCAACATAAAGTAAATAAAATGAAAAAACAAAATAAAAAAATAATATTAAATAAAAAGTTTAATCTAAACATGATAGAATATGTTACTCGACCCCTTTTAACCTACCCTAACCTCGCAACTTTGATACTCTTTTAGAGAATTTTAATTTCCCCTAATGTGTCAAAATTTACTGTAGCAGGTTTCAAGGTAGCAGGCAATATTGCTGATCTAATATATTGGCTCCAAACTTTAAAACCAAACTTGGTCAAGGAGTGAAAAAATGACAGAACCCAATCACAACATTACACAATAGGCTAAGGATAATAACATCCAGACTTCCATCAAAAATAAGTAGATTTATCATGAAAACGGACCTTCCACACTCAAATGACTTTTGATTAAGGAAATCAACGCCGACACTCAAAACAGTTAAAAGTGTGTCTCCAGCTTCTCCATTGAGAATTCCATCACAGAGAAGTGAATGGAAAGCTGACATGAGCCTGAAAAATACATAAAGTAAATGTAGGACATTGTTCCATACTCGCTATCCAAAATAAAGTCTTTATCAAAGCAAAGTCAATAGAAAAAACTCTGGTCTGGAAGCCTTTTAGTCTGGAAGTGTTAACAGAAAAATATTATTATCCAAACAGCATTTGAGCTAAATGACTGCAACAATTATAAAATGCTTTACAAACATGAAACAAAGTTGAGATGGATTTAGAAAAAAACAAGTTACAGTGTGGAAAAATAAAAATAAAAAGGCAATGAAATCATCACGACAGGATACAGGTAAAAGGTCTTACTATCAACTAATAAATTTTCATATAAAAAATAAAAAGCTGGAAAGCACACGTACTTAACGGACTGTGGTGACAGTGAATGGGCAACGCTTTGTGGAGCTAGCAGTTTGTAAATCAATTCCAATGCGAGCTCAACTAAAAATAAATATTTTATAAGAATATGATGCAACCATAGATACATAATAAACGCGTGCTACTTTGTGGCAGATAGTCGAGAAACAAATCTATCCTACAATCCAGATGGTAATACTACCAAACATCCAATAAGAAACAAATTTTCAATAAATTTCAAGAGTTTGAGGAGCTCTGTGTTTTAAAAACACATTTACAAAATGAGTTTGAAGAGCTTGGCACAAAATGTGGTTCTTTAGAGATGCTTTGTATTTTCTAAAAACAAAAGTCATGTTCTTGAAAGCCCCTTATACTTAAATCTTCCTGCACAAAAAGCACAACACCAACATGTTTAAAATTGCCATAACAAAAATGACCACGACCAGAAGGGCAAGTGCATGCAGCAGAGTAGACATCATCATACATATTAGAAACGTTCAATTTCACTTCGTCTCTGGCAACTTGGATTTTCTTTATAAATCCCTTATAGAAAATTTAAGTGGCCTCAGTTTCTTATGCGCATTGCTTTTCACGAGAAAGTGCTTGAAATCAGTCTTATAGTTGGTGAAATTAAATGCAAGTGTTCCATGCAAGTCATCTGTCCACGGGAGATGTTGACACTCTTCGGGGATTGCGGTGTAAGTGTATTCATTTTCGAAGAAATGGAGAGAAGCTTCATCAAAGGAATCATTAGATTCATTTTTGCCCCGCTGTTCACCGAGTCAGCCATCATGCAGGTTGTCTTTTCCTTGCCGCTTTAAAATAGTTACGAGTTCCTTTTCACAGAAAAATTTCCAAAGTCTTCCAAACAGTCTATAGCCTGCATTCACACAAATTCTACAGCCTATAAATTCTACAAGTGTCTTCGTCGATCTGCTTATGCAAAACTCATACAACTCTTTCTTGCTATTCTTTTTGAGAGCACTGACGTGGAGCAGAAGTAGCAATCTGTTCGAAAGATTTTTGAATTACCTTCATCTGCTACCTAAAATTTTGAGAGTTTTTGACTTTTCCCCTTTCTTGACGAAACATATGTTCATGGCTTCAACGTTCAAAGAATTCAACGTTCGAACCCTCACATAATTATACATAATTACATAATTATATGTACATAATTATATATAGTATAATAGCTTGCATGACCAGAGAAGTTCACCACGATCCCCCCCGTGCACAAAACCACCTTGTGGCCTTGTTGAAGAGAAATCCCATACAAAAACGTGCACCACCATATTCATGTTTTCTTGACAGCAACTCCATTGCTTGATGATTGAATTCGTTACGTATTTTGCATGGTTCGAGTTCAGTGATGTATTTCTTACGTAATTGTCTCTACGGCTTTTATTCTCTACTGCATAAATAATTGAATAAAGAATGCAAGACCCATTGTGTACTTGTAATTAGAAACACAATATGAAATTATGAATGCTTATAGCCTCGTTTTCGTTATGAAATAAGGCGCTTCTAAATTTCTTACTTTCTCTCTATTTGTTTCTAACAAAAACCACAGCTTCATATTACGCCATCGTAAGTTACTCTTCCAGGTGTTTTGATGTGTTCAGGGGTCTTTTTAACTTAACACCTTACCTTTTCACGACCCCCTCGTCAAAATCCTAGCTCATTTCAAGAGCCCTGCAGTTTTGACGTTATAACCCCCCCAACCCATTAAACTGGTAAAAAAACAGTTAAACACTCACCAACTTCGTCTTTTTCCGTTAAAATGGTAAACCGCCAAGATAAAATACCCGAAAAAATCTCCTTTATGATGAATACAACGTTGCCCAGAACCACTGTAATGTCTTGATGCAACTAAAAGCCTCTTTTGCGTCAAGAACAGTCTTTATTATCTTCAAATACGATTTGGTAACAGGATAAGTTCCAAGTTGGCACTCAACAGTTGCCAGCAGATGACCAAACGAGCCAGCAGTCAACTTTATGTCACTAAAACTGAACCAGGTGAATAAAACAGAGAAATGTCAGGATTCAAGAGTATTTTCCTATCTTTTTTGTCACTAGATCTAATCTTCTCTGCAATAAGTTCACGATGCAGTTGAAAGTTAGTCATACATAGCATTAGCTTTGATTATATTATTAGATATACAATTTGATACATGCAAATATATCCAACTTGCATAAAAACTATCGCAATCATTATAGTACAGTGAATTAGAAAATATACCTTTTTGCTATCAAAATTGATGGTCCAATATTGCATTCTGGCAAAAATCCGATTTCAGAGAGCTGTCCTAAAACCTTGTAGGAGATTGTGTGTCTTACAAAACAGTTTAATGATGAAAAAAGACTCTTTTAATGATGAAAGAACTCTGGGAATGAGTCGCAGTAGCATCGGCCGAAGTGGATTCTTTGATTATCAACCGAAAAAAGCATCGCTAAACATCTGCTATATGCTACCACTAACAACACACAATCACCCATTAGAAGCTTGTGACCTTAAGTAGATAATTCTTTATTTCAATCTTAACATAAAAATTTACTTTAGGCTTCTGTTAAGTTTACGTCATGGTGTCGGAAAAAACTAAAACAACCAAAATATAGAAGAATAAATATCATAAAAGCATTTGAATTTTGGTCAGGCAATTGAGATAACCAGCAAGACGGGTAGAAGAGAAAACATTGCTGCTTCTTTACCTGCATTGGCAGTTCCATTGCGACCACTGCCAGAGTCTCTAAGCAAGCTTCCAAAAGTTCAAGCGGTGGCGATGACATTGGGGAAAATCTAAAATATAACAGTCGATGTTGGAGAAAAAATTTAAAAGCCAAATCAGCAGTAAAAGTTTTAGCAAAAATATTTTACTGCTCAAAATATTTTAGATTTATAGATATTTCTGGCTAACATAAGCGCTCAAGGGTAATTTGGTGTTGTATAAGATAAAGTGTTTCAAAATGAATCCCAATTCTCTTACTGCAATATTATGTAAAAAAAATCTGAATTGAAACCTTAAAATATACGAAAATTGTCATTATATGCGAAATATTGAGCGTTAAAGTTAACGTTTTCAAATTTAACACAATTTGTACCTGTTAATAACAAGAAAAGTTTCAGAAATAAAGTCTTTAAGATCTTCTGCCTTTTCCCAAATAACTTTGATGGTATTTCTCAGCAACTTGAAAATAGAAGTCAGCCTTTCTGTCACATTTTCAGCACAGCCAGCCAACTTTTCTGCAAGCAAAATACAGCTATATTTTTCACTTTAAGAGTACTTATATAATACTTCAAGAAATAATAAATATATTATAGTATTTCTTAAGGCTTTTTACCTCGCCGTTCATAGAATAAATTGAACTAGAGGGCATACTAACATTTGAAATACCAACTTTACCCAAGGTTTAAAATGATTTTCTCCACTCATTTACATGTTTTGTGATTGATACGATTACTATAAAATATTGTTCAACTAAACGGTTAAGCATTGATAGAGTTATTTCAAATGCATCTATTTGGAAAACAGGAATTTATGAAGGTAGGCACAAGGCACGTTACCAAAAACAATTCTTCTTTATCGAAAAATTTCTTCTTAGTATGATTCGCGCTTAGTTATTAGACTACGGGGAGAGTTATCCACATTTTTGTGAGTGATTAGCAGCTTTTGCCTCTCACTTGACAACTACAATTAACAACTACAGTTGACAACTACAGTTGACAACTACTGTTGACAACTACAGTTGATAACTACAGTTGACAACTACAGTTAACAACTACAGTTGATATCTACAGCTAACAACTACTGTTGACAACTACAGTTGATAACTACAGTTGACAACTACAGTTAACAACTACAGTTGATAACTACAGTTGACATCTACAGCTAACAACTACAGTTAACAACTACAGTTAACAACTACAGTTAACAACTACAGTTGACAACTACAGTTGATAACTACAGTTGATAACTACAGTTGACAACTACAGTTGACATCTACAGCTAACAACTACAGTTGACAACTACTGTTGACAACTACAGTTTCAATGCATTAGTTATAGCTTATTTAAAAGGCTGTTTTCTATTTGCCCTTGTTACAATTTATTTAAAATTCAAATAGAAGACTTCCATTCAGGCTCACCGTAACTGCGCTAGGCATGTTGTAACTCTTAGCAGGCCTGATTTGAAGTTCAACAAAATACTGAAACAACGCACTACATGATTACACCTCAACTTCTATTTGATTGTGGCATTAAATAACCCATCTTTCCCTGACATGGACAGTCTACATCTAGTGAGAAAAAGATTCTTCGCAGAGAATAATTTAAGGTGTGCCATACCAAAGTAAAAGCTGTGTTCGATATTTGCTTTCAACTCTAATAATAGAAAATGCCAGCAAGAGTAACGAACATTCCATCGTATCAGATGCTGTCCTGCAATAATAAAATAGACAAATAACAATTTGCAGGGTACTTGCAAGAAAATATAATATTATCATATCATAATGACAATAATTGGGATAAAGCAAATGATAAAATTTCCTCTCACCGTTAAAAGTTCAGAAACTATTCCAAGCGAACCTTTCGGAATACTTATAGAATCATCCCCTACAAGAAAAGTCAAAGTAGCTAAAAAATATCATTGTATATCATCTGACCTTCAAATATTATCCCTACATGAAGTAAACTGTAAATTTGTGGTGAGTCGTTTAAAAAAATGCAAAGTACATCTAGATGATTAATAACTTTACTTGAAAACAGAAATATGAACAGCAGAACTTTCAAGTTAAATGAAAAAAAAGAAATCCAATGCATGGTTGGAAAAGCAACCTTGCCTGTGACAGCTAGCAAGTCCATGTAGTAAAATTGGCAAAAATAAATACACCAATTGGGTACAAAAAACGATTGTTCTATCTTGTTTGGAATACTTTTCAAAATGTTAAATAGCCGCATTTCTGGTTTCAAATAAGGCTGATATTATTAAAAACAGATAATCAATTACAGAGTCAAATGCCTCACAAAATGGAAGAAAATACACTTATGGTTTCACTAAAGGTAATCTCGTCGTTTTTCAGACTGCTGGACATTAATTTCCTTCGAACTTCTTATGCCCATGATAATGTGATTTGAGGGCTTATTACCCTGTAGACGTTATAGGTGTTCATGCATGTTATAGGTGAGTGTTGGAAAATATAAATAATGTGCCTTGCCTGTTGTTTTTAAGGTCGTGGTTTCCAATTACGAGGCCAGAAAAGAACCACAAAACAAGAGAGTGTTGGTAACGACCGTTTTGTTTAAAAAGAATCATGAAAATTCGTCAATAAAACTGAGAAAAGACATTTACCACATCTGATGATATCTCTATCGTTTAGTCCAATGAGAATGTTGGGATCTTCAGAAGTAGCAATTTCATCCTGACAGTTATCATCATACAGTTCGGTGATCCAGTCCATGTTGCTGAGATATTTATAGACCTACGATTGATGATGTTTAAAGTAAAATGGATTGTTACATGTTACTTCAATGGATTGTTAGAGAATGAAAAATGCAAATAAAACTTACAGACATTGAAGCGTATGGCTCTACAATGAAAATACCTTGAACCAATGGTTTGAAACATGCCCCTGTTTTGAATAGATGCTTTGGAGGAATTCCTTACCAATGTGAGGATTTGTTGAAAGAACGAGGAAGGGAGTGAAGAGAAAAACTCACCCGGAGACCAGAATCATCGTCGTGGATGCAATTTGCCACAGTGTCCAAAAATGGACAGAGGATGTAAGGAAACCTGCAAGAATTCATCTGAATTTTGAACTGGTTGATAGTGATAGACGAAAAATGAAGGCCAAAGAAAAACGATTAAATCGTGAATGCTTTGTACATCAAAATTAGCTAAAACTTTAGTTAATATTTGCTCAGCATTTATGTTATCTTTTTAAGTTCTCGTAATTGCCCTTGAGCAACGTTTGGTTCAAATGTTGAATAACGCAATTTAATAAAACATCCGATGATGTGCTTGTTCTGCATAATTTGAGGTGAGATCTCGGTGGGATCATGTTGAAGCATGGAAAAATTAATGGGGACCATAGTTATTCGTTATTTGACATAGAAAATGCCAAAAGTTAACTCTTGCTATAATGGTAAGCTCAACAATTAAACTTTTTGTTTCTAAAGCATAGCGCAAAATTCAGATGTCTATCGGTGACACTTGCAATTTTGTCTTCGGAAACCATTGATTATTGTTCACTGCAAGATATTAAGTATGACGCTCCTCTCGCATACTACTTGCATTTTCGACGTTTTTCAACGGCAAAACATTTTTTCTATAGATCCTTACCCTGTTTACGTCTTACATCAGTTGGCGCGCAAACATCGGCAATATGTTCGATAATTTTCGGTAAGAGCAACTTGGGTTCTGGCAAGAGCTTTGAGATAATGATTTGCTGTTCGGTTCATTCTGCCGTACTTTCTTTTATTTGCTTGATAATTTGAGCAAAGCGGAGAATAACAACATAACTTCGCCCGTAAGCTACAAAGAACTTAAACAAATGTTCGCAGGTTTAACTACAAGTGCAAGAATGCATTCCGCATTCATTTAACTATGAGAAAATAAAGGGTTTGAATAAATTTTGAAAGAAGAAATAACCTGGCAATGAAAGAAAATGTTGGGAGCGTTTTTGGGTTATTAAAAAAATGGAGCAAGATGTCTATAATAATTCAGTTCCAGAATTTGATAAAGCAAACAGACAAAGCAGCTCTTGCCAGATTGTTTGCTTAAACAAGACACTTCCAGGTAGAAGGTTAAGTACTGCCTTGCTTTGACAATAGTCCTCAAGTTTTGCTTCAATAGGTGCTTAAAAAAACTCAGTTTTCAAGAAGAAATTTCCTGCTAAGAGATTCACTATTATTTATATGTGTGTGTGTGGGAAGGGGGGGGGGCGGTGGTTGTGATTTTGTGCTTGCTCCTTTCCCTTCGATGTTAAATTTTTGTATACACCAATGTGCTGGTTAGACTGTATACAAAGAGTGGCTGCTTCAAACAATAACCATTTATATAATTCACCTACGCATTTGTACAAAGTTATTAACTTCTGACCTCATCCTGATAAATAATTCCAATGAAACCTAAAAGATCTAAAAAACAATTCGCTGAGTAAAATAATGCTGCTATGAATCATCCAGAAATAATCAAAATAACTTACTGATGCTCGCCTAACTCCAACAGAATTTCAACACCGCTTTTCTCCGTCTTTAACAAAGAAAAAATATCAATAAAGGAGGCTACTCGACATTTCATAAGCGGTAACATCAATATTCTCCCTTTATAAAACTTGCTATAAACAGAACTTGATGTTGCGCTAGAAACAATTTGTCAAAAAACATTATTGACATAAATATCTTTACAAGTTGAAATGCAACAACGAGTCTTTGTGAACAAATAAACATATGAGCCGAAGTTGAAATTGGTGAACAGTTACTGGTCTATGTCATCACAGGTTTCCGATAAGCAAAGTGATAGGCTTGCTGGGGTGGCTTGCTACAGCAAGGGTGCAAAAGATTAGATGTAGCGTTTTGTTTTGACAAGGCGAGCAAGTACAACATCCAACCGAATAGCTGTTCATTTCAATTGGACTCCAAATGCAACCGAAAAAATTGGAGTTTGCACAGATGCATATCGTCCTTGTTTATTAAAAAACGGTGAGGAACACGAAAACTTGAATTTTAGTTCATTAGTTTAATCGCTTTCAATCACAAACACGCACTCACCTGCTTTTGGTATTTTCTTGGCAATCCCGATATAATAGCTACTTCGCGGAACAGTCGTTGTATAATCTGTCAAGAAGTACTTTTTTATTATTTGCAATCATGGAAGATTTGCAAAAAACGACCTTTTAAAACTGTGCAAAGCCTCAAAGTAAAAGTTTAATATGTGACGCTATCATGATGATAAGGCACAAAGAGAAGTCGCTCAATAAGATAAAAACGAATCAATCACATTCCTACCTCTAAATTATTGAAAGAATCCACATGAAAGACAATGAAAGTCAGGTCCATAAGCCAGCATACTACGTATTTCACCCAATTCGACATTACCTGAAATACCACTAATCATACTCAAATCTCTTTCCGGTGGGTTATTTATCATAATTAACAAACTGGAGAAAACCATAGTCTGCAAAACATATCAGAACAAAAACATTTCAACAAGAACTTTTACAAATGCGGTTAATTTCCAATTATTAATTCAAACTTAAAAGGAAAGTAAAAGTTTGTTTCGAATCATAGAAAATCGAGCAATGCAAAGAGAGCTTAAACAGAATAAAAAAAATGCGATAGATATATCAGAGATATGGATTTGACTGTAGCAAAAAAGATGTCAGCTTCTATTGAGATCAGATTCTTTTAAGACTCGGGCAAGTTCTTTATATTGATTCAATTTGACCCGCCGCTGGTAGCTGCCTTAGTAACCTGTTAATGAAGTAAATAGGAGGTCAACTAGACCCCCAGATCGGTATGTTCCTTGTGACGATCTGTTGGCGTTTCAAATGTAAGTTTCCGGTGTGCTAGTAGTGTAAGCCTGCACCCATCACAAGGATAGGGGATAGGGAATGTTTGAGGGATCAAAGACGCGCAAGACGTTAAGGATAACGTTGATGATGCAGCCATTCAATTGAAGCTAGTCCAAAGGCTAAAGAACGACACCCAAAGCACAAGTGGAAGTCTACATGCCTTGGTGAGAGTATTTAGTTTTTTTCTTGTTGAATCCAGAACAAAGAGGAAGAACTTTGAAAAATAACCAGTTTTGGACTGCGTTGTCTTCAATACATTTTTGACTTTTGCAATTTCAGAAAAATCGTGAGTTACATCCATGTTGTCACTGTGTTTCTACGCCGTGAGACATATCCATTACATCACCTCTGACTACCCAGGGCCTCGGACGAAAGAGGGGCCGGGATGGGAAATGTCCCAACTTTTTTGCAATACAATAGAGCTTTAATTCAAAATCTTATGTTGTGGCTGCTAAATTTTTCCTTGGCCACCCACCTTTCCAACCTGTGTCGGAGCCCATGCTTTCCATCTGTTGCACACTTTTGTGGCTTACAAATGTACGTTTTTAAAGGACACCTTGCTAGCCCTTTCACACAATTTTAAAATTTTGATAAATAAAGTACCTTTCAATGAAACAATTTAAGCTAAACAATTCTAAATAAGGAGAGAACAACCATGTTACAAATATTTCTTTTTAAGACACCACTAGCTCTGAGTAACGCCTTTTATCATACCTCGCTTAGAGACGAAGAAGCCCATTGTAATAACGTTGAAAGATAGCCAAACACGTCAAAGGCAACAGCAGTTTTTCCAAAATCTTCAAACGCCTTGAACAAATGTTATAATAATTTTTTCAGGGAAACGAAATAAAATATCAATTTAACTTCATTGAGAATCTAATTACCTATTGAA